CATCTACTTGCGAATTCGAATCAAAAACACCCGAGATATATTGAGTTATACACAGAAGGTTGGAGGTGGTGGATCTGCCCTTAAAGAAACCATGTTGATATTCATTTATTCGATTCTTTGCAAATGAAAAAATAAAATCGTAAAGAAGAAACTCATAAGCTTTAGAAAAATTATTGATAATTGTTATAGGTCTATAATTTTCAACTTTATTTCTTTCACCTTGTTTATAAACAGGAATTACTTTAGAGTTTTTTAATACACTAGGATAAGTATTACATCTAATAGACAAATTAAACAAGATGGTAAGAGGTACAGCTAAAACACAGGCACAATCATTAAGTACAAATGCAGGGATTTTATCTGGGCCCATAGTATTTTTGGGTTTGATTTTTTTTAAGGCTGAAATCACCTCTGCTTCTGTGAACTGATTCAGTTGAAACAATGCAGTGCCTGTATCCGTTAATGAGTCAACAGAAAGAAAACTGGACTTAATAAAAGTACTACTAAAGTACTGAGCAAACATCTCAACCACATCACCAGTACTTTCATAAGAATTATCTTGGTAATACATTGTACCTGGCAAGCTGTTGTTATTCTTTTTCATATTGATAAATTGCCAGAATTTATTGGGATTGATTTTAATACTTATAATAATAATTTATGCAACACATGTGGCTTATGTGGCGCCCTCTAAAAGATACATTAAATTAGATACCAAATTATGATTTCTCATACCAAGAAACCCCCGGAAAAATTTTTTTTGTATAAATGTCCAAAAACGTACAAGTTATTGCGAAAAATAAATTTTGAAATTTCACTATTAACACCCTATATCTTTCTTATTATCAATATTTTATTAAGGCAAGTTGGCTCAAATCGTAATATTTTCAAGTCACAAATCTACCATACTTCTATGTACAATTACTTAAGGACCACCCTGTATATGTATTTTCAGGGCTAACAAGGAATATACTAATATAAACTTCACATCTCTGCGACATAAATTGTTTGAAGGTTTGCCTTCAGACATCTTACAGAGGACACTATTTGCTCTGNATGCGCAAGAGCTCAAATTCGACCATTTTTGAGCTCTTGCGCATAAACAAATTATCGGAATTTAATCGGACTTGTCTTATTTTACAGATTTATTTAATACCTACCTTTTTTGTATAAACCATTTTTCTCTATGAATAACACTTTTTTTACGCGAGTCAAAAAACCACTTTTCCATAATTTTGACCATTGTTTTAACAAAGTTTACCAACTAGTCTCGAGTTGATTTTTTGATATTTTGTTTATAACACGTTTCTGAACAATATTCCGCAGAGAAACTTCTAATAGTATTTTTTTCCCCTATAATGACTGGCCGTTCATCGCATTCCGGTATAATAATGTGGTTTAATACTACTCTTCGACAAATGAGACAGCAACTACAGTTTCGTACAGAAAGTAAAAGAAACCCATCAGATTATAATAAATATAATCTTAAATTATTTAGATCTCGTCACCGGTTTGAAATTTCTAAAGCTAAGAAAATGGCTAACGATAATTTTATAAAAACGCATACAAATTCCCAAAAAGCAATTTGGAATTTAGTTAATAATACTAAAATGAGTTACTCAAATAATTTAAGTAATTTGACATCCGAGCAGTTTAATAACTACTTTATCAATATTGCCGATTTAAATAGCTTCCACCGATTACTCCGTCCAGTGAATAGTTTTTCCTTTTCTGAAGTGTCCCCTTGGAAAGTCATTGATATTGTTAAGAGTTTTAAGAGCAAACCCTGTTTGGATGTAGTATATAATATTTCAACAAAAATTTTAAAATCAATAATTGACCCAATATTAATACCTTGCACTGATTTAATTAGCTACTGTATATGTAAAAATATTTTCCACCAATGTTTAAAAATATGAAACTATCTTAAAAATACAAGTAACTAATTATTTTGAGACACAGGAACTTTTCAATCCTCAACAATTCTGTTTTCCAAGTAATCTATTGACCACACTAGCTATAGATGTCTAACATTCACAATAAACAGTAGTTTTGAAGAATGGAAATACTTTGCTAGTCAATTTTTAGATTTGACAAAAGCTTTCGATTGGAGTTCAAATCTTTCTGTATAGATGGCGTGGCGATAATAAAAAAAAAATTGTTCCCTAGAACATGAAAATATAGTCCATCTTATAGATCGTTAAATTTTGAGTAATTTTTGTAATATAAAGTTTTTCCCTATATTTACTTGTTTTCGAGATATGTCGACATTAATGTGCAATGTATGATGTAATAAGAAAATCTATTATTTTATTTAAATCACACCGACACAAAATATTCTTTTAAAATATTGTTGTAATGGCTTTATTCACATCACATACTAACTAACAAACAATAAATTATAAAAAAACAAATGATCAACTACAGAAAAAAAATTATGCAGAGGTAAATCGTATAACTAGTATACTTAAATTGAAAGACGCAAACTGATAAAACTGGAATTATTGGAAAACTAATATGTGTCAACTGTCATTGTTTTATTTTAAACAAATAACATGAGCCACCTATAACTGCATTTTTCAATAACATTTGATAAAATACGGTTCGTCTCTGCACCTTATAAGATTTACCAATGTACAATTTTTTTTTCTGTAGTTGATCAATCGTTTTTTATATAATTTATTGTTTGTTAGTATGTGATGCGAATAAAGCTATTATAACAATATTTTAAGAGATATTTTGTCTCAGTGTGATTTAAATAAAATAAAAATTTTCCTGTTATATCATACATTTTGTATTGAAGTCGACATATCTCGAAAACAAGTAAATATACGGAAAAACTTTAAATTACAAAAATTACTCAAAATTTAACGATCTCTCAGATGGACTGTAATTTCACGTTCCAGGGAACAAAATAATTTTTAGTATCGCCACGCCATCTACACAGGAAGATGTGAACTAACAATTCTAACTACAATTTGAAGCTATTCGAGGGACCTAACAACCCCAATTTCCGGAACTAAAATAAATTTCTTCATCGGAGATATTGACAGCGGGGGTGTTAAATGACACACCCTGTATATTAATGATTGTCATAATTGTTTACCTCATGATACTAAAAGTGTACTCTTTGCTGATGATACCAATATAATAAGAACCAGCTTAAACTTTGAACAGCTAATGACATCAACTTATGACTAACACGCATCGATTGAAAACTGATTTACTAGTAATCAACTCAGTTTGAATACTTCGAAGACCGAAACTATGATTTTTAGTCTCCGGAATATGGAAAACTGGGATAATCCAGCACATGTAAAACTCTTGGGAGTTCATCTTGACCCTAAACTGACATGGGATCAACATGTTAATTATGTTTGCTCCAAGATATCAAAACATACGTATTTACTCCGGAGTCTCAAACGAAGAGTCTCAATATCAAGTATGCTGATAGTTTATCATGGCTNCTTGCGAAAGTTTTTGTCCGTTTTTATCACGCCGCCATACCGGTCGCGTTTTGCGAGGTCAGGTTTTACAGTGGACCAGTTTCCAGTGCCCTGCAGAAGTGTATTTTTAAATCAATTTTGAACTGACCTTTTTGATTTTTTCTTTACAAAATTGTATTTGTAAGGGTCCCCTGTACATCCAGAATTTTTTTTTTTGATAAGTTCTGAATCACCCTGTATAATATTTCAACAAAAATTTTAAAATCAATAATTGACCCAATATTAATACCTTGCACTGATTTAATTAGCTATTGTATACGTAAAAATATTTTCCCCCAATGTTTAAAAATTTCTAAGGTTGTTCCTATTTATAAAAATAATGATATTAATAATCCCTCTAATTTCAGACATATCTCTATAGATATAGCTATAGATGTCTAATATCCACAATAAACAGTAGTTTTGAAGAAGGGAAATACTTTGCTAGTCAATTTTTAGATTTGGCAAAAGCTTTCGATTGTGTATCACACGAAATTCTTATACGTAAGCTACATAATTATGGTTTTTCATCGTACAGTTCGAATTTGTTGAGATCATATTTGAATAATAGATTACAGTATTGTTTTATATAATATTGTGAAATCATCCAAAAAGAATATTGAACATGTAGTTCCACAAGGTTCCATATTGGGTCCGTTACTGTTTCTGATATACAGGGTGTGCCATTTAACACTCCCGCTGCCAATATCTCCGAAATAGGGTTTGCAATCCCGCATTCCGCGTTACAGCATTCCAGCGATTTCCCGCATGTCAATGAGACCTGCGGAATTCCCGCATTTGTGCGGTAATTTCCGCGCGGGAAATTTTTGAATAGAACACGTCCATATAGCGATGTGCGCGCGAGCGGTCCGTTTGGTTTGCATGCGCATCCTGTTCCCCTGTGACAGCATCGATTTCCACGTTCCAGGGAACAAAATAATTTTTAGTATCGCCACGCCATCTATACAGGAAGATTTGAACTAACAATTCTAACTACAATTTGAAGCTATTCGAGGGACCTAACAACCCCAATTTCCGGAACTAAAATAAATTTCTTCATTTCGGAGATATTGACAGCGGGAGTGTTAAATGGCACACCCTGTATATTAATGATTGTCATAATTGTTTACCTCATGATACTAAAAGTATAGTCTTTGCTGAATATAACTAGAACCAGCTTAAACTTTGAACAGCTAATGACATCAACTTATGACTAACATGCATCGATTGAAAACTGATTTACTAGTAATCAACTCAGTTTGAATACTTCGAAGACCGAAACTATGATTTTTAGTCTCCGGAATATGGAAAACTGGGATAATCCAGCACATGTAAAACTCTTGGGAGTTCATCTTGACCCTAAACTGACATGGGATCAACATGTTAATTATGTTTGCTCCAAGATATCAAAACATACGTATTTACTCCGGAGTCTCAAACGAAGAGTCTCAATATCAAGTATGCTGATAGTTTATCATGGCTATATCCATTCCATCATAACATATGCCATTTTAGTATTTTAGAATCATATCTGACCTTGGTTTTAGAGATGATTGTAGAGAGCAGTTTTCCAAATTGAACATACTTCAGTGTCTTATTTAAGTCAAAAAAACATATACATAACTTTGAAATCAGAAGTGAAACTCACTCTTATAATACCCGAAAGAGCACATATTTATGTAATAAATTTCTAAGATTTAGTAAAACGCGGATCGGTACTAATAATTAGTACCCAATAATTATTATTGGGCTATCAAATTTTTTAATATAATAAATCACCAAATTCAAATTCTTAATGACAATAATTTTAAATCAAGGATAAAAAAATCCTTAATAAAAAATTATCATTAATCTTAGTGTGTCGTTTATCATACTTATTTTAATTATATATTGTTTATGTATATTTGTATAACAGTTAGTTAATTACTATCATTATGTGTATTGTTATTTACCACATTTTTTTTTTGGACGCGTGTAAACACTTATGTGTATGTAAAATATATGCCTATAAATATAAATATAACATAACAAATATGGATATATTTCATCTTTAAGCTATGAAAAAAATATAACGATCGTTCAAATAAAAACGTGGTCGAAGTTGGCTCTGACACATTGGACGTAGGGAGTAGCTTATAGCGACCAACTTAACCTCATTTCTCAACGAGCTGTATAGCAGATGTCAGTTTCAATAACGTTAATGACTATATAACTTTATTTTAAAGAATAATCGTGATAACAGTAACAAACAATTAAAGGAGCTGCGGAAAGTGTCCCCCTCCTTGTTATAACAATAAATTAAAGCAGCTGCTGAAAGTGTCCCCCTCCTTGTTCCAAGCACTTTTCACTCCTGTTCCTCAAAGAATTAAAGACATTTTCTAAGATGCTCGGGATATTGTTAATTTCACGAATCTTGTCTATAAGTCGAGCCTGCAGATGGTTTAAATCAGGAATAGGCAGTTCAAAAATAGTGTTTTTAAGGTAAGGCCACAAAAAGAAATCACACGGCGTAATATCACATGACCTCGGTGGAAATTCATGTTCAGCATTGAGACTTATTAGTCGATTTTGGAAAACTTCCCTCAACATATTCATCGTCGCGCATGCCGTATGTGCCTTTGCGCCATCTTGTTGAAAGTAAAAGTTTGTAATTTCGTTTTCTTCCAGCTGGTTAACAAAAGGAGCGATAATTTCTTCTCTATACCTTTGCGCAGTAAGAGTACCATTAAAAAAAATAGGTCCATAAATCCTCCTTCGATTGAGAGCACACCAAACTTCAATTTTTTGAGCGTGTAGAGGGCCCTCGACAAAAAAGTTATCTGGTTTTTCAGAAGACCACATTCTCATATTCTGTGAGTTTACGTAACCACTTAAATGAAACCAGGCTTCATCAGAAAAAAAGGTGATATTATGAAGTTCACCGTAGTTGTTTAAAAACAATTCACAAAATACAGCCCGTCGCGGAAAATCAACTTCATGAAGTTCTTGCTGACAAGTTAAACGATAGGAGAACAAACGCAAATCTTTTTTAACACTGTGTGGAAGGTACCGACTGATACTGCCACCATTTGTGATAAAACACGTACAGAAGTTCTTGGCGCATTTTTCATTATTTGTTGGACATTTTCTTTTAATTCTTCAGTCCGCTTTTTAGGTCGGCCGCTTCCTTCTTTTCTTGTTACACTGCCCGTTTCACGAAAAACATTAACACAACGCTGAACTGCACTTTGAAAAATTTTGTACTCAACAACGCCGGGAAATTGATTTTGAAATTCTATGAAACATTCCTCAATAGAATACTTCCATATTCCATCAATCTTGCGTCCATTTCTAAAGTAGGACTCTATGATAAACACTTTTTGTTCTTGAGAAAACACCATTTTAAACGCTTTTTAAAACGAAAATATTCAAATTGATAGCGGCGATATAGCGCCTACGTCCAAATTTTCAGAACCAACTTGACCACGTTTTTATTTGAACGCTCGTTACAAATGCCACAATTATCATTTGAAAATTTGTTGAATTAACGAATTATAAAACTCCACATATACCACCTATACATATGCATATGTAGGTACACCTTTAAAACAACTCTGGGAAAAAATTGATTGAAAGATGAATATTTGACTTGAAACATTCCCGATTTTAAACAATTTTTTTAAGAATCTGGTTGTATGAAATATTTTTCACTAACCTCTATTACTAGTTGAAGCTCTCAAAGAATTATGCCTAATAAGATCTTCATCAGAATCGGTGTCACTATCATCGTCTTCAAAAAATTCGTTTGTTAAAATCTGAAAAAAGTAAATTGAACTCTCAATAGTGTGAAAACTCACAGAATTGAAATTAAAAAGATCAATGCCTATAAAAAGCATTTGATATTAATTAATAACTACATATATTATTACCCGTAACTGCAAAGAAACAATAATTTTTCCAGCTACAGACAGAGGAAACTCTTCTTTGCTGAGTTGAAGGTCTGGGAAATCTGAAAGATTTTTCATGTGGTAGACAAGCTGGTCCATCTTAATATCAGTCTGCTTGTCTATAATGCTTATGAAGAGAGCATTAGTCTCGGGATTGGGGATGAGAAGCGAAAATCCTTCCTCCCATACAGGATCAGTAGTGTGTTTCTTCACTTTACTTTTCAGCTGGTTTCGGCCCACAGTCAAAATAACGTAAGGATCGGGCTTCTTAAACGCCTTAACTGTCTGAAAAGGAAGAGAAATATATTTTTTACATTTGTATGTAGATGTAAGTATCGATAAAGCTGAGTTCGTTAGAGAGAGAAAATAATAAAGCGTTGTAAGATATACGTACCTGCAACGAATTGTTGTTTACCCTGACAGTTAGACAGCATTAAAAGCAATCAGTTCATACTAGATTAAATTTAGGCTGGTATGGCTGTTTGGATGGTTTGGTAACGCTAGGAAACCAGCACGACATGGAAGTCGAGAAAGCTAGTTTGCTAATTCCGAAATGGGCTAAAGATAAACAGCTAAAATGGTTGCAAGTCATTCCATAACAGAAGGAAACCAAGAGGTTCTTAAAAAGATCAACGAAAGAGGTGTCGGTAGACCTAATGAACCAAAATTGCAAATCAGTAACAGCCAGAGTGTTAATAGGACATTGAAGACTTCGGTGATATCTGAGTAATATTAGCAGGTAGAAGACACCCTATAGATATCAACAGAAGGAAGAGGAGACTGCAACCTGATTTGGCTATTGTGTAGATCTAGCAAGAGTGCGCTGTCTACTGTTCGGAAGAGAAACACTGGAAGCTGGTAGTGAAGAAACTGCTGTCAAAACTGAAGCATATAAAAAGCTAGAGTTGGAACCTTAAAATCATGGATATCCTCAATAGGCAAGAATGAAACAAATTGCTGTCAATTTAAAAATTACTTATATTTGTATAGTGACCACTTACCGGTAAATTCATAGCACAATCAACATAAACAGTTAATAAAGCTGTACTTATATCTGCAACTTTCAATAGTTTGGTTTCTTGATAAGCCTGAAAAAAGAAGAATATTTCAAAACCAGCAAATATGACTATTTACAAAATTAAAAATTAAATTTGTCCATTTACCGCTCCCAACTTGCTATAATCTGATGATAATCCAAGCCACGTGAATCTCATATGGACTTTTCCATGTTTGGCATTGTCCAATGTGAACCATTTGTCGTTTTCATTTTCTTTTATGACGGTGTTGATTTCAACTACGCCACTGAAAATATCGTTACAGTAAACTGGTGGTGCACAAATGTGTTTACATACTTTCCGAGGAAGTCGTCCTCGTTGAGGTCGTCTTGGTCAAAAACCATAAACTGCATGTGTTGGGCCACGGGATCCAATATTATAAACTGAAAATAATGTTGCAGTGCTAAGGTGTGGTACTTCCTATTCAAGTAACAACATGAAAGTAAATCAGTATGAACGAAATTGAGTAGCGATTAGCATTCATTTTATTAATATTTTCAAACATACTCAATTGTGTAATAAAATATAAAATAAATCATATAAGAAATTGGATTAAGTACTACACAAAGACTCTTTCAAACAGTGACTGTTATAGAACTCTATGTAATAAATTAATAGATATTATATTTAGGTCAACCATATAAGAGTGTAACAAAACAATATATCGAAAATCTAAGATACTCCTTCCCGTGCAAAATTAAAAATTTGAAGGATATTTTCACAAGAAGTAGCACAAATGGTACCAGTGAATCTACATTTGTTAACCATTTGTTGTTGTTTGTTGTTGTTAACCATTTGTTAACAAAAAAGAAAATAAAATTTATTATAGTTTTCATTGCAATTCACGTAATAGTAATAAGCAGCTGTCACGTTAACTTGTGTCATTAAATGATTTCTTACAAGTTTTGCGTTAGTTTGGATTTGCAACACACTAGTATTTTTAATAATAAAAAGAAATTATATAATTATATATCATATACATTATACATTAGGTATATAAAAGAAATAATTTATTGTGATTCACGAAAGTTGCTATTTATTACTTATTTAAAATACGAAAAAGCTTAGACAGTCGTTAAACAATATTTCAGAATAATTTCTATTTCTAAACAGCCGTCTAAAATAGACTAATACACCTGTATATTCAATATTTAATAAATCATTGACAACTTTTAAGGATTATCTGTTGTCATTTTTCTATAATATTTACAACAAAGTTATCCAATATATTTAACAGGTATCATAATACTAACGCTGCTCCATTGTGACGTAATTTGAATATATTTATAATTATATTTGACCATGTACATGTCCGTTTAACAATTACAACTAAATTATCCTAAAGAGATTAAAAAATAGTTATTTAAATGAATGTGGCACCTCAGTTCGTCCTACTGCAGACTGCAGTAAATGGCCATCACAGATTAGAGTTAATTTTGATACGAGACATAATAGATTGATTAACATAATAATGAAATGAGATCACTGCTTTTTACATAACAGGTCAACGAGTGCTAATTAAGCATACAGTGATATCGAATCACCGCTTTAACGTTCTGTAATATTATTTCCCTTAATATATTTTTGTTAAAGCCATCTTAAAGAAGACTAACGGGGATAATATATCAATAATAAACTGTTATTTAATAAGTAGGAATACTCGAAAACGTAAATGGTATAAAATGTACAAAACAAGCAAGTAAGAGATAGGAGAAGGGAAAAGTCAATATTAAAATAAAATGCTACAAACTAAAGCATCTACAAACACAAAATGCATTTCAATAATACTTTCAAGGATATTAGGAAAGAAAATAAGGAAAGGATAGGAATCAGAGTAAAATGGTAAGCATACTAGAAGCTGCGAAGAGAAGCACACACAACAAAATTATCAAACAAAAACATACAAAGTAATGAAATGATGAAATGAAACAGAACATAAAAAACAAAAAGCAAAAATGGAACATATATCTAGAAACAAAAAGGTAGAAGAGTACGAAGAGTATAAAGAAAAACAGGAAAAAGTGAAAACTGCTGTAAAAAGTGCATCGGAAATGTTTGGAAGATTAAATAATCGAAAACTTCGAAGAAAATCAAAAAGTATTCCATGGAACACTAAAAAAGTTGACAAAGAGTAAACACATAATATAAGTAATATCAAAGAGTGAAATGAAAGCATAGCGGACGAAGATTAAAATAATGGGAAAATGGAGAAAATATTTTGAAGAAATTAAGTACTTCAGAAAAACAGGAAAAAATTATAGTTATGGAAGAATCGGGTGTTGTACGAGTAGAGGATGCAATACAATCACGATACTAAAACTATACATATAGGTCCAGAAAGAAATAGAGAAATAAGAAGGTTTTTGAATAGTCCGATAAAGAGTATTTGTATAAAAATATAGAGATAAATAAGGGAAGAGACAAAAGAAAATGTGAAAATTATAAGAGGATAAATGTTACCTTGTGTACCAGGAAAAATATTAGTTCAATTATTGGAAAGGATAAGAGACAAAATTGAAAGAAAGAACGAATAATCCCAATGTGGCTTTAGAAGTTGAAGAAACACGCAAGATCTCTTAATAAGACAAAGAAACAAGCTCGTGAAAAGCTTATAACAAAAACAGAAAAAAATATAGTCATAGACCTTGAGAAAGTTTTTAACTGGTCCAATATTTGAAGAGAACTGGAAAACAATAATAAACAGAAGGGCGATAAAGATAATAAAGTATACAGGGTGTTAAAAAAAGAGTGTAAAATATTTAAGGAGGTAATAGTATGAACCAAAATAAGCAGAAAAGTCTCAATAAACATGGGTCCGCAAAGTAACGGTTGCGGAGATATGGAATGTTTTATGTTTTTTAGCCCCTTTTTTTATTTTGCAAAAACGTTGTGTATTTTCTTATAATAGTTGGTTGATGTTTAGTGAAATAAACAGTACGTATTTGACAGTTGTTCTCAGTGCACAAGTTTTCTTTCGCTATGGCTGGTTACTCTAACGCAGAATTAACAGACATGCATTTCATGTATGGTCGTGCTAATGGGAACGCCACCGAAGCGCGACGTCTTTATGTTGACGCTTATCCAAATCGCCAGATTCCTTCACAACGCATGTTTGGAAGAATTCACCAAAGATTGCGTGATACCGGTTCCTTGAGCAAACAGTGCCATTTATCCGGAAGACCAAGGTCGGTATCCACTCCTAGAGCAGAAGAAGAAATTCTAGCACTGGTAGAGCAGAATCCAGGTACGAGTGTGCGGAGAATATCAGCCGAGGTAGGAATTAGTGGTCCTCTTGTTTGGAGAATCCTTCACGAGCAACTGCTTTATCCATACCATGTGCAACGAGTACAGGCCTTAAATCCAATAAATGATCATCAAGCACGTTTGGTTTTTTGCCGCTGGTTTCTACGTCATGATGCTGAAGACCCTCGTTTTCTTGCAAACATTCTTTTTACTGATGAGGCCGGGTTCACAAGAAATGGAGTGTTTAATTTTCACAATACGCATATTTGGGCCGACGAAAATCCTCATGCTCTAATAGAATCTGGACATCAGGCACGTTTTTCATTAAACATTTGGATGGGTATTGTAGGTGACAGGTTTCTAGGTCCTGTTGTTTTACCAAACCGATTAACAGGCGCTGCTTACCTCAACTTTCTGCAGAACACACTGTATGAGTTTTTGGAAGACATTCCTTTGAATCAGAGGCAACAAATGTGGTTCCAGCATGATGGTGCTCCAGCTCATTTTTCCATGGCCGTTAGAGAGCATTTACACCAAACTTTTCCACATAGATGGGTAGGAAGGGCCGGACCTGTTTTATGGCCTCCAAGATCGCCTGATCTGAACCCTCTAGATTTCTTTGTTTGGGGATATTTGAAGACATTAGTGTATGGTACTCCTGTAAATAGCCTGGAAGAGCTGCAGCTACGGATTAATCAAAAGTGTCAAGAAATCCAAACCAAGGAGGGTGTTTTCGAAAGAGTTCGAATATCGTTGAGACGAAGATGTCGTGCCTGCTTGGAAATGGACGGAGGGCACTTTGAACATCTTCTGTAACTTTGTTTTTTGTTTGTTAAAAGCTTCCTTTGTCGGTTTATTCCTAATAAAATAAAATGTTTGAAAAACGAATAGTGGTTCATATCTCCGCAACCGTTACTTTGCGGACCCATGTTTATTAAGACTTTTCTGCTTATTTTGGTTCATACTATTACCTCCTGAAATATTTTACACTCTTTTTTTAACACCCTGTATACTAGACAAAGATTTCATAAGTCCAACAGTGTCTAAGAGCTTTGTTATTCTCAATAATAATATTTTCTAGAGTTGGGATATAAATGACATGGCCATAGTAGCTGATTCCGAAAAGTTACAACAGAATATGATTATGTTATTATTAGATTATATTAGTATTAGATGGCCTTGGGGAAAATAAATACGGAAATTAATATAAAGAAAACAAAAAGCATGACAACAAAAAGCACAGTATGATATTAAGCGACAAAAGAATACAACAGGTAGAAGATTATAATAAGTACTTAGGTACGATAATAGAAAGTAACAGCAAAATAGAGAAAGAAATATATAAGAAAATAGGAAAGCCGAAAAGATTTCTAATATAAAGAAAAATACATTTTTAAATAAAAGGGAAATCCCAAAGGAAAAGAGGGATAAAGGGGATTGAATAAGAAGTGATAAGGGAATAGTGTAAGTAGAGATTGTGCAAATGACAAAGGATAAAAACGGATTGATGAAATACATAGCATGATTATGGGTTAAATAAATCTAGCCTTATACTAAATGGTAGATAGGCATAGGATTAAATAAAATACATTAAGACACCCCAAATGTTGTTTTCCAATTTCCGAGGCTAAGAAAAATCGAAGCAAGCGAGTTAAATATAAATGATTCATTTAATTAGTACGCTTTCAAAAGAAATCGGTAGTTCTGAAAAAGTATTTCTCAAAAATGTCGATGTACTCACCTCACACCAATAATCCCATTTGGGATTTAATTCTCGCTTAACAACGTGAGTTTTGCATTCTTGGGCTCCGACATTTAAAATAACATAAGGATCGGACTTCCCTGTCACATCTTTCCTTTCCAAGTTCTTTGCTTCAAATACATGCACTCTTAAAACACCCTAAAATCCAAACGGTTTACATTCTTTATTTCTCTTAAAATCCTAAATTATCCTACCTCAGGTTCTTGTGACTTTAACTCCGCAGCCTCAACTGACTTCAAAAACCTCTTCGTGATTTTGTTAGGAAAAACTATTTTTTTCGTAATTCTGTGTTCGATTTTCTGTCTTATGAAGTAACTAAAATAGGCATTTGTCTTTTAACAGTATTATTTGAGATTATTGATTTTGACATTACCTGAAACCTGGTATACTGGAGATACCTTCAAGTTCAAAATGTATGTCTGGAGTGTTTAGAAAAAATAATTGAATTCCTCCAATAATTGGCATTTTAATCGTCAGCGGTTTTAATACAACTCTTAACTCGGCAGCCAACTAAAATAAATTAATAGTTTACGAAAAAAAGACAATTTAATTTGTTGTTTTTTACTAAGTAATGTGTACGCCTATGTCCCGCGGCTCAGTTCTGACAGCCCTAACTACAATTCAATATTTCAACATTTATTTGTTTGTTATTTGTTATTTAATAGGTATTGTATTTCCATTTGTTTTTATGTCATTAAATTTAAACATCGATTATCATTTTTTTATCGTATGAATTGAAAAAATCGTTCTAAAATGGACATCCTACAACGTAAAAATTTCATCCCTAATTCAACCCCCTTCGAATGGCAGTTACAACCCCTAAATTTTTAAATGGAAAGTAAGGGCTTGTGATACCTAATTTGAAAGGTATTTTCATTCTCTATTCAAAAATACTATGGTTTTAATATTTATCGAAAAAATTAGCAGGATATTGTGTAACCATCTGTACATTTTTTAGATTGAAAAGAAAAGATTAAAACAAAATTATCAACATTTTTATAAAATCTCAAAATATTAAAAAACATAAATACAGAACATTCTATTAAATTTTTAATTTTACTGGTTTTCAGTTTTCACCAATAAAACTTAAGAGATTAAAATTGGTATTCAAACTTAGTTAGAATCAGGGTTAGTGTTAGTCAATCTCTTTAGCAACACGTTTAGGCATTTGCGTTATCGATCTGTGCTTCTGTTGTTACTTTATGATACAACAGAACTGTGGCGCCAGTTTCCTTGCTGTAGACGTTAAAAACGGAAGGCAAATTAGATAAAAAATTGTTTTGTTGCGGAGCTTGCGTACGACCTTATAGACAAGGCGAAAACCTCGCATTCGTGGGAGAAATTTTCCGACTCGATTTTTTGCATATTCAGATTCGTGAGATGTTCCTTAACAAGAATCAAGATGATGCCGGCCAGAAATCTGGTGCCCATCTGTTTAAATAAACTTTTTTTAAACAAATTTTAAAAATTAGTTTTTTCAATCGGGAAAAATTTTTTTTTAGGTTTTTTGGCACATAATAAACAAAAAAGTTCCTGTGCACTATGCCACTAACATTGATAGTTTTAAAGTTATAAATATGTTGCCAAAAATGTGAAAATTACCATTTTCAACGACCGATTTCCGGGTTAAAAATTGTTATTTTTCATGTTGCCAAGTACCTAAATTAAAGTTTAAACATCCCCCTACAAGATGTTGAAGAGTTTTTGGGATTTTCATTATTTTAAAGTCTTGTTTTTTTAATTGTGGATAATGAGCTATGAGCTTCTTTACAAACGTACATATGGAAAAGTTCCATTTTCCTCAATATCAATATTTGGATTTCACAGCTTTCGGTTATCAAAATGATACAGGTGAATTATTACCTAAATTTATTACCAAAGATCCATTACCCAAAAACTTAGTTAAACAATGTAAATGTATAAAAAACTGTAAGACTAAAGCTTGTTCTTGTAGGAAAAACTATGTCACTTGTGTACCCTTATGTGGTTGTAACATAGAACAGTGTGAGAATTCTTATGAATGAATAAATGTGTGATAAATAATATGCAGTATTAAATAAATGTTCTTTAATAAAAATCAAATGTATTTGATACTATTGTATTGATTATTTATTTTTTCTGCACTCTATTCGTACAATTTTGAATTAATTAAATAAAATTATTATGAATTATGAAATTTAAATAATCATTTTTTTTATGAGTAGTAATAGTACTTTGAACTCTAAATTCAGAAAACATAAGCTGAACGCGCTAGACGAAATAGCGAATCCGCGTATGAGAGAGGCGAGCGCGCGGCTCAGCGCTTTATTAACAATTAAAAAACAAGGCTTTAGAATAATGCCAGTCCCAAAAACTCTTCAGCATCTTGTAGGGAGATATTTAAACTTTAATTTAGGTACCTGACAACATCAAAAATAACAATTTTTAACTCTGAAATCGGTCGTTGAAAATCGTTATTTTCGAATTTTTAGCAACTTAAATTGTTTATAACTTTAAAACTATTAATTTTAGAAGCATAGTGCATAGGAACTTTTTTGTTTATAATGTACCACAAAACCTAACAAAAAATTTTCCGGAGTGAAAAAACCAATTTTTACAATTTGTTTTAAAAAAGTTTGTTTAAACAAATGGGCACCAGATTTTCGGCCGGCATCATCTTGATTCATGTTAAGGAACATCTCACGAATCTGAATATGCAAAAAAAATCGAGTCGGAAAATTTCTCCCACGAATGCGAGGTTTTCGCCTCGTCTATTATTGTTAGCAAATGTATCTGCATTTAGTAACTAATAACCCTACTGCAAAAGTTCTTTGACAAACTGAACTTGAAATTATTGTTTTGAATTACAAACAACTAAAAGAATTCGTGTTTAGTGCATTCTAAAGTCACACATTTCAATTATTAGGTATTATTGAAGATAGAAAATTGAGATTTTCTTAACGTTGTACAATTTTTTGAAGAAAGTCTTGTAATCAAAACAAAAGTTTTATATTTATTTTTAGTTAACTTTATTCTGAAATGTCGACAGTTTCAGATCGTTTTGGGTAGTAAAATTATATTATTTATCATACTCACCTCAGAAAACAAAAAGTCTATTACGCCGACTATTTGTTTTCCCCCATAGAGAGCTAAATATATACAACAGTGGCATCAGATTATGTTTAGCATTGCAGTTGTTTTCAGTTAAGGTGAACTTATTTATTTTTTGATATAGGTTTGACAAACTACATATTTTTTAGAAATAGCAAAAAACCCTCTTTTTAACCAGGCCAACTGTAGGTTTCATTAAAAAATATCTAACTGATTTGTAACTCGAAAAGTGTTTGTTGGCTGCACTTGTGTTTTATTCCAAGAGTGTACTTATTTTCTTTTTTTATGTACCTATTTATGTATGTCGCTTTCGTAACGTTAATTAATGCAACATGCAACCATTGTTTAAATAAAATTTATGTAGAGAATAATTTGTGATATACCTTTGCTGCTCCAAGAAAATTTTACAGAAATAATTTAAAAATTATCAACAGTAATGTGGTAGCAAAAGCTGCAATATACAGAAATTTTCTTGGAAAAGCTATGAAATTTTTTAAATTTTAGGGTGGGATAGCAAAATAGAAAAGAATTAACAAAATTGTAGTAAAGTTACATACATTTTAAATGCAATTTGTTGGTAATTATAGCTAATCGTATTTTCTATATAAATCCTAGTCAACAATTATGTAAAAATTTTTCTCTTGGATCACCACAAAAATTACATCACGTTGTTGTTTTGTCTTACCTAGGATTTTCAGTACATGTAGGACAAACTACGTATTAATTGAAATTTATTGAAAATATTTTATAGGCAATAAAATGCATCTAAGGAAATGTAATTACACTAATAATATTAATTTGAATATGTCAGAAATGTCAAATTTAGATTACAATTACTATAACATTACTCCAGTCGTCAGAGGTTCAAAATATTGTGATTGTAGTCAGTTTCCATAATTCCTAATGCACGAGCGCCATATAGTGAGGAAAAATTGTTATTTACGTCACAAAAAATGTTTTTTTTTATTAGATTTTCTTCAATATTTCGGTTGGATCGTACACCGTGGAGAAAATACAAGAGATTGTTTTTGTTCTAAATAATTTTTTCTACAAACTACCATCGCTCTAACTTTTTTATTGCAAAATTAATTCCGTAATTAACAAAAAATGGTAAAAATTGATGTTTTTCTTAAAATTGTTGACAAGTTTCTAAAAATTAATCAAACCTCTTCGGTAGATCCTCCTCAATTCATGTAGCATAAGTTTTCTAATTATATTGCTCAGATGAATCGTTGCTAAGATATTGACAATTATACGTCATATCTAACGGAAACTTTGGAATGACGCTATAATTTTGGTGAGCATATACTATAAGACTTCGATTCGATTTTATTAATTTTTACGAGTTCCAAAACGTTTCATACGTAATCTTAGTTTTTACACGAATAAAACAAGTAATTTTCAGTAAGAAATTTGATTTTTTTTTTAATTCTAGGGACGGATTATTTATCTATGGACAATTTTATGCGGCCCGCTCAGCCGTAGATAATAACATTTTTGCCTTTTTGTTAATGGCTCGTTTGTTTTTAGACTTCTTGAACCAATTTGAAGTTGTTTATTTATTCTTGAATATTTATAGATTTTTTATATACAAATTAATATTTACTTGCTGGAAGCTTGGGTATTGCTTAAACGAATAAAAAATTGCGTGGTTTGGGCTGAAAATACACGGCTAGAAACTTATGAGTGAGTTGTGGGTGAATAACAGAGATATTGAAGAAAAATGAATAAAAAAACATTTTTTCGTCACTGAGTGGCACTTGTGCATTTTAATGCATTATTCTATAACACATTCGTAGTAGATTTGTAAAAAAAATTACAACCTCTAAACCCTGTATACTATAATGTATTTGCAAATATTTTGTTTTTTTCTTTAAATTGAAATTTCTTCTTCTTTCTTTCTTTCTTTCTTTCTTTAAATGCAAATTATCCTCATAAATTAAAAATCTAAAACGTTTTTGTGTCCAACAACAGAAAGTCGTTTGACTTCCAGTGAATCAGATATATTATTAATTTAATGCATAGGTTAGGAATGTTAGAAACCGACTTTTACAAAGCGATTTGTAATTGATGCGTGGAATAAAGTGTTTCCATTTATATCCATCTCTCCATTTTTAAGCGTTGAAGCATCTATATGATACTGCAAGACAATTTTCATTTACCCGATGAGTGAATACCTATTTTTATGTTACCGCGAACTATTCTGTGTTATAAAAAACACAATCTCCACATATTTTCGTTTACTTTTGTACAATGGAATGTAATAAATATAAAATTATAAATATGCTTACAGTATCTAAATGCATAAATGTAAATAAAGTGCAGGCTTTGGAAAAATGTTATGTGTAATTAATAATAATCACTTCGCAATAATTTATTCATCCGTATCTAGGTATTTGTTCTGTTTTCTTCATACTACTTTCAAATGATTTTATACAGGGTCCCCGCCGAGGCACAGTGGGGCAGAATCCCTAAACGCTGGCCAAAAGTCAGAAAATAAAGTTTCTTATTCGGTAATTTTTACTGTTGGATTGGCTAGAGTAATGTCCCAAGTCTCAGAATCCATTAATATTAGGGTCAAATTCCCTATACCTGCTTCTTAAATCACTACAAAGGTAAGCGCTGCTCGAGCAACACCTGGCTCGCGCATATGAACAGAAGTAATATATGTGTTTAAGTGTTTATAAAATTTCGTAGAGTTCACCGATTTATCTCTAATGTACGTAGATTTGAATGTGTAGGTTAAAATACTCCATATTTTTACAAAAAATAGTAATTGGCTACCTTATGTGAACTTATGTGAATTTTATGTTATAAAATGAAATAATAATTTAGTTTTGAAGAAAAAAGTTTAATAATTCTGCAGAGTTCTGTAATTTAACTTATTGGACAAAAAAGACAAAACTATTATCTGCAAACAAACAAAAATCAGCTGCCTACAAGTGCCTAACAACTTTTTGTAAAGGTTTTTGTAAAATGTAGAGTAAAATGAATTTCGCCTTCTCTGGACGATGTAAGACATGGGAAGATTGCAGATAAAGACGAAATTGTCTCAACTTCAGAAGATTCGACGGATACTACAAATGAAGATTTTTCATCTGATGACGATTCTTTTCTTTTATGAAAAAACTGGAATTTTATATTACAACTTTGGCACGGGATTCAAATAAATTACTCCCGATACTTATTTAACGTAATATATGAATAGTCTAATATGTCATTTGTCATTTTTACATCTTCATGCTTGATAAATGTGAAATTTTGTATTTCATAATCTTTTAATTCTTAATCTACTCGGAAAATCTCTATTTACAAAATATTTCTACTTCTGATATGGCTATATTAAATCTTCCACATTGAATTTTGTAATTCTGACTCCAAATTTGTTATCAGCGACCCCAAAAACCCCCAAGTAATAAATTTCAGATCGATTTTTAAAGATTTTGACTTTTGGCCAGCTTTTTGGGATTCTGCCCCACTGTGCGAGGTATCCGAGATAATTCTTATATGAATTATATAACTAAATTTAAGCAATAATTGATTCTTGTCACTTTTCCCGAATTCCCAATGGTTCTTGAAATGTCGGGGTTTGAAGTTAGATGGTATGGCTGTTGCTAAATAGTAAATTACATTGTTGCGACTAGAGAGCTTAGAAAAAAATGTGGTTTATTTTAATAAAAGCATAGGTACTAGTGTAAGTAATTATTAAAGCTGCTCAATGTGACCACCGCATTGTGCAATACATAACTCAATCCTCTCTTGAAGACCTCGATCCCAGTTGTAGTTCTCCATATTGATTTTCATCTCATTAAACGTTGTAAGAATCCTTTCAATGAGTTGGTCCCTGCACTTTGGCTTTCCCATTGTTAAATGTCTTCACATGTCCCTGCAAAAGTCCAACGGATTGAGATCCGGAGATGGCCTATCCATCGATTTGGATACTTTTCAATGAGGAAATTAGTGACACCTCTTCCATAAGGGGACGGAGCACCATTATGTAAAACATCGTCCTTCCGATTTGTCCTGAAGTAGTAGAGGTAGATCGTTCTCCAAAAATACCCGGTACATCTTGATGTTCAAATTTCCGTCGCAGAAATGTGATCCGTTCCTTCATTATTAATTATTGCAATCCAAACGTTTACGGAGAATCTTCTCTGAAAATGGGTTTCTCGAATGGCATGAAGGCATTCGATTGCCCACACATGATCTTTGTGGTAATTGCTGATTCCATCTCTTGTAAAAGTTGCTTCATAATAGAAAAGGATCCATGAAAGAGTATCCAGATTGCTCCGTCATTCACAAAGACGAACCCTTTGGGGAAGATCCGTAGGGAGAAGTTATTGTACTGGTTGGTAATGATAGCAATGCAGTCCAAGTGTCTTGCACAGACGTTCTACTTTGTCCAATGAGCACAGAAATTCTTCTCATACCTACTAGTACCAGGATCATTTTCAACAAGCTCAAGCACTTCTGCAGCATTGTTTCTTCGCATAAATTCTCATTCATAAGTCGGTTTAGGGAATGCAACTGTTAATTGAAGATTTGTGAAGATTCTATTGAACGTTTGCTTGTCTAGAAGAGGCGGTTTGGATATCGTCGTTGATATTCCCTAACTGAGACGGCGGTACTACCGTTGCAATATCCATACCCGAAAATTATGTTCGCGTATTCTCCATTTGAATAAGTTAATGGCATGATTTTAACACAAATGACAAAAAATAAAAAGGAACCAACTGTAAGTGATGACAATTAACGAACTGACAATCAACAACTTTTTTCAAATCCTAGCCAAGTAGCTAATTATTGAATTTCCTAGCCCTGTAGTCACCACAATGCAATTTACTCTTTAGTAACTACTTATGCGATCTGGCAACTTCAATTCAAAAACGGTTGGGTATTCCGGAAAAGTGAATACACTTATTTTTGCTTAAAATTAGTCATAGAATACATATACGAAGTATCTCGGGTACCTCGGTGGCCACACTTTTGTAGGTACCTATTGATTTGAACATAGTGAAACGGGAATCATCTCACCTGAAAATCTTTGAGACGTCCGATTTGGGCACCAGACATGGAAAAATTTATGTCACAATCACCGTCATAACTGAAAATAGTCCAATATTAGTTAACAGAAGGAATGCTTCCAATATAAAATACATACTATATGTCGAAATCTATTATAATAGAATCCTTAGTCGTTGTCCTGTTATAAACTTTTACACCATCGATTTTTGGAGGCTGCAAGAGTTGAAATAAATGACGGTTTCATCTATATTGTGAAAGATATTTACCATTTCTCCAAAATCGACAGCTTCGAATCTAAACGATTCAAATTTTTTTCGCATTTTTGTCTGCAAGTGCCCTCTGAAATGCTTTATGATGCAGTTGTTTATGCTGGGCCATAGCTGTAATATAATCTGCAACAGAAACAATAAACTTTAATGTGAATGTCCCTGATATTAGATTTCTTTTTTTTACACGTTTTCAAGTTTTTTCTACATTTTTGCATTATTATTTACTAAAAATAAAGTAACACAAAACGCTTACTTCGTTAAGCCAGTCGGCCCTTTCTCTGTCAGGAAACGTTACCTAAAAAAAGATTGTGAATGAAACGAAAACGATGAGTAAGACACTATTAGACTTACCCAGGATGGTAATTCATCGACTACTTTTAGAATATCTTTCTTTGTCATAGAACTTGCTCTGGATTTGGAGGTTATTCTATTTATTTTCTTGGACTTGTTGATTTCCAACCAAACGAGAGAGCAAATGGTGAGCAGTGGTAAGGTTAAGGAGAAATTGAAGTAGCAAATGAAGTATCCCACGAGTAATAGTGATGCCTAAAAATATTTATAATAAATAAATAATTTAAAAAAATATTTTATTAAATAGAGTATTGTAAGTTTCTAATTAATAAAATGATGCCTTATATGGATGGAGAATTGTCATAACACTAATATCACCAATGTTATGGAAGGGCTTTTCTTTGGATAATTATTTTGTCAACACAACTTACGAATGTCGTTTGGGCAGATGCATTTTTGTAAAGCACTTACCATGATTTTATAAAATTTCGGGTTTTATATTATTTCTGTTGTCGAAGATGAAGAAAACAATGAAAAGAAGCAGGCTTATTAATAGAAGTTTTGGGGACTATTCACAAAACAAAAACCGGCTCGCAAAATTGTTATTAAGGGCGTTAACATCGTTACATAATTACCCAAAGAGAGTTCGTTAAAAGTAATTACATTAATATTTGGTAATTATTATCACTTAACCACGATGAGTTCATAAACTTTATTTTTAGGCCTACTTTTTAGTGATCTTAGCTACTGTGTAGAGTTAAAAAGTTACACAATATGCTTCCGTCGAGATAGTTGAAATATATTTACTTTTGCGCCATTATTTTAATAATTTGTTTTTTTTGTATTTTGCACCTGTGAAAAAATTTAAAAATTAAGTAAATTAACCTTTATGTCGAAAGGATTAGTTAAGAGTTATTTTCGTAAATTTTCACCTTACCAAAAGTTTACAAATATGTTTGTTTAAATAAAAGATTACTATTCTTTTTGACCATGCGTTAGATAATTCCTTATTACCTAAAAGTAATAACTTTAAAGATTAATGTTTGAATACATTGGGTTATACTGCTCGTTTTTCTTAAATAACATTGATAGTTTATAAATACTGCTTATATAATTCCTTTATTAAATCTAAACTTTAATATGAAACCATAGTTTGGTATGAGTAGAGAGGTTAGAAGTATCTTCTTAAACTTCTTTACTTCAGAAGCTGTGCGGGTAGGTATATCCTGTCATTGGATACACCCCCAAAAAGGAAGAAGTTCTAAATAGGTTTACATTTAGCTCACTCTAGAATTATAGAGCAATAGTGGCATAATTTCTGCGTTTAAGTTGATATGTACCCTTTATATATTCAAATTTCACATACCTTCAGAGGATATTTTCTCTCTACAGTTCAGGCGAACATACAAAAATTCTCTCTTTTAATCAGAATTTGTACTAATTGTAACAACATAGTAAAGGATATTTTACACTCCAGCATAGCCTCTATTAAAAAAACTTAACCTCTCTCTAGACCAGTTACAATTAACCATTGTTTCTTCTTTTATGTTATTTTAGTTAGTCACATTTTGTAGTTTTATACAGGGTGATTCAGTCATAATGTCACCAATTTTAATCACGCATTTGGAAAGCCTAATACATAAAATCGAAAAAAAAATTTACTCGACCTTTTAAAAAATAAGCAAATTACTTCTTAACTCCCGTTAACTCGGCGCCGTACTGTCACATTTGCTGATTGCGAGAGCGTCGGCGCACCACAGAGCGTTCGAACTGTGAAGCGAAACAGCTGATTTCCCCAGTCGTCTTGCTGTTAGTTTCAAAATCAAGTGCAATGGACCCCAGCTTAACAAAATGCTATGGATGGATGAGTGAGTGTTTTTTAGCCGTACTGTCATTTTAAATAGATAGGTAGCATACTACTTTTTGAAAAACAATAAGTCACACAGTAAGGTATACGTACTACAAACTGAATAATTATTTGAACACAATACTAAAAACTTATATTTAGTTATAAAATGTACTGAAAACGTGAACAATATTAAAAATACTAAATAACTTAACATTCGAAAACAATTATCATCCTTACACATTTGTTTTTATTAACAAATAAACAATACTTGGTTAATATTTAAAATGTAACAAAATATTTTATTTATTCATGTGTATAGATAAAAAGGCATGTATTTGTCGTTCACTATTAAAAATACAATAAAAGCTAGGTTAGTGATCGAATACGGTAGGCCAAGGTTCACTGTCGATAAACCTTTGTAGATAAGTGGTCAGAACATTTTGTTAACCATTATAATATGGGTGGCACGATAATGTATATATTTAAAAAATATTTTTTCGTACCCAAACCGTTCATTTAATCAAAATTCTTCAAGGGGCCCAAATACTTCCAAATAGTTTCACCTATCAAATAAAAAATAGTTGTCATTATTGCCCGAAAGAGAAAAAAGTTATGAACAGATATTATCACCATACACCAATTTTGTAGAAGTTGTAAGTTTTAAAAAACACTCTGTATAACACCAAAATGTGTAGATTGAAAGCAAAAGTCCACATCCCAAAATTAATCGAAATCGAATAATACGTATTCGAGTTATTTACAAAACTCAAAAAAATTTCACGTTCTTTGAGGCCATCTAGCGGTCAAACGAAGCGATTTCGGATATAGGTAAATTAGCCTAAATCTGCCTATTTTGAGTCCACGAATTTGTGGTCTTCCGTTGTACACATTATTCTGGGACACCTTGTATAATATTATATTTGCTTTTCCTCTAACACGTGCCCTATAATTAGATTTAGTCTGTTGAGCATATCCGCTTCCATATCATAGTACATCAATTTTAATACTATTTCTTGATCTAATATTAGCAGCCAACATGGATTCATATAATGTTAATAATAATTAACTTAATGTGAAGTGACACATGCAGATTAATTTTTCCATCTCCGTTTTTTCAGTGTAAAAACCCATGAATCTTTCTTTTAGTGTAAGGGTTAGTTTTATTATTAATTTTCAAAATACCCAAATAAATAGAGAAAAAATATGTATTTATAGTTCTATTTTTTATAAGATATTTTCCGAAATTATTTATTTGTAACATAATTTTAGTTTTTTATTTGTTTTTTTTGGGATTTTGCTATTAGTGAAAAAAAATAAAAAATTATTGCCTCAAAAGGATTAATCAAAAGTTATTTTCATAAATTTTTACGTGAAAAGTAGATAAATAATAATTTATTAATTTAATAATTATTAAATTTTTTCAGGGTCTCAACACAAACAAACAAATAAATACCTGTTACTAAGGTCAAATATATGTTGACAAAAAACTTTTAAATTAAGAAAAATATAGGTAGTTTTAATTTTATAGCCCATGTTTTCGGATACACATAAAAGATAGTTATAAATTGGAATAAATTTAGATTTTAAACTACATATAATACTAATGTAATTAAGCATCATTACTGTCCATTGCATTTTTAGGTATAATCGTAACGATTAGGATACAAGCAAATGCTTATAAAAAAGTCATTTACACATACCTTCCTTAAGAAACAGAAAATTATCTCAGTTGCCATATTCTGCTTTTCTGACTTCACCACAGGATCAATATGCTCCTGCTCTGGCTTCGCAGGACCTGGCGGATTATCTGCTGCCTCCATAGCTTGAAAAAATCATAATTGTAGTGGGCATTAATTACGGTGATATCAGTGAATGTTCAGGTCAAGGTTGGCTTTAAAAATATACGTGTATACGCGCCGCGAGTTTGAGATAGCTTCTCTACAGAAGCATCGTATGGAGACTGAACGAAAATGGATCGGGAGATGTTTTGATGTGCAATGGCCATTAAAAATATTCCCGAAGGGGAGGGTTCAATCTATATTTATTGCAGGCATTGTCTTGTATATTTGCCATGTATGGCAGGTATAACAATAACGGTACTATGACACTATAATTTAACAAGTTAATAATTAGATACATAAGAAATATAATTGTACAATGTAACATGCAAATGAAGACAAAACTTAAATGTGCATTTTGGAAATGAAATGAAGTCGTTTCAAACCTACTTGCTTACATGCAATGTTGCCTAGTTTTTTGTATAAATCCGTGTCATTTTTTTCTATAGGCCAACAACTCGAAATTATGTGGACAATGGACCAAATCCTGAACACTTAGGTACAATTTTTCTGTTATTTGTGTTTCAGAATGTTGCACTATCTACTAAAGTGATAAAATTGTCAATATTTGGAAATTTTCGAGGTGTCATGTATTTATTAGTTTTTGAAGTCTCTATATTCAATGAACCTGAAACAGATAGGCCGCTGCTACTTCCTTGAACTCGCTTTCGTTAGTTATGTTCCAAGTTATAGCACAAAAAATACGGTAAATTAAGAGTATTCGTATATTTTTATAAATTTCCATAATTGAAAAAATAATGAGGTACCACACAATATCCTAAGGCAGAATGCCAACAAAAATAACGCAGGAGCACCATGACTGAAATAAAATACCCTCACTGAAAAATCGAAGGACTATTTTTATATTAAAAAATGTATTTCAATAAATCACTATTAAAATTTTTTACAATATCTGTAACCTCTGTGTTTAAAATCAAAGTAAAATGACATATTCTAGTTTATCTTTTCTTTATATAACACAATTTATATAAATTGTATATGCAGAGTGTTCAGATTCGATCCCAAACAATGTCAAATTTTAGCCCTCTTTAGAATTCCAACAGTTTCACAAGTTTTACTAATTTACAACTCTTCTTACTTTTCTAATGAAATTTGAAATTTCACTATAAAATGGATGTGAAAAACGTCAGTAACTTTAACTCTCAATATTATTATACCATTTTCAGGTAATTTCAAGGTACCCTAACAAAATTTAACAATTTTTAAAATGTTGGACCTCAGACGAATTAAGCCACGTCGTCAGATTTTCCATTAAAGAAGAAATTATTCCTATATGCACTATTGTTAATATTTTACTATACGTAGAGGTATCTCTGTCCAGTAGGTTACATTTTATGACTTAATCTTTTTGCATGGGTTTACGTTTTACCGTATATGTAGAATATGACATATACTGTAAAATCCTAACCTCAAAAAAGTTATGTCATCATATTACAATGTAAAATTTCAAAAAAGGTAGGTAGGTATTATTGTTAAGATGTTGAAAACGCATCGTTTCTGTCAAAAACGCAATTGACTGTCCCAAAATCAACTAGCTTTTCTTCCTTAAATATAAATTGTTCCCAAATAAATGGGAAATTTGATTACCTAATTTCAATTTAGTTTCCCTAGAGGTAACATATACAAAAAATACTTTTGGAGGATTTCTCTTATATTAAAAAAATTGTTCAGATATCACTAGGTATGTGATATTGTTCTGTAACTCGCGGTTTTTAATTTACAAAATAAAGAGAACACTCCGTATATGTTTTGAAATTTTCGCCGATTTACGGAATTGTATCAAGAAATAATTTATTTGCAAAAAATAATATTTGAAGTGATTATATGTACCTTGAAAATAAATTTTGTGTATAGAAATTATACGGTGTGCTATTTAGAAATATATAAATTTGTGTTATAGATAAAAAACCGGAAGTTAGAGAAAAATATCGGGTAAGCATCTGAGTTCTATGTAAAAAATTGTGTAAAAAAGCACTACAAAAATCGAATATTCTCATAAACGATCAAAATTGATTGATCAATTATTCTCGAAAATGGAAACTGAATGAATAACTATTTTTTAATCTTTTCCATGAATAGGAAAAACCACTCAAGTGTCGAATTTGGCCCACCCTCTACACTTGTTTTGGAAAAGGTTAAATTAAAATTTGCTTTATTTCAATCAAGACGATAAACCCATAATCCATAGAGAAAAATTGTTTTATTTTTTTAAGTTTTATCGCCCTCTAAACTTGTTACACTCATTTCCGCAACGGTTTGTGTAATCAGATAATTATTGAAATAATATGGCGTACCACAATTTCAGAGGAGTATTCCGGATTAAATCTGAACACCTTATATCGAGTGTTTTCTGTGTTCCTATCGCAACTTCAGAATGTCGTAACTTATAGGTATCATTTTAAATCTAAAAATCTTTTGGACCAAGAATTTTTAAGCCACTTTTATAATTAGCATAATCTTTCGGCGTAGATAAATAAATCAAAATGAACTCTTTTCGCCAAAAAGCGGGAAAAATTTACGCAATCGTGCGAAGTTAAATACATAGCTTGTACCTAGTTAGTTTTTAAAATAAAATGAAAGACTTCTTTCTCTTATTATTACTATTGAATATCCAAAATACTTAGTAGCATCGTACTGAGATTCTTTAAGTTATTGTTTTAAAGAATTCTGCGGGTGTCCGACGCCGGCACAAAATACTTTCATCTTTCACTGCATTTCATGAACGGGTTAGGGACTTTTGTTGCTGACAGTATTTTTTCCGGCAATGTATGCTAGCAGTATGGTTTGGAAACCGTAGCTTTAGTAGCACTGTTTCCACAAGTTAACATGATCAATATGTTTGGAACCTATTAATTTATACTTTCAGTGTCATTTGTCGTCCATTTGCGCCTTTACCCAAACTGAGTTCCTCTTAAAAAATATTGAATTTAATCTCAAACATAATAATGGAGAGTGGAGAATAAAATTATTAATTAAAAATCATTAAGTATGCAAATATATACATATGAAAACTAATTCTTTTTTTCTAAGATTTTTTTAAGACCTCCCCATCATGAACAAGAAAGAAAAATTATTCTGAAAAATATTATTTTTTATTCTTAAAATTTGAATTCTATCAATTTTTTTTTTGGGGGGGAGCCTACCAAAAAGGATATTTTTTCTCTAGAATAGGCCCCCACCAATTTTCAGCCTACAGGTCCCCACAACTGTAAATCAGGCACTGTACAATAGACAAAAAATTTAGATAAATGCAGGGATTTACGCTATAATAAGAACTATTTTGCGGTTATGTGACAAAATAATATGCTTTGGCGGTCGGGAAATTTTTCCTAATTCTATAAAAGCAATTATTTCGGCTACTATGTTAAAATGCGGCATCTATACACAAGTACCAGCATACCACATTTCATTTAAATCAGACATAGTGGCGCCTTTTCGTTCTACAGGGTGTTAAAGTTAAAAATATATTTTTGATTATTTGCTATATTTTGAAAATTAGTAGTTTTACGTTTATTGAGGTGGTAAATACGAATATGCAAACAGTGTTGGTATCACGTCTAGAGGGCGCTAGTTATACTGTCCTATTAATGTAAAAATATGTACAACTTTTAATATTTTACAATTTTGAATTTTTTAATTAGAAATTATTGAATTATATTCAATTGTAAATAAAAAAGTATACTTATTACAAATCGATAAACTCAATCATTTTCGAGATACAGGCGTTTAAAATTTTTGAGACATTTTTTTTATGCATAATATCTTAAGAAATTATTAATCATAAAAGATTCTCAAAGTAACCAGCAGCGACTTCAATGCATTTATTTAAATTTTGTCTGATGTTAAAAAATAAAGTTCTATGTTCTTGACTATTAATGTCTTTGTAAACTAGAGAATTAAGATAGCCCCAAAAGAAAAATCCAGCGGACTTAAATAAGGGCTACGTGTAGGCCAAGGTACATCGCTACTGAGTCCAATTCAACGGTGCGGGAAATATCTATTAAGATATCCTCTTACTTCTCGGGTATAATGTGCTGTCAATTTAATATGTCAATGACTACTACTTTGGAAAAAATAATTATTTAATTTAATTCCCGCTGAATTTCAAAAACTTGAAATGTCTGTATCTCGAAAACAGTTGAGTTTATCGATTTGTAAATACTAGGTACCTACTAATATAATACCTATTTTATTTTAATAATTTCTAGTTAAAAAATTCAAAATTGTAAAATACAAACAGTTAGACATATTTTTACATTGAGGGCAGTATAACTAGCGCTCTCTAGACGTGACCCCAACATTGCTAGCATATTCGTTTTTGCCACTTCAAAAAACGTAAATTTTCAAAACAATCGGTTCATACGTACTTAAAATATAGCAAAAAATATTTTTTCAATTTTAACACCCTGTAGAACGAAAATGAGGAACAAATGATTAAGGCCTGTTTAGCTCAATCGCTATATTTAGACGTTAACAATCTGCCATTAAGCTAGGTACCATTATTAATGACTCACCCTGTATATACTTGCTTAACTGTATGAATATGATATTCACATACCCAAGAAAAGAATTATATTGATTCACTATACTTATTTTAATATAAAAACTTTATGATTATATGTCGATTCATTTAAAATTATGTGTAATATGGGGGGAAATATATCATTTTTGACATTTAATGAATAAGATAAAAAAAAATTATTGGAAAACCATAGAGATAAATCTATAGAGATAAAAATATAATAAATATAGAATAAAGCCTTCAGATAACTACATAATGTTCATAACATACATAAAAAATCCAAAACCAAGGGCAATTTGGAGTAAATAAGTTTTACATTTTTTAACGTTTGTTTTTATCGGAGATGTATTTTTTAATACGAAATGAAGCAAATTTGAATAGTAGAATGATCTTAAGATTATCCAAACATATAATTTATGTTGTTTACGTTAATTTTGGGACTATTAAATTATTTTATGAGAAAATATCTAATAATAAAAAGCATCACTAACGTACAAAATTGAAATACTGAAATTTTGACATCAGTCATTCCATATCATTTATCGTGCATATAAATCATTAACTTATTTAATTACAATTTATTAGCATACTGAATGAAAATTGCAAAAATATATTTTGTAAGATAAAACTTTTTACTATATCAAATCTTTTACCAATGATATATCTGAAATTCTTTGAAGATTTCATCTTATCGTGCATTTCTAAGTTTAATTTTCTACTAGGTATTTTAATATACAGGGTCTCCTAGAATATGTGGGCAATCCCTCGGATTTATAGAGGGGACGTTAAAATAGCAAGTACCTATAAAAATTTTCAGCCCCTAAAGGACGCCCCTGAAAATCTATTTTTCTTTTAATAACATTTAAAATGCTTTGTGTAATTTAATTATTTTTTAATACGATGGACAAAGACTCCTTGAAAACAATTTGGCTTATTTGGTTTGCCAGGAACGGACTATCTGTATCACAATAATGTCAATTTTTTTACACCCTTACAACCTTAAACTAAAATAGGCACTCTTGGTTGATATCGATAAATGAACTGTTTTCGAGAAAAAACTATTTTTGTTTAATATGATTTATCCGTAATGTGAAATAAACCAATGAAATTTGCATTCTTTCTGTGCCATTCTAAAAGTCTTATCTGTTGTCCATCGTATTAAAATATAATTAAATTACACATTTTAATATATTATTTCAGTTTTAACTTTCAAAAGACTGATTACCAAACTTCTAAACCTGACTAATAATTTCAAGGTAAAAACCATACCTGTATAAGCTTAATTTATTAATAAATGTTTACGTCATTTAATGTGATGTATGTTAATGAACGAGAAATTTGACAGTATTTTATTTTCCAAATACTACCAGAAAGAATATATTGAATAAACATGAGTGTTTTGAAAATGTAGGTAAGTGCTGACATTTTTATTTAAATGGGCATATCTTATAATATTCATACAATATACTTCTAAAAAGCTTTAAAAGGATCATTGAAATTTAAAAGCATCACTCGTAAAAATGTAAAAGCGCAATAAAACAATTTATTTTATTTAACTTGAGAAAGTAATAACTACCAATTTAAAAAACAGCAGCGTAATCATCAAAATAAAAATTAATAATTGACAAAACTCGCTTATAGCTGTGTTTGATAAAACAATTTACTGTTAGGTGTCCTAGTGAAAGTGTTACCCTTAAGGAAATATACATATTTCATAACACTATGTTTGTAAACAAATACAGAACCACTTACTACTTAAATAAAATGGCACGCAAAACCTCTATTGCACAGCACACTAAACCGAGAACCAATTAAAAATGTTTATTTTTATTTATCTTATCAGTTGCAATAAAACCGGGTGTGCCAATATAGAAAATGATTATTCATTTCGACAGAAACCACCAATTTTAACGTCTAGCGCGCGTCCAGTTTAGAACATAGCAACAGCTAAACTAATGACGTACGTTTTGTCCCACCTAAACTTAGCGTTATACCGTCCAGTCATGTAAAAATATAATGTTAAAAGCATACTTTATCGCATTGTTCCGGAGTATGTTTGTTTACGATTGTATTTATAGATTAACTTTTTAATTACTTGCTAGTAGTGTAGGACTATATGTCATAAATTATTAGGTTTACATATCACTTATAGACTACTATGACTGTAATCGATATCAATAGCCTTAGCATGGCGTAATCGTCTACTGCTTCTCTCCGAGTAACGGAATGAGTTGGGGGTGAGTGGCGCAAAAAATTAAGCGTCAAATAAATGTATTGTTGAAGGTTACATACAAGAAACCGGGACTGCTTTCAGATTTTTTTCATCACGTAGGGTTTTTTTGTTACAAGCATTTTAAGTTATGAAAATAGTACCTATGTATCACGATCAGAATTTTAAAACGTGTTTTATGTTGTTTTGAAACTGATATTTGATTCCTAATAGATTTTTCCTGCTGAAACCAAATATGTCTTCCTTTTTCAGGTTTTAACACAAATCGTAAAAAAATATTTTATATTTATAACAAATTATTTAAATAAATCATAGCATTAAAAAAAATTGTTTGTTCATCTAGAAATATGTGGATAAACCTAATTTTAGTGTAATTTAATAGACAAGGAACAACAATTCAATAGGCATATAAGTAAGAAGGCATATTGTAGGTCCCCAAATCAGAAAAGTTTTGAAAAACGATCATTTCAAATCAAAATTAAATTTCCTTGAACTGACATCTTGGCGAAGTAGGTATTACGGCGGTTCAACCTGGGAAAATTTTCGGGGACCGTAGGAAAATTGAAACCTGCATTTTTACCTAATTGTCAAAAGCATTTAAATTTTAATGTTACATATATTTTATTTCTTTTGTTGATGATCTCAGTCGAATGATGCAATACCTGATGAGAATGATGTAATGCTATTTGGAGTTCATTGACCTCTTTTACTCTCTTATAGATATCAGATTGCAGTTTAAGCCAACGTGGCAGTATTAAAGGAAATGACTATCAAGTTGCAATTTTTGTTAATACTGGATTATAAAGGAAATAAGGCACTAATGTTCTGCTCATGTGTCATATGATGCAATACCGGGGGACCACATAGCCGGGTGTCTCGGCCGGCGGATTTCGATCTGCCGAGGCAAGCATCACGGATGCAGGCTGGAATTTGGATGGGTGACCTAAGGCAGGCTCGGGGACGTGGCTATGGCAGCCTACCAGAGACCTGGGTCGCCCAATATTTGCCGCATGCGTGTGGTCCCCGATAAATTGTAATGAGAACAGAGCAAAGAAAATCTCTGTAACTCAAGACCATGTTATCATACATAAACTGTACGAGACTCTGCCACCAAGCCACCCGTGTAGTAAATAGGATGGTTTGAAGGAAAGTACTCGAATAATGAAGGAGGGTGTACAAGGGGCCTAATAAGGCCTAAGTGCCGCGGTGGAAAAACAATTCCACCACCTTCCGACATGCATACATACATACATACATACATGATGCAATACCGGATGAAAATGACGCAATGCTGTTTGGAGGTCATTGACCTTCCTTATCGTGACTGGATTTTAAATTTACCGCAACTGCTGTTTGAAGTTAATTGACCTCCATTATCGTAGTTGAATTTTAAATGTACCGCCAACCCCACCTCTCTTTCCTCCCCCTCCCACCGATCTCTATTGCGTTTAAATATTTTTCTAGAATTTTGAATTTACCGCCAATTTGAATGCCGCGCTCTGATTGATCTAACAAGCGTAGGGGCGTGACCGAACAGTGGTGTGGTGGGGGTGGTTGCTGCACACCTGTAATTAACACCTGTCCGGCGACTCCGACAAAGGCCAAATTTTTGGGAATTAGGTAAAAACTTAAGTTCCAACTTTCCACGCTCCCCGAAATTTTCCCAGGCTGAACGCTGGTCAATTTCTACTTGGGTATCATTTGTTTCTGTGGTGAAAGGATTTTTAGATAATCATGAAGCAAATAACTACCCGCAACTGATAGCAGAACTAAGAAATTACAAAAATTTAGGGTGTCGCATGTCACTAAAAATTCATTTCCGTCACTCACACTTGGATTTCTTTCCTGACAACGTTGGTGCTATAAGTGATGAACATTGGGAGTGGCTTCATCAGGAAATCAGCACTATGGAGCAGAGATACATAGGAAGATGGGATATAGGAAGCATGGGTGACTATCCCTGGTTTATCAAAATGGACGACCATATTCCTCATAAGAGGAAAGGTGCAGGATAATTAATCCTGCACCTTTCTTCTTGGACAAGATAATTAATTGCATTGAAATTATACGCTGGCTTGGTTTCTTTTCATTTTTATATTGTATTGACATTGAGAGTTGTAATCTAATTAGTTATTAGCTCTTTCTTGGGGTTTAATTTTGGCCAGCAAAGTTCAGGCGTATATAAAAAAAATATTTTTATAAAAATTAAATGACACTGGATTCGGGCACGGCTTATAATTGCGTGACTTCTACTCGTATATGTAAATTAAATATGTATATGTTTAGAATTTGCTATTTTAGCACTGTCGCATGGAATTTCAGCCAACACAATTTAAAATAAAACGTAGATAAGTATAAATATTAAAATAAAAATAATAAAAATTAATGAAAAAAAAACAAGTCAAATGCAAGATACATAAAATGGTGTCACAGCACCGTAGACGCAAAACAACAAAAATAAAATAGCAAATAGCGTCTACTTCTAAAAATAGCAAAAATATGGCCTTCTACGATGGGCCACACTGTACATATATGTCCTACCTGAGATTAACCTGCTCTCGATGAGAAGATTGTCGCTAATACAAATATCCTGATGGTCCAACGCTAAATAAAATTGCAATAATATTTTTCAGATTTCTTGTTTCATTCTAAATTTTTTCTAATTTTTGGGAATAGTTTAGTCTAATTCTATAATGTCGGTATTCTGTAAATAAAAGTTGACTAATTTGAATATTTTAATATCTTGTCGTCCTTGAATCGATACTATACTACATCGTTGCAGAATAAATAAACATTTTGTTCATTTATATCCGCCTCAGGTCATTTGGGAAACAGAGTGAGAAAACGTGTTGTTAAAGCAATAATGACATTGCTGTGGTGATATGAGTACATCAATATTTTTTAGGAACGTCCTGCAGTGTGTCTCAAAATTATACATTACCTACTTAATTCGTGAATTCAAATAAAAAAATTAAAACTTTCTAGTTGTAAATTAAAAATTTGACAATATACTAATATATGGAATGAGATATGAGCCATCTGCCTAATTATACATTTTCGTTTATTGTTTAAACGTTCAAACAAAAAGTCATTANTGGCTGAAAAGGTAAAAAAAATGCTACTCAACGGGATGGCCAAATACAGGGTGTTCTATTTAAAAAACCTATGTTTATGCAATATCGGAGAAACTATGCGACTTGTAAAAAATCTGAGTACGCCAATGGCTTCCTAATAAAAAATAGAACAAATAATGTGCACACTTTTTTCTTCTAAATTGAATAACAACGGAGATAGAGAGGTTAACGTAAATGGGCAATTTTTCAAAAAAAAAACCTGTATATCTAAAACTAATCAAATTAGCCAAGATCTTTTGGGACCAGCGAAGTAAACGCAAAAAAAGAGGACGGGACAACGATATAAGATTTTTTGTATCACCGTTTTGGCTGTACCCTATAAAACTATCGAAAATCAACCACCCTGTACATATATGTCCTACCTGAGATTAACCTGCTCTCGATGAGAAGATTGTCGCTAATACAAATATCCTGATGGTCCAACGCTAAATAAAATTGCAATAATATTTTTCAGATTTCTTGTTTTATTCTAAATTTTTTCTAATTTTTGGGAATAGTTTAGTCTAATTCTATAATGTCGGTATTCTGTAAATAAAAGTTGACTAATTTGAATATTTTAATATCTTGTCGTCCTTGAATCGATACTATACTACATCGTTGCAGAATAAATAAACATTTTGTTCATTTATATCCGCCTCAGGTCATTTGGGAAACAGAGTGAGAAAACGTGTTGTTAAAGCAATAATGACATTGCTGTGGTGATATGAGTACATCAATATTTTTTAGGAACGTCCTGCAGTGTGTCTCAAAATTATACATTACCTACTTAATTCGTGAATTCAAATAAAAAAATTAATACTTTCTAGTTGTAAATTAAAAATTTGACAATATACTAATATATGGAATGAGATATGAGCCATCTGCCTAATTATACATTTTCGTTTATTGTTTAAACGTTCAAACAAAAAGTCATTAAAGTTAAATGTATGAATGAAAACCGGTATTATGTTGAGGAACATTTTTCACTACCAAGCAATAATTATAGAATTTATAAATTATCGTTATTCTTCTTTTTGAAAATTTACTGGAAGCAGAGCGAATTCATCCGTGCTTAAATATATAAAAAAAGTATAAAAATAAAGAGAAATTAAATTCAGTGATATATAGATAAAAATAATTTATTTAAATACAAGTGATATATTATTCAGTCTAGAAAACTAACTATGTGGATAAGTTGCAAAGCATGGTTGATCTTAATACTTTTTTCAATCCTTTTTTAAATGTGGACCCAAATCAAACCAGTCGGTGTGTGTCTTAAATAGGTCTAGTTTGGCCAAATCAATAACTACCTAAAACGTTAATAGTTTGTTACTAAATAAATAACTGGACATGCTTACTTCTCCAAAAATATAGTTCTTCATCATCTTCTCTTCTATCACAGATATCTCCAATTTTTTTGAATTCAGCTCACCTTGTGGAACTAGGTATTCGAATCTTTCATCGAATGTTGCATTACTCGAATGCATGACCTGAAAATGATAACTTAGTCATAAAAAAATATCAGGTATGTACACCTGTATGAGCGACGTCATTAGATGTACGAAAAATAACTTTTTAAATTTAACAGTCGATTCTTTGCATCATTTGACCAAAAAAGCGCATTGTATATATCCAAAATTAACTGTTCCTGAGAAAACTAATTGTAAATTTATGTCTTTTCAGTGTAAAAATATGGTATTATTTATTAAAATTTCAGGCAAAGTCCTTTAGATATGTGGTATTCGCATGATTGAGCCTCATCACACATCTCCAGTTGTGGAGTACCTCAATAACAATTTTGGAAACAGATGGATAAGTAGAACTGACTTTAATTCTAAGATCTTCTGATGCTTTAGACTTCTACTTGTGGTGCCATGTGAGGAAGTGGTCTATATTACCAAAATGCGGGACAAAATTGATCTTCCAGAACACATTTTAGCTGCCAATTAATTAAAAAATATATACCAGGACTTTATCAATGGATACTGGAGAAGTGGCTAAGCAATGCCAAACCTGTTTAGGTTCAAATAGTTGACATTGTGAACATTTAATATGATAAAAGATGGTAATTTTAACTGTAGCTGTGTCGGGAATCGTGCATAAAAAGTATTGTGTTATTATAGAGCTAGTTATTTTTGACAATACCACAGCGGGTAAACTTTTCTTTATTCTCAATAAACTAAATAAAATTCTTGTTCCAATGCATTACGTTTTTAATAACATGTATTATTTTATTTGCAAAATTAATATAATAGGCCAAACAGAACTGCTTTTTCATATTTAAAACACCAAATGTTTTATATTCATGGAATAGTCGGAACAAAACCGGAAAATTTCGAAAAAATTTAAGGCTTTTTTTAAATCTAGGATATAATGGGTTCTTGCCACTATGCATGTTAATATAAATAACATATTTAAAAAAATAACGTTTATAAATTATTTTAATAAAAAAATCATCTCTCATCTTTTTCTTAACTCATTTTTTTTACTGCCTTTATGTTATCATTTCGTTAAGAAACGTATACATTTTTTAGTTACAAAAAACTATTTTGTTTCTTTTCGTTGTTGTTTCATTGCTTGCTCTCGAAAAATTAAGACTATGTTCCTTTTTAGTGTTTTAAATAACCTATTATTGAAAATACTAAGCAAATTTTGTCCATTTGTACAGACAGGAGCTCGACTTATTTGATATTTGAGGACATTGCAAAATGAATTAATTTTATTAAAACTGTTATTTTCATATTATTTCAGATTTATTTCAGCAAAATATATCTGAAAAAATATTTTAATAAGTATTTTTTCAAGAGTTCCTATTTCGAGTTTCTTGAATTTTTTAATATTTTTTTCTTCAGAGAACTCCGAAAATGTTTCTTTCCACTTTTTAAGTTTTTTAGATCTAAGACTAAGACAATCTTAGTCACAGCACAGATGTGCAGAGATGTCGATTTAAAAATTCTTGATGTTTTGATGCGTTCTTTTCGAAAACAATTGAGTTTGAATGTACTCGTATATTTTTTTGTCAAAATGATATAAAGAATTGTCTGTTACATTTATGAAAGTTATTTCTATAGCACCTTGTATACTGCGATGGTAATTATTTTTTACGCTCTTTTTAAGTCGCATTGAAAACATTTATTGTCTAGAACCATTCAATGCCAATAATTCAACTAATAACAGATTTGGTGTAATAAATATGTGACTACTTGTTTATTTTAATAATTTTTATCGGTACAAAATAGGAGGAGGAGAAATTACATTAATGCAAACAAAAAAATCTATTTCCAACCAAAAGTAAATAATAATTTGCCCATTTTCAAATTGGTGTCTCCTAGAAAGGGAGAATTGTCATTGAGAACAAAAAAAATTACGAAACAATAAAACACAACATTTAGCTATAGATACTTACACCCGTCTTCCTCTTAACATCCTTATTTCTTTCAGGTAATAAATATACTTTTACATATAAATTTTTTCCTTGTTCTTTATATGGTATTCTACAAAAACAGTATATATTGAAAATGTAAGAATAGGTATTTGAGACACTTACGTTAAGGAATGCACTATTACGATCAATCGTTGCCTTTGAACACTATATCTCAAGGACAAACTAACTTGTCCTGTGAAGATTGGTTCCTCTAAAGACCTGCAACATATTATATTCCTTGATCAGTTCTGGTATGTTATAGTTAATTTTTTCTTTATTTGACATGGATGTATTTATTAAGAAAACGAGAAACTNAGCCCTTTGTTTTATGTTTTTCCACCCTTGGCCGGGGGTTGAACAAAAAATTACTCTCACTTATTGTTATAATATACCTTAAACTAACTCATATCAAAAATTCAGCCAAGTTGGCAAAATTTCGATTTAAAGGCTTAGTTAATTGGACTAAAAGGAGAACGTGGAATATCAAAATACCCCAAGCTGAGAGCATTTTGAAATGAAATTTTTACAAGAGAACAATTCAACGATTTTCTCGTTCTGGCACGCAATAACACATATTTGCTAATGAAGGTAGTGCCGGTCTTAGGCATTGCAGGAGCATGCCGTTCTGGTGAGTTATGCAAACTTATTTTGGACGTCAATTTCAAAATTTTCGATGCCATTATTGTAGTTACAATTCCAGATTCTAAAAATGGTATGTCACGTACGTTTACAATTACTTCTCGTCTGGTTCTGTTTCTCACCTAGAAATTATCAAGAAATATATCAAGATTAGATTAGAAATTAAAACTTAAATTCTACACTTTTTTATCTATCAAGCAGGTAGATGTTACAACCAACCAGTCGGCAAGAACACCCTTTCTATGATTCCTAATAAGATTGCACAGTATTTGAAACTAGAACATCCTGAAACATATACAGGCCATTCATTCCGAAGAACATCGGCAACGTTACTGGCTAATACAGGAGTTGATGTATTAACAATCAAGAGAGATGGTGGGTGGAAATCAGCCACAATTGCAGAAAGTTATATTGCTGACAGTTTAATGACACTTCAACTCCAGGTTCTAGTAGTACGTCGCATCATGCTGTTTTAAGGGAACAGTCGGATAATATTGAGCTTTCGGTGACTGAAATGGAGCGGTCAAATCATTTTGAGAAAAATGTGACAATTAGTAAACACGATGGGAATAATTATCCAGATTTTATAAATGTTACTAAATGCAAAGTTTATATATACCTGAACTTTGCTAAATGTAATAACTGTACAATTACTATTAAATATTCATTCATAATAATTAATAAAATGCAATGTTCATCAAATATTTCTATTTATTTGTTCATAAAATATGCATTTATAACTCGAAATCGCTTAAAGAGGTAAGTTAACTCACTTACCTCCCCTTGTCCATGGCAACTTCCACTTCTACGGTAAATTCCACTTACCTCCTTAAAAACAATGTATTAATAGTATGTTTACTATAGTGGGAGCAGATGAAATTTATGTTAATATTTATATAGTTTTTGATATAGGTAGATATGTATCATAACAATAAAAATAATAGTGAAACGTCTTCTTCATATCCACTTTCGTTAGTATCAGAATTAAGAATGTTATCTTCATCATCTGAATCATCACCATCAAGGTTTTTTTTATTTTAATTTTACCCAGGCAGAGCACAGGTTCTAAAGTCAATAAACTGTTTCAATTTTTTTGGCAAATTTCGATAGTTGATGTGATAGTGATAGTCCCCTGACTTAGTTTTTGACTCGCGTGTTTCGCGTTTGGCATAAAACCATTTTCCCATCCAGCATAATTATACGTCGACATTTCCTACAAAACCACCCCCAATTTTTGCCTGGTCCAGAAATAAGTAAAACATGTTAAATAACATAAACTCAGAAATTTTGGTTAAATATTGAATCATCGTTAACGAGGAAATTCGTTTTTTGAAAATTTCAAAGGTCTCTAAGTAATGCTTTTTAAGACACATTCTTAGAAAAAACAGGTCACATGTTTACCTGCAGAATTCGCCGTTTCATTTTGTACAAACANTGAGAAGAAAACGAGAAACTTAAAAAAGTTAAGTTTGTTTTGAAGAAACGAATCTAACATATCAAGTCCAAACTTCGCAGCTTTCCAAATGTGTACACTTCTTAAATCTTAAGAAGTTTTACTTCTGCAAACAATTTTAAACCTCATTCATCAAAATCCGTTGATTCACCATACTTGGATATACTTCTAAAATTATATGGAGTATTCTTTTGGGACCCCATTCATCAAAACTCACCGCGTTGTTAAAAATTATAGTGAATCTTATAAAGTAAAGGCTTAGTTGCAGCTTAGATATGTGTAAACAATCTGCAACCTAGTGTTTAGCTCTATGATTTGCTACAAGTTTGTGAAATTATCGGATAGCAAGTTCACATGTTTCGACACATATCCAAGTCTTATAAATTTTGCGAGCTCCTTTATTTTTATACTCACCCAGACTTACTACGCCGTCTGGAATTGCTTGAATTTGACATCATCGACGATCTTGTGGACGATTTAGAAGTGCGATCAAAAATTTCTTCTAGTTTCACATTGTTGAACAGTGGGGAGTTATTTGACATTTGATTATCTGAATATTCCGAGCCTGAAATACAAAATCGTAAATAAAAAGATAGTTGTGATGCATGTGCTTATATATTTACTCTTTACAGATGAAGTCGAATCTTTTCTCTTCCTCAAAAACTCTTCCAGATACTCCTCCATGTTCTCGTTTTTAAAAATCTGAGAACAAAGATAACTAAAACAACGAATTCATCAACATACTTGAAAATAACAAATGTTACTGAATTTTTCCAGCTCCTTTGTTGATTTTTCAAGTTCTAGTGTTTTTTTAACAAAATAGTCTTTGCTGCTGAGTATTACTTTGCAAAACTTATTATTAAACGAATTGTGACTCACCTTCAGATGCAAGGACCACACGATTTTGCTCTCTGGGGTCCCCTTTCCTAATCTGAAAGGTTGCTGCAATATTTCCAAGTTTTCCTTATTTGAAAGATTGCTGATATTGTAACTTAGCGAGCACAATTCACTCTCAGTCTTTGCATCGACAATCCTTAAATCCAAAGCGTCCGAATCAGGATTGGATACGAAGAAAATGAATCCTTCCTCCCAGACAGGATTTATGGTCCGCATTACCGTTTTTGTGTTTTTTATTTGTTTTCCTATTTGAATTTGAACGTAAGGGTCTGGTTTGGTGGAGATCTTGACTTGCTACAAAGGTAAGCATTATATGTAGAGAATGCAGTGTATAATATACAATAAAGAGTATTTAATAAGTAGCAACACACAACAACGAACACTTTGAACATTTAAACATTTAAATTTCACAGAAAGGGAGATACGCTGCTGGGTAAGATGTAAACATGTTTCATATGAACTACTTACGGGCAAATTGGTAGCTGAATCAACGTAAACTATTAACAGTGCTGTGCTGATATGAGTCAATTGAAGTTGTTGTGTTTCGTAGATTGCCTACAAATAATAACTGATCATTTATGCTTTCCTCCATATTCAACTGATAAATTTACCACTTGCAAATCTGTGTAGTCGGTGCTAAGGGCTAGCCAAGTGCACCTCACGTGGATCTGACCATGTTTGACATCTTCTAGACCCAACCACTGTAACAGAAATCCAAGGAAACGAAAATTTGGTTGAAAATGATTACAGTACTGTACTTACCAAATCACTTTGTCCAGCCTTTATCAAATTAGATATATCCAGCGATATTCTGAAAATGTATGTGATGAATATAACTAAATAATTGCAAAGAAATGTAACTAAATTACTTTCCAAGGGTTTCATCTTCAGTTGTGTCCTCGTCCCAAACGTGAAGTTTCAATTGTTGACCACTAAACTCTAATATAATGAACTAAAATTAACAATGATATCAAAATGTTGTTAATATAAATGTATGTTATTTTTCAACAGTTGAATTTATCATAAAAATTGAGTTAGAATTCTATAGTAACTGAAAAAATTGTAAATACAGACGAAATATTGACTGTGATACGCACCTCACACCAATAATCCCATTTGGGGTTTACTGTACAGTCGATTGTTTCAGTTCTAAAACTTTGTTCTCCCACTTCAAGAATGGTGTAAGGATCTGATTTTCCTTTTCCCGTGAAGCTTATATCCTTTTTCACCAGATCTTTGGCTTCAATCACGTGAACTCTAAGAACACCCTGAAAAGCTATTAACTATAGATCTTTTTCTTATTTATTAATTTTAATATCATATTTATCTTGATAATAGTTTACTATAAAATGAATTTAATAAACATAATTTATATAATAGATGTTGAAACTAAACTTTTTGGTGAATACTGTGTTGATTCAAAAAATAATATGACTTAAGAAAACCTTAATTTCCAGTGTCAGGTTTTCATCAACACTATGCTAACACCTGTGACGTGGCAATTAAATTGGAAATTGTTTAAATATTGACAATAAATCATTCTATATCAACTTACCGCTGGACTAGGTGTTTTGAGTTGCACACTACTAACATCTTTAGATAATTTTATAGGGAATTTATTGGGTAAAACCATTAATGATGAAATAGTATCGACGACGCTTTTTTTCAGCAGATTACTGAAACAAAATGAAACTTGTAAATTTTTGTAGAAATTTTTCTCAATTCTAAACTTCTAAAATTATTTCTTGACATTAAAACAAGATAATACGATACAGTCTAGAATAGTTAGTCTATACAACTTATCAAAAAAAATGAAATGTACCCATACCGTGGTGCAAATAGAAATAAAAAAGGAGTCTTACAACATTATTTCAAAATATATATCTGCACGCCACTGGACTTTGATCGATTATATTATAATACCTGACCTAGGTCAATGCACTCACAGCCAATAGACTCTTTTAGTGTGACGTCACATATTTAGGCAACCCGCAACAAATTGTCATAGTTGAAATTGCAGATCGAATCTGCCCCTTGTTTACTATTTACATAGATACCTACTATAGAAATGAACAATTTCAAATTAACTTATTTTTACAAGTATTTAAGAACAAGCAACATGTGTTTCGTAAAATAGATACACTAATGTGCTTAAAACTTACAAAAGACGATATAAAAGAATATCCTTAAATTTAAATAAAGTAATGCGCATGCTCGGGAAGAATACCCTCATACGCAGGTGAGATCTTGTTGATTTGTCATTGCTGTCTTTTGTTTAATCCTGGCATTTTCTAGTTCTACCTAGTTTTTTTATTGTTTTTCTTGGTGCTCTGCTGTGTCAGTCTGTTTATGGAGTGTTTTTTTTTCTTCAACTTAACATTTCGTGAATCCCGTTGCGAGGCTACTTCGCTTACATGAAATTATCTTTAATGCGCATGCTCAGTAACATTGATATAATTTTAATTTATTAATTACTATAAAAGTCAATATTGTTCTATAAATTTAAATATATATACTGTAGAATTCTATTAGTTTGTCACTTTGGGTTTGAAACTGCTTAAATATTTCTAATATGGCGAGAATATCGCGATATTTAAGCTCATGACAAAGAAGACATTTTTTGGTACTTATGTCAAAAGTACATAAGGTCGAGAATCGATATAAGTACAGTGAAATTTTTCTTAACAATGTGTACTATGTACTGTACTGTGTACTTATTATTTGACGTATGTGGCGTCACTATTAAAAAGGTCTATAGGCATGTACAAAAAGTTTCTGCCAAGAAAACTAAGAGTATATCTTTCAGCCACATTACAGCTACTTTATTTTAGCGTGTGCAGATATTACTTTCATTATTGTAATTAATTCCTATTATTTATATGTTAATTAGTATTTTAACCAAATTAGTAGGAGCTAGGTAGCTATTAAAATTTTTCTCGAATGACAAGTGCAAAGACGATATATGTTGTCGAATAGATAAAAATATATCTATCTTCCAAGAGTTCAGGCAGATCATTTCGAAGAAATTCGAGAAATTGAAACCCACCTAATTAAAAACACTAGTCATTCAACTACTTGCTTTTATATAACCTCAAACTCCCCGTTTTGCTTTTTCCCGTTTTAGTTTTTATGGACTCACTCTATATATTATTGTAATAATCCAATAAAGTTTATCTACTTACTTTATTCCCGGTATTTCTAAAATGCCAGCTATTCCATCTAGGTCGAAATCAATGTCTGGGATGTTCAGAAAGAAGGCTTGTATGCCCCCTGTCAGTGGTATTGTTTTAATGAGAGGCTTCAATACAACCCTCAATCTGCCGTATAACTAAAAAAGTGAAAATTGTTATATATCTTTATAAAACTGCGCGTAAGATTAATCTACTAACTTGAAAATTTTTTACACCTCCGCCTACACCATGCAAACGAAATTTTATATCGCAATCGCCAGCATATCTAAAATATAATTTATTTTCATTAGTAAAAATAATAAAAAATATTAGAGAGAAATAGAAAACAGAAATATAGTAAACATAAATTTTTTTATTTTACAAAACTGCATTTTGTTTTTTTTTATGCAAAGTGTTCTAAGATTTATAAAAAATGAAATGCTAAATTCTACAAGTAGGTAATGTCTCTTTTCCTCTACTAATATGAGCACTAAAAAGCACCCCTTCTAAGCTACTACAGCCCTTTAGAGTTAAAAAATAAAACGAATTTTCTTGATTACTCGGTAACGGTAATATTAAACAAAAATTTGTGTTACTTAATTCTAGCCCAAAACCTAAATCAGTCAAATGTGATATTAAGGAGAGTTGCGCCTTTTTACCTAACACTAACTTTAAAAGAGAAATAAAAGAAGAAAATCAAAGTAGATTATCTGTACTTGATCCTATTTAATGACCATATACAATAAAACTTATTTATTAGCAGGTAATATATTTACAATCCAAAATTACGTATTGAGTAAAGAAATAAATTTGAAAAAAATAGTTATTTACAACCATAAAGGAGGTAAGTATTATTTATCAGTGGAGGACGATTTTGCGCCCGAGAGGAGCGAGGGCTGGCAATAGAGTCCGAGACTGGAAATTATATTTAACTTTTGCGTGGTTTACAACATTTTATCTGCTCCCACAGTTCTTTATGGTTCATGAAATAAAGATTAGGTTTTATTTTTTGACATTTCTTAATCAATTCATTTTGACATTATTCGAAATCTTGCAAAATCGTCTTGGTTATTTGGATTTTGTCGTTTCTAAGGTGTTTATAAATAACGTTGCAATTTTGCTGGTTTTCAATTATTATTTCCAAATGAGTGATTTTTAAATAGAAAGTGCAGCAAATGCCTGCGAATTTTTATTGCCCGAGGAATTGAAAGTACGCTACGGACGAGCATATAGAAATTTCAAAGAATGGTGCTAGAATTAAAAAACGGGTGTTCTGAAATGTCACTGCTAGCATATTTCATGAGTCACCGGCGAGTTTATGGAGTGAATATTCAATGATTAAGTCAACTATTTACATAGAGGAGAACGTGGATATATCAAAATACCCCATGCTGAGAGCGTTTTGTTTTGGAAACATAAGAATGACGGCTATACACCTAAAAAATGAAACGTTTTTACAAGAGAACAAGTCAACAACTTTCTCGTTCAGGCACCCGATAACACATATTTGCTAATGAAGGTAGTGACGGCCTTAGGCATTGCAGGAGCGTGCCGTTCAGATGAGTTATGCAAACTTACAATGTCAATTTAAAAAATTTCGATGACATTATTGTAGTTACAATTCCAGATTCTAAAAATGGTATGTCACGTACGTTTACAATTACTTCTCGTCTGGTTCTGTTTCTCACCTAGAAATTCTCAAGAAATATGTCAAGATTAGATTGGAAATTAAAACTGAAATTTCACGCTTTTTTATGCGCTATTAAGCAGGTAGATGTTACAACCAACCGGTCGGCAAGAATACCCTTTCTATGATTTCTGGTAAGGTTGCACAGTTTTTGAAACTAGAACATCCTGAAACATATACAGGCCATTCATTCCGAAGAACATCGGCAACGTTACTGGCTAATACAGGAGTCGATGTATTAGCAATCAAGAGACATGGTGTGTGAAAATCAGCCACAATTGCAGAAAGTTATGTTGCTGACAGTTTAAGTAACAAAAATGATATAGCCAACAGGATTCTTTACAATAACACTTCAACTCCAGGTTCTAGTAGTATGTCGCATCATGCTGTTTTAATGGATCAGTGAGATGGAGCGGTGAAATCATTTTGAGAAAAATGTGACTATTAGTACACACGAGGGGAATAATTATCCAGGTTTTATAAATGTTACTAAATGTAATAACTGTACAATTAATATAAATATTCATTGATAATAATTAATAAAATGTAATGTTCATCAAATATTTCTATTTATTTGTTCCTAAAGTATCCGTTTATAACTCGAAATCGCTTTTTTCCCTAAGCTGGTAAGTTAGAGATGTTTTAAAATCTTATGAGCTGTGACCTTCATATGCGCAGAAACATAATTCCGACCGTCGCCTAAATTATTCTAGATCCTAAAAACATTGCACCTATTATTCACAGTCTCTCTCTAGCTCTAGCGTAAACAAGCCTTTGATCCGATTACAAATATCATAATAAAATGCCCTATTCTTTATTATTTTAATTTAAACAATAAAAATATATATAACGAACGTTCGCCAGTTGACTTTATTGATGCCCGAGCGCCTTAGCTCATTTCTAGTTGTGATGATGATGATTAGAAGAATTATGGGGATACGCCACGCCTTTCGCGCATTTCGCGGCTCATGAGATATTAAAAGATCTCTACCTCACTTACCTCCCGTTGACCATAGCAACTTCCACTTCTACGGTAAAATTCACTTACCGCCTTAAGAACAATGTATTAATAGTCTATTTACTATAGTGGGAGTAGATACAATTGATGTTAATATTTATATAGTTTTTGATATAGGTAGATATGTATCATAACAATAAAAATAATAGTGAAACGTCTTCTTCATATCCACTTTCGTTAGTATCAGAATTAAGAATGTTATCTTCATCATCTGAATCATCACCATCAAGGTTTTTTTTATTTTAATTTTACCCAGGCAGAGCACAGGTTCTAAAGTCAATAAACTGTTTCAATTTTTTTGGCAAATTTCGATAGTTGATGTGATAGTGATAGTCCCCTGACTTAGTTTTTGACTCGCGTGTTTCGCGTTTGGCATAAAACCATTTTCCCATCCAGCATAATTATACGTCGACATTTCCTACAAAACCACCCCCAATTTTTGCCTGGTCCAGAAATAAGTAAAACATGTTAAATAACATAAACTCAGAAATTTTGGTTAAATATTGAATCATCGTTAACGAGGAAATTCGTTTTTTGAAAATTTCAAAGGTCTCTAAGTAATGCTTTTTAAGACACATTCTTAGAAAAAACAGGTCACATGTTTACCTGCAGAATTCGCCGTTTCATTTTGTACAAACAGTCCTAGGACACTTTGTATAAGTCAAGCGAATTCCAGAAAAAAACAAGGCCTTTTAATATATCCACACGCTCAGTTTATTCACAAATAAGGAAAAAACCCAGAGGCGCCATTCCCTAATATCCATACTTACGAAACATCCAAATCCATAACAATTTCATCTCTAGACACGTTGTCGTAGACAATAATTCCTCCAATCCTGAAGGGCTGAAAGTATTTCAGGGTTTCATTTTACATTTCGGCGAATTTTATTCAGCTTACCACACTCCCTAGTATTACTCGCTGAAATTTAAATCCTTTCAGGGAGTATTTTTCAAGATTACGTTTTAATTTTGCTTCCAGCGTGGTCGTTATCAAATCATGCACGTAATGGTTGACGTTGGGCCAAAGCTGTTTGATAATCCTGTTCATCCATTCTGCCCGTTCAATGTCTGGAAAATACACCTGAAATTGAAAAAAAAAAGAAGTGTTGGTTAATATATTTATTAGATAATACATTTTAATTTTAAACAAGCGAAGAGTTAAGTAATTTTAATATAAAATTTATTCCGTTAAAATCGCATTAGCACTTAATTTTTCATTTTAAATTATTGATATTCTGTAAATATTTAAAAAAAATTGCGGTTATAAATACATATACAGGGTATCCCAACGAAAATTTGACCCCCCCCTATAATTGGAAAACCGAATAATATTTCAAAATTCGCCGAGACCTGTCGATTTTTGTTCTTGGGGGAGCTTTTTTGACAGTCAAGCCAACTCGATATGTTTATCCCCCTAATGCCTAGCAACCCCAACTTAAAAATTTCAAATGCAACTACCCCACTTGTGGCACATCATTTTAAAGCCCTTTTCATTGCGAATACAGTGACGTACCGTTTTTAGAAATCGGTTGAGATTTGACAGAATTATTGGTTACAAACGAAAAGATGACAAACCAACTTACGCGTAGTAATTTCTACACAAATGCCCACCACTAATAAGTTTTTCATCTACTACACATGACCGCATTACCTAATTGTTATTGATGTGTCTATCAGTTTACAAAAAAGTCAGAAATGAAATAAAAAAGCTGAAGCAAATAATAAATCAGATTTATTTGATGAATTGCTCAAAATGACCCCCGTTAACTTCCAAACAATAATACAGTCTGTTTTCAAATTCTGTTCGAACATTATTAAAGACATCCGCAGTTATTAATCGGCATTCTTCTACAATTCTCTGACGTAGCACTTGCAATGTTTCCGGCTGAGTGGCGTACACTCGTGATTTTAAATGACCCCACAGAAAAAAGTCCAAAGGGGACAGATCCGGAGATCTTGGTGGCCATTCGACGGGACCTCTTCTGCCAATCCAATGCCCCGGGAAATGGTCATCCAAAAATTGTCGCACAGCAGCAGCATAGTGCGGGGGCGCACCATCTTGTTGGAAGGTTATTTCATTTTCTAGTAAATTGTCGTCACTTTCTAAAATCTCTGTTATCCTAGGATCAATTGTACTTTCCAATAATTCTAGATAGGTGTTTCCATCGAGATTACCTTGGATGAAAAATGGTCCAACAAGATGGTCGCCCAAAATGCCTGCCCAAACATTCAATTTTTGAGGTGTCTGAGTATGAAATTCCCTGATTAAATGCGGATTAGTATCACTCCAATAACGACAATTGTGTCTATTCACTTCGCCATTCAACATAAATGTGCATTCGTCGGAGAAACATGTATTGTAGAGAAGATTTGGATTCAGTAGAAGTTGTTCACTAAAGTATTCGCAAAATTGGTTACGGCGATCAAAGTCATCTTCATGTAACTCTTGAACCAGCGTCATCTTAAATGGATGAAACTTGTGTTTTTTCAAAATTCGATGAACACTGGAACGGGATACGCCAGAAGCTTGAGACACAGTTGTAATCGATTGCTTATTATCCATCTGTACATGACCCAAAACTGCCACTTCAACTGCTTCATTTCGAACTGGCCCAATTACTTCACGTTTCTTGTTTAAAAGCGAACCTGTTGCAACAAATTTGTCAATCAGGTGTTTAACGTACTGGTGGTTTACATTTTTTTCAGGATGATTGGCATTAAAAATTCGTGCTGTAGCTTTAGCGCAATCGTGATTTCGATAATAAATTGCAACAATTTCTACTCTTTCCGCGATAGAATAAACCATTTCGAACACACGTTAATACTTTCAATAACGGCTGAAACTAACGATTTCTTGGTCACAAGCAAAAAACACCGACTTTTTTTGTAGTACTGATTTTTTGTTATTTTGAAAAGGTCTGAATTCCTATAAACTTAAGTATCTTCTACTAATAACTATTTTAGTATCTAGTTTTATTTGCTTCAGCTTTTTTATTTCATTTCTGACTTTTTTGTAAACTGATAGACACATCAATAACAATTAGGTAATGCGGTCATGTGTAGTAGATGAAAAACTTATTAGTGGTGGGCATTTGTGTAGAAATTACTACGCGTAAGTTGGTTTGTCATCTTTTCGTTTGTAACCAATAATTCTGTCAAATCTCAACCGATTTCTAAAAACGGTACGTCACTGTATTCGCAATGAAAAGGGCTTTAAAATGATGTGCCACAAGTGGGGTAGTTGCATTTGAAATTTTTAAGTTGGGGTTGCTAGGCATTAGGGGGATGAACATATCGAGTTGGCTTGACTGTCAAAAAAGCTCCCCCCAAGAACAAAAATCGACTGGTCTCAGCGAATTTTGAAATATTATTCGGTTTTCCAATTATAGGGGGGTCAAATTTTCGTTGGGATACCCTGTATGTATTAAGGAGTAGGATGTATTAAATGTTATTACAGTTGTTATACTATTAAAAATTGTTTGTTAAATATTGTTTCATTGTATGAATAATAATATAAACAATTTCTTTTTCACGTGTTATCAAAAACAAACACTTTTAACGTGGGAAAACACGGCTGGGTTATATTTGCGATATTATAGAGATATGAATATTTGTATGTATTATCTTTATTACAAAATATGTAAACAATGCAAGCATCATATAAGTGTATATATTTTTTATGTCCAAAATAATTGATACAGAGCATTGAAAGGAAATATTATATTAGGACTTGACCAAAAAAAATACAATTTGTTAATGCAAATACAATTCAGAGTGATTCCTAAGTTGAGTAATATTTTTAACAAACGTGTAGAACTACTCAAAAAAAGTATATTTGTCTAATTTTACTTTTTAAGTAACTCCAAAATAATACATTTACAACTTTCCGTAGTTGTAAACAAATTCAGCGGAAAAGAATTTAAGCAAGTAAGCTAATCGCATGCATATTTACAACGAATCGTACAGAAACATACCTAATGTTTCTCGATTTTGTGCGAATGTTTATATTTTCTTATCTTGCACGTTACTGTCAGTTGTATCGTGAATTTTGATGGTGACTTTTGATTGAATAACTCTACTTATAATGGCTCACGTATATGAAATAACGGATGAGTTAATTTGGTATCAATTTATGGAAAGTGTCGTCAAAGCGCGAATGCTGCATTCCAGCTACACGCGAAACGTTTTTCTTTAACGGTCCCTCGTCCCTTGTTCGGGTTGTGTAAAGATACAAGGAACCGGTGATTTGCGGAAACATAGTGGAGTACCAGGAAATGTCCAAGGAATGATTTTAAGTTTTGTTGACAAAGATTTAACAATTATTAAAAAAATTGCAGGCTAAGTTGAACTGAGTCAACAAAGTGTGGACAACATTGTGGGAAAATCAGTTGTACCAATTTCATGTGCAACGAGTTCCAAATCTTTGAGCCGCAAGACCGCCTAAGCAACTGTCGCAATACTGGTACATTTTCAATATAGGTTGTCGATAAAAGTATTGGCAGTTATTGCTAACGGTATTCTTGTTACGCCTTTTATTTATACAGATCGCTTAACGCGCGAAAACTATTTGGGTGTTTTTCAAAACCATATTCTGGGTCTTCTAGATGTGCTTCTGAACGTTAGAGAGAGCATGTGGTTGTTACAAGATATAAATTATTATCGTTCAAGGCAAAAACTTAATATACGCTGTTTTCGAAATTAATATGGTAATTTTTTTAGTTAGTTGAAAAATGGTATTTGAAAAAAAAATGTTTTAATTTAACGAATTTTATACGCTATAAAAAAATATGACTGAAGAATATGTATTATATTTTGAATGCTGTCGAAAATAGAAAAATATACCGAAGAGTATAACAACATTGCCTACATGAAAAATATTACGTTCTTCCGAAATAGGTACAGAAAACGTGCTAATATGCAGGGTGTTCTGAAACTCCGTCAGGAAACTTCGGGAGGTGATTCTACGGATTAAAATAACAGCAATGTGTAATGAAAATTTGTTTCGAAATGTCAACTGTTTCCAAGTTACAGCTTTCAAAGTTCATTTTTTTTTATTTTTCGTTTTAAATGACTTATTTAATTCAAGTTCGATTAGTCTCTCATTTGGCACACAAAGTAAGTAGATCAAGTTCTATTGGACCATTCAGCGAAAAGTTTCATTATGCACTGCTAGAGGTCACTTTACCTAGAATTCAACATTTGTTTTGTTCATAACTCTTTTCTCTTGCTAGACATCACAGAAATTTAAACATTATTGAAAAGAGAAACAATATCAAAAAAAATATGTACTCTGTTACTTGGATGTGGTAAAGTAAATTCAAAACAAATATTTTTTTCTCTGCGGAAAATTTGCAAATTATTCTTTATGGTAAAAGAACACGTCTCAGCTTTTATCAAATAAGTAATTTAAGAAAGTATGTCATGGACATACAAATACTAAGAAGATATACCTACGATTTTAATATACTGGAGATATATCTAATACTGTATTATCAGCTTTAGGGTTTATGTAGTTATTAATTGTGAATAATCAGTGCCATAAAAAGATAAATTAATAATATTAACACTTGTCACGCAACTATAAATGGGGACAGGGTGAACCCCACTCAAAAAAAAAAATCTTAGAAAAATTAAAAAGGTAAAGATAAATTTATATTAACTAAACGAATCTGTGGAAATACAGTTAAATGCATATTTTTCTACTAAATTTAAAGAAAATGTAAATTTGTATTTTTTGTATTTTTTAAATCAATAAAAACTTTATCATAGCAACTTTTTTGCAAAGAATTTCACTGTGAACTGAGATTTTGTATCGACATTTTGGTCTCTTAATCATTATTCCTTTGCAACCGCTTTTCTTCTTATGGATTCCATTTGGAACGTACTGAAAAAATTATAAGGAAAAAAAAATGCAAGGCGATGATTTCTCGGAAGTGCAACGTTGAAACAAAAATCCGAGATGAGAGTGAAATTATTTACAACAAGATTTACAGTAATATTGTATTACAAACAGTTACAAATGCAAATTTGTAAAAGCAAAAAAATTTAAATATTTTAAAGATCCCAACAGTTAGGGTCGGGGTGTCATTAAGTTAGTCATGGTCTAAAACATTTCCCATGAATTGTTTTTCCAAATCTTGTAATTTCTGGGATCTCAATACACGCATCACCAAAATACTCCACTCAGTATAACTTTATGGTAAACAATACTTCACTCAATCTATAGTTAATATTTGGTATTATTTTATTTACATTAGGTACTAACCCACGCAGGCAAGTCTCCAATATTTTCTAAAATAACGTCCTTCTCACTTCGTAGAGCCGCTTCTCTAATCAAATTTCTTCTTTTCAGACTCTTCCTTTTCCGCTCATCATTGAAGATGCTTATTATTATAGGAATGATTATCCACGAGATGGACCAGTTCATATATCCAATAAAGTAAATGATTCCGGACAAAATAAGCTGCAAATGCGAATACTCTAAAGCTAAAATTATCTTATTACAGATTTTCTGCCTATGAAAATAAATAAGTAAGACGTACACGTATTTAAGTTTTCGTTCAACAATCGATTTTGTTACTTGAACATTTGTTTTCCTTTAATCCTAAAAGTTTTGCTCATAAATTTATTTATGAGTAGTTATATTTCAATAGTTTTCGAATGCTTGAAAATGGAATAAAGTAAAAACTGTGAGAGTAATAATTCTATATGAATTCTTCAAGTGATTAATTTTTAAATTCGCACAAATTTCGGCCCGTAAGTAGATAATAATTTAAAATAGGGGATCTGTTCAGAAAATAACCGAACTTTATTATTAATTTTATACATTATTGATTCCTGTATCCTTCAAAGCAAGCCTATTTTCACACTTTCCTCAGTGACGGTTCCATTTCGCTTAACCGTTGTAAAATGATTTGATAGTACACACGGTCACTCTTTCACCTTGAGGCAACAATTGAAAATGCACAATTCCATTAAAGTCGAAAAAAAAAGGAAGAACAACTTGACATTGGATCGAGACGTGCTTTCTTGGGACAAGGAAATTATTTGCCTATCCATTGTGATGTTTGAACTTTTCTCAATGTCGTAACCGTAAACCCAGCTTTCATCTCCCGTTATGATCCTTTGAATGAATGTTTCGTCATCTTTGAGATTATTCAAGGAGATTCCTACAAACGCCCACACGAGATTTTTTTTCTGTTGTTCGGTCATCAAATGAGAAACAAATTTTGCTGAGTTTCGATGCATGTTCTAGTTTTCAGTCAATATTTCATGGCATTACCCAATTGAGATGCTAACCTCTTCTTCAATTTCTTTGACAGTCACTGGGCGATTTGCACGCATCAGATCTTTGACTTTCTGAACGTAGGAGTCATCAGTCGAAGTCGAAGGTCTCTGGTCGAGGTTTTTAAATCGTGAAAACCTTTCGCAACATTGCGTACTACCCATAGCATCATCCCCTTTGCACTCAAATAACAATATCATGAAAACTAAATGAGATATACCAACAATCCAAGAACATGTGGTTACAGATGAGGTTATGCGCAACACAATACTGCCAGTCGCATATCACTAAATATCTTCAATAGTGCGTAATTCGATTAATTTAGTTATTTTCTGAACAGAACTCGCATCTTTAAATATTAAAATTTTACGGTTTTATAACAACTATGGAAATTGTGATTATGTATGTGCATTGAAGGTTTATTATTTTTTAATACAAAATGAACAAACAAAAATGTATGTTGAACATATTACGTGTCACTTGTCAATTTGACGTTTACGTTGCTGTCACAAGTCAAAATATATAATTTTTTAATTCTTTTAGTAGATTCTGAGTAACATTTTTGTTTCTTTGTTTGTACCTAAGTTATCTACTTATATCTTAATTATTGACCACAAAACTAAATGTAGAATATGTAGATCTTTGATTACTAGTAATTAATTACTTACGTTTTTGGCACCTTTCAAGTATACGTTATTGTCTTCGTAACTTTTCATTCGAACATTTTCTTTATCTTCCATTTTCCATGCAAAAAATATTACTCACTTCACTCCATCAGCTACTAATCCATACATAAAACTTGATATATTTGTTAATGTTATACTATTTCCCGATTACATATTATCAGTAGGTATCAATTCGAAATTAATTGTTCACATGCGATAAGATATCCCAACAAACTCCTACAATTTTGTGACACACTGAAATAAAACAAGATTTTACAAAAAAGTAACAAACTCGATAATTTATTCACCCAAATTTATGCCCATAATCTTCCTATTCATTTGATAACCGTATCTGAGTATTAGAATACTTCTAATACTTAGATAACAGTTAAAATGCCTTCATATTTGTCGTAGCCAAATTGTACAATCTGTGGTTTTTGGAGAATGTCTAAATACTTTATAAAAATGTAATGATAGTTTGATTTACATTCAATTTTGAACCACTTTACATATCAACAACTTTAATAAAGTATCTTTACATTATATCACTTTAACTAATATAGATAAAAACAGATAAAATATGTATAGAATTCCTAAATGAAAATGGAATGTACAGTGTGTCGTACGATTCTGTCTAAGAGGAAATGCTTTTTGTTAGGAAATGTATAAAAAATACAATTCTCTACAGAAATTCCTACTTATCCCCAAACTCTTAAAAATGTAATTCCCTTCTTGGTTTTGTGTCCAGAGAATTTTTTTCTGAAAATTTAAAAGAGATCACAAGCAGAGCATTTGTTTTTATATCGAATAGTCTAACTAAGAAATGTTAATAGTTCCAAAGTTTTAAATAAATAAATTGCAACTGTTTTGTAGAAAAAATAAATATTTCATACCACTTAAGTAGATTAGAAACACTTACGATTCTCGTAATTATATCAGAAAATGGACCATATAGTACTTTGACTGAATCCGAATCTAAAGTCAGAATTGCCTAAGCAGTTTATGTTTTGACGTTAACATCAAGAAGCTCTTCTAGAAAGCGCGACTTCCGAGATTTCAAATTGATTTGAGAAATCAGTGATTCAAATTCATGCATGATCTCGAGAGTGTAGAACCATGAAATTCTGGGAACTCCTCTAGAAAGGAATTTTCGAGCTTTCAAACCGACTTAAATGGTGAGAGATTAGAAAGATATTGAGGTTCATAGTCGCATGGCACTATAAACCCATTATTCTTATTTAAACTATTTTGATCGGGTCAAAGAAGTACTTTTGAATTTTTCAATCTAGATGCAAAGAGAAAAACTCCGAGTGACTTTATAACACAAATCTTTATGCCCAAGATCATGGGTCCACATAAGCTTGTATACCTCGAGTTAAGGGATCACGTAGTTTCGTGGTCATATATCTTCACGCGCCCATGGTTATGGAGTTACGAGGTTATTCGGTTAAGGGGTTATAGAAGCCTTCAAACTCAGTCACGTAGTTTCGGACCCTTGATGTATGAGATCAATGTTCCAACATGTTTCATAGTTTCTACACTCTTGCACATCCCGGTTTATAGGGTTACGGGGTTGTGGGTTACGGCGTCATGAAGCTACTGGGTTAAGGGGTTATGGTGTAATGTTTTTCCAATAACCGACTACTCAAATCAGTTTGCAATCACGAAAACTGCTTTCTATAGTGTCTCGATGTTAAGGTCAAAAGTCAAAACACGAACTTATCCGGAAATTCTGACTTTAGATTTGGATGCGAAGGTTCAAGCTACTATAGGAAAAACTTATCTGGTCTATGGCCCATGCCACTCTTTTCTTTGTGGCGCTGTGTAATTAATAAGAATCAATTGAATTCAGATCGGGACCTCTAGGACGTCATAAAATTTTGTGAATGTTTCAGTTTCGTCATTGGATTGTAGATACAACGTATTTAGTCATTTTAAATTATGATTTTCTTTTACTAGGTATTTATAACATTGGAAATGGTTGGTATTGGTTTTCTGATATTTTATATTCGGAATATCTTCCTCAAAATACCTACATCTATAACACAGACCCACAAAAAAAAAAGTGTTCGGACTTGTGGGTCGGACATATATATTCCCATGTATTTTTCGACGCTGAATCCGATCCCGAGCTCAGAAATGGCCCTCCACGTCTGGAATTGGCCCCAGGGGCCAAAAATGGCCTCTATAGGGCCTGAAAGATGGATTCCGGAATATGGTGAGGTCGAAGGTGCATTTTAAAGCCAAACCCGGATTTGTGGTCGAAAAGTTTATGGCCAACTGAAATTCCCCGTTTGGGACCGGGAAAATGACCCCTTAGGGGCCGGAAAATCGTGTTTCGGACGTCGCAATCGCAACAGTGGTGTTAAATGGTTTTTAAATTCTGGAATTCGAGCACAGTTTGAGTTCCAGAATTTAAAAGTACATAAAAATACCACTGTTGCGATTGCGACGTCCGAAACACGATTTTCAGGCCCCTAAGGGGTCATTTTCCCGGTCCCAAACGGGAAATTTCAGTTGGCCATAAACTTTTCGACCACAAATCCGGCTTTGGCTTTAGAATGCACCTTCGACCTCGCCTCATCCCGGAATCCATCTTTCAGGCCCTATAGAGGCCATTTTTGGCCCCTGGGGCCAATTCCAGACGTGGAGGGCCATTTCTGTGCTCGGGATCGGATTCAGCGTCAAAAAATACATGGGAATACATATGTCCGACCCACAAGTCCGAACACTTTCTTTTTTTGTGGGGCTGTGTAATTCAATAATTGAATTGGAAATGCAGTAAAATTGTAGTATGACCTCCCAGAAGTCCCGATCTAAGTTCAATGGATTTTAATTAATTATCGTTTGTTAATCAATGTCTGACATAATGACGGTAGTATTTATATCCAAACCATCTAACTGATATGAAATGAAGTAATAATTTTTTTGCAAAACAATTGAAATTTAATATTTATGACATTCTCAGATTTTCTTACAATACAAGTGATATTCTTCCATTAAAGAAGAAATATAAGCAGAAATTTCTATAAAGAATGACATATTATATATTTATTTAGAAACATAGTTTGTCTGTTGTATTGTTAAAAATTTTATTTAAACCTTAGTAAAACAACACAAAGTCAACGATGATGTGACAATCGGGTCGCCTTTTGTAAAACGCCTAGACGTTCTATAAAACTACGAATTTTATAGAGGCTACATCACCAACTTCTTCATAACGCTAGTTTTTTATTCAGCGTAAAGCGAAATAATACAGAAAAAAGTGTATATTTACATTACCTTGCTTTAAAGAATATTTAGAAAATTTTCTTTAATTTTGACCTTCAAGTAATTTAAAAACTATCTGCTTAATGTGCGTATAAGTTGACGCACAAGTTACGTAGACTGTGACTTTTGTGAATTAATAAAAAATGTCGTCTGGCGGGTTTAATAAAGCGGCATCAAGCAATTTACACATGTGGTGTGTGTTCGTAATAAACAAATTTTAGTCAGATATATCCATCCTTTGATATGTTAAGTTTTAAATTATAACTCTAACCTGAAATAATTGTATTATCTCGTTTGGCATATTTACCAGTGTTTTGAATCACGGATACGGACATTTCGAAGCAGTTAGGCACGAAATAACTATTGTACTTGACCACAATATTTCAGCAATTCCTCAGTCTCACTATACTAAATTTTATTTATGACACAATTTATTGAAAATGTATGAAATTCGTCCAAGCAACACATATGTTAATATCCTGTTTCAAAGTTCCCAATGCATGACAGGAAACTTGTCTTATTCATTCAGATTCATGTGTGTTATTATGCTGGATACCATATCCTGCAAAGGACATATTTAGTTCATAAATTTCCAATATATTTCACGAAATTCTCCTAACTATCTTGGTTTGAAGCTTTTCAATCATCTGCCAGAAGAACTAAAGCGGATCCAGATTTTTAAAAGTTTTAAATGTAAATTAAAGTTATTTTTAGTGGACAGGTGAATTTATTCTGTAGATGAATTTCTGTCATCTTAGGTTAAGTAATATTGACTATTCCTTTATATGTGTACACATGTCTTAAAGGAAAATAAATGCATTATTATTATTATTATTATTACTATTCAAAATATATTTTTTTTGTGTATAAAATAGTAAAATATATCATTTTTCATTATCAAAACAAACTTCCGCCATTAAATTTTATATTATTATATTATCTCTAATGTCCTTCATTTTGGAATATCGTCTTTCATTTTTATCAATAGAACTTTCCAGTTATCAAACATTTTTCATAGTTTATAGGAGGGTTTTTTTACGATAATAGCTCATGCTCATACGATAGTAATGTATCGCATGTGTCACATACATACTGTATTTTTCTCCAGTTCTTAAACAAGGGTTTTTCAATGCCTAAGAGATACATTTTCCTATCCTACATTTCTCTTTTATTTTTTTATCTAAATAAATAAATCTAAAAACTACTTTCCCATTATTTTCTAATCCAAATGTTGGTATTTATACTGGCTATAAACGTCAAGTTTATTTAAATAAATAGAAAATAATGAATGAAGATGAATATTCGAACAATAATATTTAGAAAATCCCACATTTGATATTATTTCCAGATATAATATTTGACTTTTTCTTTCTACACAGGAGTACTCGTATACAGTCCGAAATATTTTAACATGGGACTAGTTAGTTAGTGCTATTCCTCAATTATCATCGTCATTCCCAATAATCACACAAATATTATTTGTTACTAACAGTATACAGGGTGATTCACAAATTGTGACCAAAAATGAAACCTCGTATTCTTTGGTGAATTTTAAGGGGAATCTTCCCTATAAAGTTTTTATTTAGGACGCTTCGTTAAAAAGATACAGGGTGTTAAACTTCAAAAAATATTTTTAATTTTCTTAAATAATTTAAAAACTAGTAAGTGCAATAATTTGAAATTGGGCACATGTAAGTATTTTCTAAAATATAGATGCTTCAGTGGCGGAGATACAGGGTATCGATGGCATATTTTTCTAAATAAAATAGTACGTCACTGCTTTACGGTAACAGCCATGATACTTTCGGATACGTCTTTAAATTTTCTACAAATTACTACTCTCTTATGTTTTCCGAAAAAACCTGATTTTCGAGTAAAACTTAAAAAACGAACTGAACACACCGGACCTAAACCCACTCAGATTTTGGACAATGTTTACATAAATACATGTGCCCAATTTCAAATTATTTCACTTACTAGTTTTTAAATTATTTAAAAAAATTAAAAATATTTTTGAAGATTAACACCCTGTATATTTTTAACGAAGCGTCCTAGATAAAAACTTTATAGGAAATACTTCCCTTAAAATTCACAAAGAATACGAGATTTCATTTTTGGTCGCCAGTTGTGAATCACCCTGTATTTTAGAATTATTGTTTTATCAGTTAGAACCTTTTTAAATACAGACAAAATAATTTGAACTCTTAGTTATTAATTAAAGAAAATTTTATTTGAGAGGAGAACCACCAACGGATAATGGAAGATGAAAGAAATTTTCTTTATTAAATTATTATCTTTAATTTTATTGTACTTTTTGCACACATTTTTATTGAACTGTGCATTTTGCCACAACAAAAAATTAAATAATTGTTCAAAAATATAAAAAAGATTGTAGAAATAACTTCCTGTACCTATAGGATTGATAAAGCTTTTTTATTTGTAAACGAAAACTAAAAAGACTTTTGATACTGTTATTTAGTGATATTTTACAATGACTATCATGAAATCGTGAAATTATTTGCTTCTTAATGTGAAATCGTTTGAATGACTTTATTCTCTTAAGAGATACTCAAAAAATTATATTTTCAAATACTGTAGCTTCTTTTCCTTTTCAGTACAGCAAAAAAAATATGATATTATTCTGATAAAAGTGAATATTCAGAATTAGAACAGTACCTATAGCCTACGACAGGTATGTTTGATGCTTGCTATTTCGTACATTGACAGTAAATTTTTATTACAACCAAAATTAGGTATAAAAGATATCAATGAAATACAAACGGAAATTGTAGCTATATTTCACTTGTTGGTATTTAAAAACAAGTACAAGTATTTCTGTGAAATAAAGGAACCCAAATTTGAGAGGTTATACTTTACCACTACATTGGTTAACTATAAAATATGTGGTTCAATGTCTAATAAAACTAATATTCCATCAAGTCTTGTTAAGTCTAATTAATTGTTGAAGTCACAAGTTATAATTTTTGGCAATTAGTTAATGACAAGTGTTAAATGCCACGCACAAAAGTAAGTAAGTTAGAAAGCAAAAGGGAAATTGAAAGTAAGTTGTTAGAAGTACTTTTATTTCAGACATAATTGGCATAAACAATTGTTACTGCCAAAACACATACCTAGTACAAATTCCATGATCGGTGAGGTTATATTCACTCACAAACCTTGACTGCAAAGCAATGGAAAGCGCTGGTTAAGAAATATAAACAGTACTTAACTGTTCAATGTTAAAATAGTTTGGAATCACGTGGCATATTAGTACCGAACACAATGTTATTATTTTATAAACAATCGAAAGCGTTAATTTATCAGCGGGCGATTAATATTGACAACGGATTCTAAACCATCTCGGGACGGCTTCTGTAAATGAAACAAGTGTAACAACTTCTAAACGGAATTAATTGAATCCATCATCTTTATTTTTAATACAAAAACCAGCACAATTTAAATTCAAGATATCTGAATCTTTAAAAAGCAGATTTCCTATGTCGATATGATTATAAGTAATATATGAATATGACGTTTTGGGATTTACAAATCTATTTTGCTGTACAATGTAATAATGTTAGGCAGAGTCAAATTTAAAATAGGTGTACTTTAAATTATATAAAATTATCTGGAAAATTTATATTAATGTAAAAGAACTTTCGTTTCCAGTACAATTAGATCATATTGTGTATTCTGTTCTGCCTACGCTCATAAAAATTTTTTTAAAATTACATACTCATTGGTTATTTTGACACATTGTAGGTAATGTAAAAATTGAAATTATATATACAAAGTGTCCCAGAATAATGTGTACAATGGAAGACCACAGATTCGTGGGCTCGTGTACCTAATTTTTATTTTAATTAAGGAAATTCCGCGACAAACTTTTAAATCGCATAAGAACATGAACATATACTGATTATAGATAGTACGTGTCTATTTATCACACTTTTGCTGATGCCACTTCTATAGAGCAGCCATATTCAGCCCATTTATGGGTTTGGGGTTTACACAACATTATGGGTTTTATGAACTCCTTGGTTTATTTTTTATTTTTGGAGCATTTTAATAAAAGCTTGTTTTTAAAATATTTTTTTTTTTACTTTTTATGTATTTACACCTATTTACTTAGAAATATTTGTCAATCTATCCATTTCAAGTAACGCCTCTGCTACTAATTGTTGAAGAGTGCCCTCATGAGGGTACAATCTTGGCTGCAGCATCAGATCATAGTGAAGGCCATGTTTAACTGTCAAAATAAAATATATATGTTTCGTGTCCGTGCTATTAACTGTTGAGGATTGACCTCGTGAAGAGACAATCCTAGCTGTAAAATCAGGTCATTTCTATCATTTTAGTGTATTGTCATCAGAACTTAACAAGCATGCAAAATTTCAAAGTGGTAAGTTTAGAGGAAGTGGTTCAAATTTGGCTTGCAAATTTGCACTAAACATACAAACATACACGTGAAGTTAAATAAAATCTCTGTAAAAAATCTATTTTGAAAACATTAAATTGAAAACAAAACACAGTGCAAGTAAAATAGTAAAACAGGTATTAAATAGAAAGCTGTAATCTGGATGTCTGCGTGTAAAGTTTTGGGGAACGTTCAAATTGTTTCTCATACTCTTCAATAAGTTTAAATCAAGATGTACTGATAGATTTCTATAATTTACACAGAGTCGTATAATTTACTTATCTCGGTATTTAATTATAACATCTCTTAAGTAGTTAAAACACTGTGCTATATTATTACCCCACAAATGAATCTAACCATGCCTACTAAACTACTATCATAGTTCTCTACACAAGCGCGGTCTGATTGGTTGAGCCAAATCAGGTCATGTAAATTCACATTTATATTCATATATTTACATCAAATACAGTAAAATCACATAAAGGATTAGAAATAATACATTTTAAATATGTAAAAGTACAACGTAAAAGGTAAAAATATATTGCATTACAGATGCATTACAATACATTATATTACAATTATATCAACAATGTATACATTATACATTACATTACAGATAATATACACTCAAACGTCTAATTCTACACAATGTAACTGTGGGTACACATGTTGCAAGTGACCCATTTTTAAGTACAACGTCAAGAACGCCGCCGGACGCACGACGGGGTTCCCGGAAGCCGACCCCTGCAGAGTGGCGCCAGGACCAGGGACTTCTGCCACCGACTACCGAGCTACCTACGACCGACTTCAACCACAGGCACTCTCCAACGAACACACCCCGTCAACACGTCTTTTCATATACAAGTTTTCTATACACTAGTTTTCAATAAAATTATTTATTATTACCGTTGAGAGAGCGTTTATTTCTTGCTGTACAGCGAAAGCAACCCTCATTAACAAATGCATTGTGTGTCGTTTCATGGCTTTTGTCGTTATTTTTAATTTTCTGTTTCTTCCATGGATTTTATTCACTGCATTTAGGGGTAGTAGAAGTAATACAAACAATTAATATTAATTTTACAATTATCAATGAATATTTTTTCACAAATCGCTATCCAATTTTTGTCAAATTTGATGATGAAAAAATAATAAGTAGGCTTTATTACCGAAAATAAATTCAAATATCATATGACATAGTTTTTGAAGCTATATCTTCTATTTTAAAAAAATAACCCATTTAAAAAAAATAACCCTAATAATAATAATTAACCCTAAATAAAATATTAAATAAAATAAATAAATTAAATATAAAAGAACCCTAAAACCCTATAAATAAAATATAAAATAAAACCCTATACCCCTATAAATAAAATATAAAATAACCCTAATAATAATTATTAAATCGGTATTTCCATTTAAAATGGGTCACACTGTATAACATCTCTAATTCTATAAAAAATATAATAATAGAAAAAGGTTTCATAGAAAAAGAATGTCATAAAGGGACACTGGCGAGAATACCTAAGATATGCAGGCAAGCAGTAGCGTACACAGAAAAGAAGTTTGAGATGAGTGAAATTCAAATAAATACTGATAACAGCAGTTATGAATAAGTTTTTTATAGTAAAATTATTTTTTCCAAATAAAAGCACCAGGGATCACTACAATACTGTCACTATTAAGTGCTTTAATTATTATACAAATTCTTACCTTGTTATACGAACATGATAGAGTATCTTTAAAGTGTATCGATTACACAAAACTTGGCGTTTTCACTAATCGTCGAAGACCAGGCTTGAACTGAGACACGAAACTGAACCATTTTAAAACTCAATTACTCTAAATTAGATATTTAAATTAGAATGATGCACATAATACGCCGTAAATTTGTGACCTGCATTTCAATTAGAAAAATAATGAACAGATATCACTTAACAAACGACCTTATCCTCCAATTTACAGGCTTATTTTTATTGTGCCACAAAACGGTTTTGCTGCAAACGTGGGAGAACCGCGAACATACGCGCTAAAATAGGGTAATAAAAATTGCGTAAGACGGTCGTTGAATTGGAGCTAAGAAAGGTTTGTATTGAATTTTATGCCCTGCTATAAAAAGAAACAGATCCCACGCCCTGATAAAGACTTTCTAGTATTAATGAAAAGAAACAGTCAATTTGTAGTAACATCATCAAACTGTCACCGAAATATTGAAATTTCGTGAAATGTATGTAATGAGCGTTATTCCAAATGATATATGTTCACTATTAATAAATTTGTCGTTGTATAATAACAAATCTGCTACCCAAAAAAAAGGAATATATTTTATGTACGGAGTAATTACAATTTACTTTCTAGCAAGTGCCTAGTGGCATTCCCGTACTGACCTAGTCATTATCTTATGATTACGTAAGATCAGTAATGCTTGTCTACTGTCTGTATATAGATTCTGATGATTTTACCCGCAGTGCGCCTACAGGCAATTTCTTTGGCTGCTAATTCCGTTTGTATCATACTAGCATGCACATCCACTGCCCAGTGATATCGAATATACAGGGATCTAGAATAAATTCCAAATCCTGCACCTTCCCTCGTTTTAATCCGCCCGTGAAGACGTTGAATACATCCTCCACTGTCTCTTAATGAGTACTGTGTAGGGTCTATCAAACGCAAACTGGGAAGAAATACTGTCAGTGTCTGCCTGCAGAAGTGTCATCTTCCTGACGACCCCATTCCATAGGCGACTCCTAATTTCTCCGCATCCTATATTAGGTTTGAAACCAACGTTCTTGAGGCGAAGCATGGTTGTCAAGGCCACTTCTCTTAGATAGATATCCAAACACAGCATTACCTCCATTGCTATGGTGGGTGCTGTTCGCATAGCTCCAGTTACGCTCAGACAAGCTATTATTTGTACCTGGCTGAGCTTTTGTTTAGTTGTATACTGGACTTTTGACCACCAGACGACAGCCCCTTAAGATGAAATTGGCCTCATAATTGCAGTGTATGTCCACATGACCACTTTTGGTTTCATTCCCAAGGTTTTACCAACGATCCTGGGGCACTATTCATAGGATATGTACACCTTTTTTTAATATATTTTCAAAATGAAGATTCCGTGTTAGCTTTGCATAGAGTTATAAAATAGGTTACCGTAACTTTAATTGCTGTATGATTCTACGGAAAACCTCGTGGATATACATGTACACCTCTCTCGATTATCTCGAAATTAAATCGATTTTCGCATTTCTTGTCAAAAATATTTTTCGTATTTTCAAAGCTGCATATTTTCTAAAATAATGGATCGATTTTCAAAAAGTAAGAATCGATGTATAGAGAATTAAAAGCCCTTTCTAATGACCCCATTTGACCCCCATTCCCATTTAAAAAAATTTGGGGGATGGCACCCCCACTTAGGGGGTTGAAGATTTTGCTATGCTTTTTGTGCCAAAAGTTGTCCCCCTCAGAAGCAAACTTTACCTGTTTTTGGATTTTGCCGAAAAGTTCATTACTACCCTGTAATGCCTTGCGATACGTTTTCGATGGGCTACCCTGTATAACAATAAGCAGTAGATGGAGGTAAAAGTCCAACAATATCCAATGGATATGTACAAGTCTACCTTGAGGAATAATTAAATTGTTCGAGGTTGTTGTGTTTATGAACTTTTAATTTTTGACAAGCCAAATATTGTTTAGCCCAAGTTGTTATATGAGTGTTCACTTTTGGTTAAAAATAATTACTTTTCACTACCCATTTTGAAGCACGAATTCCTGAAAGTATAATTGAATTAACATTTCGAAAACAGTTTTTCTTAATGACGATAAAGTCTATTAGCTAGCTATGGAAATATCGTACCAAATTTTACGATTACAAAATGGATTTTTAATTCATTAGGTACCTATAGTATAAATTTTGAATTTTCGTTATTGTCGTTATTTACTTAATAGTTATTTACACCATAAAGGAGGAAAGTATTATTTACCAGTCGAGGATGATTTTGCGCCCGAGATTGGTAAATTATACTTAACTGCACATGGTGTATAACATTTTATCTGCTCCCACAGTCCTTTATGGTTCATGAAATAAAAATTAGGTTTTATTTTTTGACATTTCTTAATCAATCATTTTGACATTATTCGAAATCTTCCAAAGTCTTGGTTGTTTGGATTTTGTCGTTTCTAAGGTGTGTATAAATACATAAAAGTTGCAATTTTGCTGATTTTGAATTATTATTTCTAAATTAATGATATTCAAATAGAAAGAGATGCAAATGCTGCCTGCGAATTTTTATTGCCCGAGAAGGCGAAAGTGTGCTACGGGCGAGCATATAGAAATTTCAAAGAATGGTGCCTGAACAAAAATACTGGTGTTTCTGAAATGCCACTGCTAGCATATTTCATGGAGAAGTCAAGAACTTTAAAGTCACCGATGAGTTTGTGAAGTGAATACTCAATAATTAAGTCAACCATTTTCATAGAGAACGTGGATATATCAAAAGACCCCAAGCTGAGAGCATTTTTGAAACGTAAGAATGACGGCTATACACCTAAAAAGTCAAACGTTTTTGCAAGAGAACAAGTCAACGATTTTCTCGTTCAGGCACCCGATAACACATATTTGTTAATGAAGGTATAGTGCCGGTCTTAGGCATTGCGGGAGCATGCCGTTCTGATGAGTTATGCAAACTTACTTTGGACATCAATTTCAAAAATTTCGATGACGTTATTGTAGTTACAATTCCAGATTATAAAAATGGTAGGTATGTCACGTACGTTTACAATTACTTCTCGTCTGGGTTATGTTCCTCACCTAGAAATTTTCAAGAAATATATCAAGATTAGATTGGAAATTAAAACTGAAATTTCATGCTTTTTTATGCGCTATGAAGCAGGTAGATGTTACAACCAACCAATCGGTAAGAATACCCTTTCTATGATTCCTAATAAGATTGTACAGTTTTTGAAACTAGAACATCCTGAAACATATACAGGCCATTCATTCCAAAGAACATCGGCAATGTTACTGGCTAATACAGGAGTTGATGTATTAGCAATCAAGAGACATGGTGGGTGGAAATCAGCCACAATTGCAGAGAGTTATGTTGCTGACAGTTTAAGTAACAAAATTGAAATAGCCAACAGGATTCTTTACAATAACACTTCAACTTCAGGTTCTAGTAGTACGTCGCATTATGCTGTTTTAATAGATCAGTCAGATAATATTGAGCCTCCGGTGACTGAAATGAAGCGATCAAATCATTTTGAGAAAAATGTGAATTAGTAAACGCGGGGGGAATAATTTTCCAGATTTTATAAATGTTACTAAATGTAATAACTGTACAATTACTATAAATATTCATTCATAATAATTAATAAAATGTAATGTTCATCAAATATTTCTATTTATTTGTTCATAAAATACGCATTTATAACTCGAAATCGCTTTACGTTTTAAGTTACCTCACTTACCTTCCTTTGTCCATAACAATTTCCAGTTCTACGGTAAAATCCACTTAACTCCTTAAAAACAATGTATTTAATACTTTATTTACTACAGTGGAAGCAGATAAAATTATTTCCTTTTAATTTGACATTCTGTTCTTTTTTTAAATATTAATGTCCAAACTTTCATTAACAGAAAATATTTTGCCCTTACACTCAATCTGTGATGAGGTGTCAGTGACTATATCCTTTTTTTTATTAATAATAATTTCAGTATTAGACAAGGCGCAATCGGCGGCTTCGTATGAAAAAATTAGTGGATTTGATTTTTTTGCATATTCACCTCCGTAAGACGTCCCTGAATGAGGATCAAAATGTTACCGGCCGGTAACCTGGTCATAATTTGTTTAAACTAATTTTTTTAAAACAAATTGTAAAAATTACTTGTTTTGCTCTGGACAAAGTTTTTTAAGGGGTATTCTAAACAAAATAGTTCATATGCACTATGCTCCTAAAATCACCGGTTTCCGAGTTGTAAACAATTTAAAGTACGAAAAAAATGCAAAAACGGTCATTTTCAAGACTCTTTGATGTTACTAAAGTTTAAAAGTAATCTTTAAACATCCCTTGACAAAATACTGAGGAGTTATTTGGTGTAATTACATTGCAATGCGTATTATTTTACATTATGCAAAAAAATCAAATCCACTAATTTTTTCATACGAAGCCGCCGATTTCGCCTTGTCTATATTGAATTGTGAAATATAGGTATATCTGTCCGACTATTTTGAAGTGGAAACATTTTGACAGCAGTAAATTTTTTATAGGCAATAGTGTACTTAATTAAAAATGCAATTTTCACATAAAACATAATCAGATAGGTAATTTTCAATTTCAAGCTAATCATAAGTTTGAAGTCTACTTCGCTCTTCATGTCAAAATTGTATTTTTGGTTATCTGAACTTTGACATTATAAATGGAAATTTAATTGAACTATCAATATTTCGTTTGAAGCAACAGATGGGTGTTTTGGACTCAAATAACTCTTTGTAAAAATGGTAATTTGGTATCTTGACGAGAAAAAAGTAAACTATATCACCGTAATCAGACAAATGCTCTGAATTAAAAAAAAATAAGCGCTTATAAAAAAAACAAAAGTGTCTTAATAATGTCTGGGTATAAAAATTTCACCTCATTTATTTTCGATAAAAAAGTAAATACAAATGAATATCAAAATTCTCAGTTATTCGTTGATAATTTCAAAAAGATAGATAATCGAGGGCTATGAGGACTTTCAATAAAACTTTCATTTCAATATGCTCCATATATTACAACATTTAATTAAACAGTGTATATAACAATATATATAATATAAAAAAGTAAAAACATTGTAGAATATACATAGAAGAAAAATAATTTTTATATTTGTCAGCGTCAGATCTTTAAGTGCACTAAAATTAAACAAAATCTTTCACCTTTCTCAAGAGTAATGCGATACGTATAGTCAAGTATTTTTTCTATTTTGTTAAACTTAAAATAAACAACAGCTCACTACGTATACCCGATTATCTGGTACCTAAAATTAAATCAATAAATTAAACATATTTAGAATCTATAATACATTCTTTATGGTTTTCTATTAAATTTTGAAAACATATTTTGAAAAAATGAGCAAATAATTTTGTATCCTCTCATATTATTGTTCCACGTTGTTTAGATTACCAGTAGTTGTACGAAATACGAATATTTTTGCTGGTATAGAAAGTAACAAGCATTTTGATTAGATTGTCTTTTATCCTGAGCGACCTTTTACAAACTAATGGAAATTTATGGGTAGCAAACATATTTCAAAGTGAAACAACAGGTATGAAAAAATTAAACATATTTGTACGGAAAATTATATCTGACGGTTCTTGTATTAATTATTTAATTGAATTAATGACATACATACATACATATATGCATGCAAGAGCATATTTAATGTCGCTTTGCCAGACGTAAGCACATTAGAAATCACAAGTATAATATTAATAAATAAACATTTTGAGATTAGATCTGATATTGTCAAATTTAGACTAAAAATGTTTCGTGGGTTTTGGTAAGATCCACATTCTCTCAACAAAATCAGATCTAATCTTCAGTCAATCTTTCAAGCTCCAATTTTTTAGTCATGATCAATTTCTGGTTGTAAGTCGAACCACATATTGTAAGGCTGGCTCAAATTAAGTTTTCCAAGATCGATGATTACCTAAAAGAATTAAACGCAAAATTAAAAAAAAAATGGTTAAAAATGTGCATATTTTTATTAACTTACTTGACCCAAAATGTTACTGCTAGAGTAGAACAACTGTTTCTGTGTACCAACGGTAACTTCCAGTTGTTTCGTTCCCAATTCTGCAGGATTAAGCACGTACTCGAAACTTTCATCAAAAACTGGATTGCAGTTATCTTTAATTACCTGAAACAACAATAATGTGTATATACAAGATGTGCACAAATTGTAATAATAGGAATATGCTTGCACGTATAATATGATTTCTTATCTTAGTTTGAAATTTGTTGTTCAGCTTACCTGAGTTTTTCTCTTGGTATCTTTAGCCCTTTCAGGGAGTAAGTAGAGCTTCACATAAGGATCAGGTATGTTAGATGGATCTTTGATTGGAATATTCCTAAAATAATATTTAACAGATCAAGTTCAGTTCAGTTAATAGAGGTAATATATACTCACATAACTTTGTGGACAACTACAATCAGACGCTGCCTTTGCACACTGTATCTTAAAGTCATTTGGATTCTGCCCAGTCCTGCTTCACCTGCGGAACTGTACAAAGATTAACTAAAGACAGTTAGATTAATTATGTATGCACTTACGAAGTGATACTAGGAGTCCTGTGAAGCAACCCTTCCGTGTTATGTGTTGAAGGGACATTGCTGACAAGTGATATAGAACTATCTTCTATAATTTCATCGACTTCACCGGCATCTACAGAGCGTCTCTCTACACCTGATAACTCCTCTTTGTCTTTTCCTGTACGATTGGAGCCTTGACTGCCATCTAAAACAGTTAAATAAAATAAAAATATATTGTTAAAGAAAATATTTAAATGTATATGATGAGTAGAAAGTTTCTCAACCTTCGGACACAGTAGCAGTATCCCACTCTGTGGCAAATGTCGTAAATTCTGCAGCCTTTGGGTCATCACCCATCATCATCATCGATGGTTCCTCACCAGTTCTTTTCAAAATCTAAAAATCATGTATTAAAATCACTAGTCAAAATACATGTTGGACATTCACCCTTAAATGTATGGACATGACGACTTTGCTCTCAGGTCCAGATTTCAGCAAGGAAAACGGTTCCTTGCTCACTTCCAAATTTGTCCTGTTGCCGAGGTTCTTAATTTTGTAGATGATATTTCCGATTTCCGTAGAGGTTTTCTGGTCCATTATGCTCAAGAACATTGAATCATTTTCTGGGTTGGAAACCAAGAATGTAAAACCCTGTTCCCATACTGGGTGGATGGTCCTCATCAAAACGTTTGTTTGCTGGGTGCTGTTGCCGACTTTTAGAACGGCATAAGGGTCAGGTTTTGTGGACGCTCTTGCTTGCTACAATAAAATATAGTTACGAATATCATTACAAACTTTTTTTGCATATTTACAGGTAGATTTTTTGCAGAATCCAAAAACACCGTAAGTAGAGCTGTGTTCAAGTTTGAAGCTCTAAGCATTTGGGTTTCTTGTAGCACCTGAAAATTGTGAGCAACAATTGGAAAGAATAGCGAAATATACTATTATGTAATTACGTACCGCATCTAGATCCCCATAATTTTTGCTTAGTGATAACCAAGTCAATCTGAGATGTACCATTCCATGTTTGGCTTGTTCCAATGTAACCCACTAAAATTTTGGTTGATCAATAAACGTATTAATATTGAATTGGTATGAAAGAGAATTAAACATCTTTTAGAACATGTCATACTATCTATTTGTTTTTACTAATATCTGAGTAAAAAGGAAAATAGATATAAATTTAAATGAAAACTTGTGACATTAATTTTCTGAGAAAGTTTTATATGTATAATTTAATATTTATTAATATTCAGATATATATTAATTCCATGTTTAATAAGAGGCTACTTGAAAATACAATCCTTAATGACAACAATAAAATTTCGTGCTGGTCTTTGTTTAAAGCTATGGCTGTTAGGAGAAAAGTAGCAGATAATTTCTATGAAGGGAAACATTATTTAATTTTATTAGTACAATTTGGATTTATTTTTTTTCCATGAGAATTTAGAAGAATATTTCTTGAATTAACTTGGATCAGTTTAATAGGTATCTTTAAATTCTTCTTTAAATTCTATGTCTGTACTTACCATATCGTCAGATCCTTTGTTAACGATGTTTGAAATCTCGATGGTAGCCCTAATTTAAAAAATGTATTATTTTTATTGAAATACATACGTCACGAGTTATTAAGAATATATGTGGAGGTTATAGGTATGAGTTAAGCCAAATGCGACACAACACCAAGAATTTTAGTCAAATATACAAACTATGCACAATTAGCGTTGAATTTATGTGGTTAAATTAAGAAAAAGTATTGGAGGTGTATCTACAGTTTAATAAATATAGCAAAGCAAAGTCCTTTAGACACTTAGACACTTTTTTCAGTGTACATCGTTATAAACAGTTTTCTTGTATGTAATTATATTATACAGGATTTACATCTAATGATAATAATCATCTTTATTATATGTATTTTAACACAATACTTTACATATTGTACATGATTAGTAAAAAAAGATTATAAAATAAAACATAATTTAACACAAATATGTTTTTAGGTAGGCATACATACTGTATGGTCCACTAAGACCTACCACGTCTCTTTATTTTTTTGAGACACACAACATAATTAAAACTTTATTTTTTACATAGTGGCCTTCTAGATATACAGGATGATTCAGAACTTATCCAAAAAAAGAATCAATTTTGTAAAGAAAAAATCAAAAACTGGAAGCTGGTCCACTGTAAAACCTGACCTCGCATAATGCTGATTTTATATCAGCAAATTCAACTGCCTTTGCCGTTATTGTTATTATTAATAAAATTAATTTGTGGGTTTAAATAATAAAGTAATTAGTCCAAGCATTATAGAGAAATGCTTACAGAAATTATTACCTGGACAAAAAAAATATGACAACATAGAAAATTAAATTTTAAATTGAGTTTCTTGTTCTTTAAACTCGATCCAATATGGCGAACATGGTTATAGAAGTTATAGAAGAAGAGAAAAGAGAAGATTTTTAACGGATTTTTCGATATATCTCGAAAAGTAACAAAGCAATCGATACTTTCAAAAAATCAGTCGATAGATCTTTTTGAAACCTACAACTTTCTCGTTTAAAATTTTTCAATCCGTGCTATATTTTTTTAGTTATTTTAGAAAAACCATTTTTTTCAACTTTGCAATTTTTTTTAACCATGTTCGCCATATTGGATCGAGTTTAAAGAACCAGAAACTCAATTTAAAATTTAATTTTCTATACGGTCATATTTTTTTTGTCCAGGTAATAATTTCTGCAAATTTAACATTAATCCGTGACAGAATGCTTGGACTAAATGTAACATAGCTAATGTTACAACAACTGTTCAAAATTTTATCCATTGACGTGTAAACACATTTGGGTCCGTCTTACTCAGTTTCTACGAACTAACACAAATGCTGTCTTGCTTCACCATAATGCAAATGCTTCACCATAATACAAAATGTCTTGTTTCACCATAAATTAAAACGATATCCATCAACTCCGAGTTGTTATACGCGCAAGTCATTTTTGACACTAACTACTAAAAAAACTATTGTAAACACCAGAGATAATAGGTAAACACTAGCACAACGACGATTGTAAAATCGGATTTCAGTATTCGGAGTCGCTGAGGCCGCGTGACTTTTTGCGCGTATTGCGAATGACGCTAGAGACTACAGTTGTCCATCTATGTAATGGTTGAATGTACTACAACTTCAATAATTTTTTTCTCAGAAACTATAAGGATATTACAAAAATTTTTTTAAGATATGGACTCAATTTCTCATGCCGCATCTATTCCCAATTATTTTTGGATAAATTGTGAATCGGCCTGTATTTGTTGAACCGATTACAATGATCCAGTTGGCAATCCATGGCTTGCTGTAATTCTTTTAAAGCAACTTTAGAATCTTCTGCAATTAACTAATTTTTCATATTCAGACGTTTCCCAAGCCACCTAGATGTTTAAACTGAAACGAAACAAATTTAAAAATTTAGGTCTGTATGAAAAAAATATGTTGCATTATAAATTGATGAAATTTGATGCTTATGATTAAAAGAATGATTGAAAAGTGAAAAAAAGCGAATTCGCTTCCAAAAAAAGCAACTGCCTCATCGTAATTGATTCAGCAAATACGTCTAGAAGACTACTACGTATAAAACAATTTTAGAAGAGGGAATCCTGATTCTTATCGGGCCAAACTGTATATAAGTGAAATACTGAATATGCTGAATATGCCGCCCCATTAATCTATACAAATGTAGGTATCAATAAATGTTCATAAATGAATTTGGTAGAATTAAATAATGTTTATGTTTTTTAAATCTGTGGAGGTAAAATTAATATATGTTGTGTTTTCAAATAATAAGCTTTTTGTTTTTTAAGTGATTTTGGATGTGTCTTGATAATAAGATTGGATTTTTAAAGATTTCTGGTTATGAATCATCCCGTGTCACTACCGCATAAATAAAACTCAAATAGAGTCGTCTATTTATTGTTCTAAATCCAAAATACCAGCCGATTAACGTAGTTTGTGAAAGTTTGCACACTAAAACGACTTTTTAGGAACTAAAGATGAGTACCTGCACAAACAATTTTATCATAAACTTAAACAATACGAGCTTTCGGTGCGTCAATACAGTGAGATATTTACCAGTGCATTTCGTTAAATTTAGTCCAATGATGTAGGTTGGCTTTATTATTATAACATTTTCTAAAGTACTTCTTTTATAGAAACTCTAGTTTAAATTAGGCAATTTTCATAAGAAATTGTTTGTCATCAATATTATTTTAAAGTAGTAATTATTATTGATATACAAAGGTCAATATAGCTTAACGATATCTGACCTGATTTTTAACTTTTTAATTGCATAAACAGTGTTCTAAGTCCTGAAATGTGGACATACTTAAACATATTTTCAAAGAGAACAAAATATAACAGAACTTAGAAATGAAACTAATAATACATTTAAGAATGAAAAATATACAAATAAGACACACTTATAACAGAAAAAATAACGGAAGGAAATAAACGTGAAATTGTGATACCTTCCAAGATCGTCATCACGGTGACCCTTGTCTTTATCAAACAAATGAGTCTTCAGCCGGCTACCGGATATACATTCCACGACAAACTGTGTAACATATAATAAACAAAGTGTCAGCACAAAATCGTTGCGAAAGCTTCAAAAACTGCACAATGTGAAATTGGAAATAGAGCAAACGTGTCAATTATTTACAAACAGGGCTGACCTTCCCAAAAAATCATCGGTTATTTGACCCGGTATCTTCGGATCCCAGTCCCAACAAGAGCATGTTAAAAACTGTGCTTCGCTCGTACTTACAGTGACCTATATTTACAAAATATTATGAATAATTCAAGCTGGATGTAAAATTTCCATCTTCCATCTGTATTTTTAGAACAAATCCGTATGGAAATGGAAAGATCCCAAATTCAAGATATGACATACATAATAGCAATATTTAGTGAAAAATTAAAATATTTTTAATGTAGGTACAATGTAGTTTCTTACAACAACATTTAAACTAAACAATAAATTAACAGAGCTTGTTTTACTCACGAACTTTTTGCTTTGTAAGTTAAACGAAAACAAACTCTGTTTTGAGTTATTAAATCTAACATTGTGCACATGCAAAGCGGGAAAGCTTGAGGCTGAAGAGTTTTAATTTCGAGAGGTAAACGAAAAAGATAGGAGAGAATGCATATCGTCAATTAATGGTCGCTGTAGACCTGTGGCAAGATAAAGTGCGGCGCCTTTGCAACAACGGATTTGCGGTTCTAAAATACATAGACGTACGTCCATTCTACAAGTATTTAGCCCAATATTTTTCGTAAGAGAACGGACAATAAGATGCCATAGATTTCGAAATGTTTTCGAAACTAATATGTATAATTCAATTATCTATTTATTTTTCAATGTTAATTGTGAATTTATTAAAAAATAATAATAATAAAGGATCAAATGACTTTTATTTACATTTAAAAATAGTTTTCACTCGTCCTTTCAACTGTTTAACAATTACAAATATTATGGGCCATAAATCAACTAAAGTAAATTTGGTATTTTATGGAAACCTATTTTATTGCAGGCCAAACGTTATCGTAATATTTGGGAATTTTTACATTGTTAAGGCAATAAACATTATTACCTTTACAACTGAAAACTATTCCTGTTAACAGTACAGTTATCAAAAGTAATCATTTTGAAAAAACATTCAAAGCATTGATACTATGGCAATAAACACGGAAAAATGAAAATATTAAAATTTTTAACAGTTGGACATATTTTCGGATTCCAAATTTGAGCTTTTTAAATCATCTTGTACATTTTTTTTCGAAATAACAATCTTTTGTCTAGAAACAAAACATCCTGAAAATTTTATTTTAAAATTTTCCAGGGCCGTACTTGCGTAAACTGGCCCAATTGATCAAAAGTTTAATAAGAAAACGGTCATAATTTTCCATGCATATTACACACACACACACACCATATTACAGTTTTTTTACCACAAAACTTCCTCAAATGCAACTAACGAAGTTATAAATCGCTTGAACAAACTGCAATTTTGTCGCCGCAATGGCGCCACACGTTTGCCGCATTCCTGCAGCGGGCCCAAAAATATGTAGTACCAAAGTTTACAGAATATTTATTCTGTAAACTTTGATACTACACTTTAACGATTGCTTTACTTAAAAAATTGTTTGTTACACAATATTTCTATTACAGGAATTAATTGCAGAATACATGTACAATTTTTTTTTATTTTTGAAGTTAGACTGAATTACACTGAGATAAAAAAAAATCTTATTGAAATCAGGGTGGCCAAATGAAAACGAAACAGAGTCATTTTCAGGAACTGCGTCAAGATTGTAGAAAAACGCTCAGACCCGTCGATTTTAGATTAAGGGGGACATTCTTTGCTGGTATTTTTGACTCCGCCACTTCCATCCCCAAGCAAGGGTAACCATCACCCCAAAATATTTAAATGGCATTGGGGGTTGAGTAATATTTCTTTTGAAAGCTCTTACAATTCTCTTTACAACAGACTTTAAATTTTATAATTCCGCCCAATACTTTGAAAAAATTTACATTTTAAAATTTAAATTATGTTTATTTGCTTACTTACTACTTAGTTGATTAAGTGTTCAAACTGATGACCACCCGCTTCCATACAAGAATGAAGATTTTGTTCGAAACGTTCGCGCACATTCCAAAGCATTTCTGGAGTGATTCGACGGCATTCGTCGATGATTCTTTGACGCAAATCTTCCAGCGACGCTGCGCTGGCTGTGTTTTATAGATTTTACATTTTAGGTATCCCCACAAAAAGAAATCAAGCACAAACAAATCATACATTTATGGGCTATCCCCCAAAACAAAATTTTACTTTTTTTATACAACTGTGTAAATAAAAATAGAGGAAAGGCTCCCGAGATTCCAGCAGTTGTTTCTTATTGTCTTGAACTCTTTCAGTAAAAGTATAAATAGCTAGTAGCATGGAGTTAATTTTACAAATTTACGTATAAACAAAAAACTTTACTTTTAAAATTGTCACTGGTAGAACAAAGCGTTTGATAATATATAATTTTCCTAATTACAATTACTTTCAATTTAAAACTAAATGCTTATAAGTTTTCACGTGTCAAATTTGTAAATAAATATTTGGGAAAATGTTGTTGCGTTTGTAACGGGGGCAAATATAAAATATTTAGACACAAAAGCCTTCATTAAATAAATGTAATTACGGACCTACGTAAAATTTTTGTACGTCTTTGTAACTTCTATTCCAGGAAAAAGCGCTGGGAAATGACCATTTCGCGACTTTTTGTTTGGGCAAGCTGAATTTATCACTATAGATGCTAAATATTATGTGGGGGGGGGAAGATTGTTTACAGGGTGGTTAATTGTATAATTTTTACGTAAATCCACTTTTTTCGCTTATAACTCTTTTCCGTTCATTTCCACGAGAAAGCAGTAAAGTACTTTTTTCGTCTTCAAAAGACCTACAAAACTAGCCCTCGAGCGTCAAAAAATATTGATTAGATCAAAAGTTATAAACAGAAGAAATTTATTTATGACTTTTAAATTAAACATTTATAAACTGCGTTATTATTACCAGAACGTTTTGGCATCGCATCCTCTCATTCCTTATCACTGTCTAATAACTCACACGAAATCTGGAATCGGTCAGTTGAATAGTTTACAAGTTATGGCCTTAATTAACTAATTATTAGTCTGGACGATCCCGAGTATCTTCCACAATCGCACTGATTTCTTTCATGATAGATTTCACAATAATACATTGAAATCTATATATATTTTTTTAATTTCAAATTTGTAACCTGCGAATTTTTTTTATTTTTTAGCCTTCGTTGCGACGCACGCGCGTGATATAGTTATACATTATTACATATTCGGAAAGCTTATGAAAAGAACTTTAACTCAAGATTCGTTGAAAAACAACGGAGTTACAGACTGTCAAATATATTATTTTCAAGCGAATTTCGCTTTCTTAATGGCAGGACTATGAATATTATCGTCATTTTCTTCCGACTCGCTGTTGTTCGCTTCCCCTACCCTTGCGACCCTCTGACTTTTAACAATATTTCGTATACACTTAACATACTTCCACAAATAAAATATTTTTATCTGGGAAAGGACTCGGATTGCTGGTTATGACAGAATTTTTGTTTTGTCAATACCAACTTAATTTGTTTAACAATAGTCCGTCAACCTTGACAGTCTGTAACTCCGTTGTTTTTCAACGAATCTTGACGATTTTTTTTAACTTAAAGCTCTTTTCATAAGCTTTCCGAATATGTAATAATATATAACTATATCACGCGCGTGCGTCGTATATTTCATTTTGCAACTAAGGCTAAAAAATAAAAAAATTTCCAGGTTGCAAATTTGAAATGAATGAAAATGATAGATTTCAATGTATTATTATGACATCTATCATGGAAAAAATCAGTGCGATTGTGGAAGATGTTCGGGATCGTCCAGTCTAATAATTAGTTAATTTGTTTGTGAGGCCATAACTTGGAAACTATTCAACTTACCGATTCTAGATTTCGTGTGAGTTGTTAGACAATAATAAGGAATGAGAGGATGCGATGCCAAAACGTTCTGGTAATAATAACGCAGTTTATAAATGTTTAATTCAAAAGTCATAAATAAACTTCTTCTGTTTATAACTTTTGGTCTAATCAATATTTTTTACGCTCGAGGACTAGTTTTGTAGGTCTTTTGAAGACGAAAAAAAAGGATTTTACTGTATTCTGGTGGAAATGAACGGAAAAAGTTATAAGCGAAAAACGTGATATTACGTAAAAATTATACAATTAACCAGCCTGTAAACAATCTTCCACCCATTTTTATGACTGTGGAAACTAATATTTTATTGTACATAACATTTAGCATCTATAGTGATAAATTCAGCTTGCCGAAACGAAAAGTCGCGTCCAACTCTATATTTCCTGGCCTATATTGTGCACTCTCTTCTTGATCTGCGCATCTCGTAGACAAAATGGGTTTGGTTAAGATGTATAGAATATTAACCAATTCGAAACAGAGGCGAAAATACTCGATTATAATTAACTAATAGTATTTATTGTTTATTTCCATATAAAAAAATATGGAACTTCTTTTATTAAGTATTAATAAAAGGGCTATATTGACACAAAGCATCTTTCTAGTGAAACTAATATTATAAATAAATCAGAGCATAAAATTTTAATTTCTTATTTACAAAGCAATAATAAATTACTAAAATTATTTTAATGGTGTGCCAATTTCTTGGATTAGTGTATTTCAACTGAGTGCGCATGCCTATGACTGCCATATTTTTGCTGTTTGCGTCTAAAAATCGATGGTTAGTTATTTATAAATTATACCACAGATTTTTAAAAACGATTCAAAAAATAATCAAGGGGCTCTTAAGAAAATAGAACAAATATATAATCAAGTATAAAAAAAGAAGTACAGATATTTTTTTTTGAAAATGAATTGGAAAATGACTCTTTTAAAATCAGATTAAAGACAAATTAGAGTCCCATTTGTATTCAGTAGTTTTTTTATTTTTCTAAATATTATGTGCGATATTATTTGAAACGTGAACGAACAATTAATCCTGTCAAATGTTCGTACTAAAAAATTAATTTTTTTACAGACATATTTCTAGAAACACGTTTGTATAAATTTTACATAAATACCTTCTAATCTGACATGGCGACTGAAATTAAATTATTAATTTACCTGTAATACAAATATTGATGTACATTTTTAAAACCTTATTGAAAATTAAAACTCCTAACTATTTATATATTATACCAACTGAATGACCCTATCAAATGTAACTCGTTGATGTTTCATTTAAGTAATCTTTTTCTATATTTCTTACCTTCCTAGAGTTTCATCATCACCTGTGTCATCTTTGTCCCATAAATGAACATATAGCTGTTGCCCATTGGATTCCAGTATTTGGAACTGGTAATATAATACGTAAAAACAAATAATATAAAAACAAACAATAATTGCTGTTAACTTAATAAGTTTTCTCTAAGACAAATCTACGATTAGCTGTGAAGTTTGTGTTCACCTACTCCTACAATTTATTAATCAGCTTTGTGTTAAACTGCTCTAATTGCTGTCCTATTATATGTCTCAGTTATGTGTTTTGAACTTGTAACAAATCTATCATGCAGAAAGAAGGTGAGCAGCACTACAAAACAAAAAGTTTTCAATACTGTCACACTTACCTCGCACCAGTAGTCCCATTTAGGATCTACGCTGTTGTCTATCACTTTAGTTTTGAATTCTTGCGCGCCTACGGTTACAACTGCGTAGGGATCCGACTTCCCTTTTCCAAGGACGCTGATATCTTTTTTCATGAGATGTCTGGCCTCGATAACGTGAACCCTTAGAACGCCCTGGAACAAACAAAAAAGTCTATACATCTTTGGAGATGTGCAAATTATATTCAACCGGGACTATGCGGAGACAAAATTGAGATGAGCCAAATGACAAGAATGTTAATACATTTGTTGTAACTGTTAATCACGAATACGATAATATATTTTTTAAATTTTATTTTGCAGTGGATTATTAACTAAATTCGTTAAAATTAGAATCATGTGAAAGGCCACTTTCGTAAACTACAAAAACATCTACTATATTTCCTCAGTTATTACAATATTTCTTTAAGAAAAAATAGTAACTACCAAAACAATGTCCGGGGTGGTTCCCATGTCAAAGGCTTAGACGATTGTTCAACCATTGACAATTGCCACAGAAAAAAACAAATTAAGAAACCTACAGAAAGGAAACCTACTATTATCAAGGACGACTGGAGAAATTCAAGACGAGGAAATTGAAATTTTAAGTCAATTAGTATTCTTATGATGGTTATACCAAGTTTTGCGAGAGTGAATCAGAGACAGAGCTAGAAGTACATTTCCAGTCTACCAGCGAATAAAACAAAGACTCCTGAGATCTAGTGGACAAGCTAACCACCAATAAATGATTATACACTGGAAAGGAAGTTCAAAATAAGCAGAACGATGAAGTTGAAAAACATCCCAAACAAACTAGCCTGGATAAGTTTTGGATTGTCATTAACATAGCTTCTGTAGAACTCAATGATGACGCTGCTAAGGATGTTCCGTCAAGAACCTAAATTTTGTCATAGTACTCAGGTTCATTTCAAGAGAGCAAATCATTAGGGCTCTGGAAACCATTTGTCTAGCGGATCGCATTATACGATTTTATTAGGAACTGCCAAACCTCCGAAACGGAACCTGAGTAGAAAAGAAGTCGACAAAGGAAATGTAATCTTCATCTTGGATGCAATATAGCGTATCATCAAGATACAGAACCTATTACATGACCCAGCACATAAGAGGATTAAAAACAGTCCGGCCAAGAAAGTTGAGAATGAAGTTTATCTAAGAGAAACCGGATGGCATCCTAGATCTAGAGCATAGGTCTAGGTCTGTGGACGTCGAGTCACATCCCCATTAAGTCGAGAAACATAGAAAATAGATATACTAACACAAATATTAAACAAGCCATAAGAAGTACACATAAAAGCGAAGGAAAAGAGGATGAATCAATCTGCTCTTCTATAAACCCTTGTACCTATATATTTCATAGATCCTTATGTATTATATGACAATATATGCTGCTTCTTAAGAAAACATAGATAGTATCAATGCAATAGCCAAGTTAGACAGGAGTAGATTTTTCCAAGACGACCCGCAAAAACGATATTCTTCAAGGTCCTGGTGACAACAGCATCCCGTATAAAAGCATATATTGAGAGTGACGTTGGCACGGGAAGATCTGAAATTGCGGAGGGCAGGGCAGATATTTAATAGACCTGGAATTCTAGTTGTAGCTGAAGTTATGTAGCGAACCAAAGGAAAGATTTAAATAGAGACGAAGGCTAGAATTACTGCAATCTGGAAATGACTTTTTCGTAAAAATCAAAGATAGGACTGTCACAGGCTATTGACTTCAAACCATGCACCGGAACGCCATGGATTAAAACACACAGCGAATATAAATACCGATCAAAGGACTTAATCTATCTAATTTAACAATTTCTTCTGAAGGGAAAAGTTACATCAAAACGCCAAGGAATCTAAACCGACGACGTAATAACTTTCTCGGAAATTGTTAATTCAGTAAACACATAAGTTATACATATTTTTCTAAATGTTTTAATAATGATTTCAAATAACAATTGAACATTGGATTAAAGAATTATATAAGATCCTAAGTAATAATGTTCTATGAAACATATATTGTTTACTAGATCTGTCTCTAACAGTCATGGAAATATAGCCAAAATAATATACATACTATAAGCGTAATGTGTTTAGAATATTTGTCAAGAGACAATCAAACTTTTGAATATTTTTGTATCCATATTTCCTTTATGTGTTTAAGAAATGACAACTAAGACCCTATAATCAAAATATAATATATGACTTTCTACATAGCTTTATAAAATAAATAAGTAATACCATACAGACGATATCCTGTCGACGATATTTTAACAAATCATTTTACACATTTTTAAGCAGGTCAAATAAACTACATCATGAGTACAGTGATAGGTTTTGATAGTAAGATACTGACAAAATGGTGTACTATTTAAATATTAGAAGAGTGGTGAAAAAAAAATTGTAAATTGACATAAAGTTTAGGAAAGTATGCAATTTGCATTTCAAAACGTTGATTTCAACGTGAAATCGCACATCGCTTTTGCACATTTGTTTTTAATGAATTCGAAAATATTACCTCTGGTTCTGGCGCCTTCAGTTCAACTGCCTCCACTTCATCACTTAGTTTTATAGGGAATTTATTCGGCAATACCATCAGCGACGCCACTGTTTCAACCACTATACGTCTCAAAATGTCACTAAAAATACAATTCTAACATCACGAACAAAAATGGTACCTAGTAAAGATTCAAATGAAAAATTAATTAATTTTTTTTGAAACTGTATTAAAAATGTTGAGAAAACATAACTAAATACAGTATACACTCGATTATTCGGACCATAATGATCCAAATCTCTCTATAATCCGGATCTCTCCATTTCTAAGAGCATTGTTTAGGAGCCGGCAGATGATGAGTGCTCGATCACAGAAGTAGGTGGACATGAACCGAGTAATTCTAACTTCACAAATATTGATCGGTAGATTACAAAATCGTCCGTGTGAGGCGACGGCGACGGCGAATATTTTGTAATCCACCTAGTCATGTTCAAAACACTATGCGCACGGACTAGGGAATGTTTGCCACCTTTTCAGATACTACCATAAAATAAACCATACCATAATAAAGAACCTGTATTTTCCCCAAAATATCATTAATAAACTAGCAATAAGAAAAATATATAAGTGAAACGAATTTGGCGGATAGATGTCATGTGCTAGATTATAACTTAATTACGCCATCTGTTAAGAGAAAGCTCAACTAAAATCTCACACCACTGTCCTTTTCTTTTATTTGTTATCAGAGGGATAGAGAGGAGTTACATATGTACAGGGTGGTCCGAATTTTATGTAGGAAACTTTGAGGGCAAATAGATCTCTTTAAAATAATATGGGTTTGCCTTATAAACATAGGTCTGGAACGGCACCGTTTTAGAGATACAGGGTGTTGAAGTTGTCAAAAAAAATTTATTTATATCTCCGGAATCTATTAACCGATCTCAATAAAATTTGGTACATATAATGTATGATAGCAAGCCTTATATTCCCTGAAATATGATCTTCAAAGGTTCAACCAGTGGTGTACAACTGGACAGGGGTCACCCTCTTTTTTACAAAAAAACTACGCCACTGCATTTTTTACATGTCATTGTAACTGATTTATATTTTAATGCACAAAATACGTAAAAAAGGTGACTTTAATTTTTTCCCTAACATTCGCCGTTCTCAAGTTATTCATACCAATACAATCCCCTTGTGGCAGACAATTCTAACGATAATATTACAAGAATATTTGTTTATGTTTAAAAGTAAGTGCAATTTGTAAGCACATCAACAAAATTATTTACACTCCTTTCTACACCACCTGTGAGGTATAAACAAAAAATCATTTTTTTTAAACCTCAACACACTGTATCTCTAAAACGGGGCCGTTCCAGACCTATGTTTATAGGGCAAACACATATTATTTTAAAGAGATCTAGCTACCCTCGAAGTTTCCTGCATAAAATTCGGACCACCCTGTATAAGAAGTTCTGTGTAACATGTCTATGTCTTACACATCACAAGTCGATAAAAACAGTGTAATTTTTTTAAATCAAATAGAAATTTGTTTAAGTTCTCAGCGAAACTGACCATACAGTTCGCATTAACTTTCATTGTAGAATAGTGACGAAACACTACATATTTTTATGCAAACATCCTATTGCAGAATCGGACGACGATAATCGCCCGACTATAAAAGTCCACCAACCAATTTTACTGAAAATCTATCAAATTTTAAATCTGTGTTCACATATTTATAATTCTTTGCGGTCTTTCATGTATCTTGTCCAATACAATGCTGCATCACTGACAACTCGATTGCAATGTAGTTTTTTTTTATTTTGGAATGTTTAAATATTACATAAATCAAAGATTATTTACTTTAAATTGCGTTTTTGCATTTGAGCAACATAATAGAAAGAAATGAAATAAAATACATACTCCAAATATGTATTATTGTTATGATAATCCAGTTTATACTGTATATAATGAACTTTGTATTGCTACGCTTTTGTTTAAAGGCACAAGATACAATTATTTGTAATTCATTGGAATCATGGAATATACAGGGTGTCCGGAAAGGTCATGTCAAAAATGAAAGAGTGGAAGGAATGGTAACGACTTTGAATTTATAATTGGAATTTGGTTTTCAAACTTCTTTCTTTGAAGGCGAATAACTCCACAACGAAGTCCGATAGGAAAAATGAAGTTCTACAACTATTTTGAGCTCCCCTGTATACCCCTTCATTTTTGACATGACCTTTCCGGACACCCTGTACATATTTTGAATATATTTCATCACTAGGACACTTACCTCAAACCAGGCATATCCAACACGTCTGCAATTCCCAATAGATCAAAATCTATGTCGGGATTGTTTAAAAAGAATACCTGAAGACCACCTATCAGTGGCATGTTTGTTATCAATGGCTTCATTACGACACGAAGCATGCCATGCAGCTAAAAATGGCCAAATTGCATTATACAAGGTTAAGCCAATTATTAGCAAAACTAATTTAAAACTCAAAAAGTAATGACAAACAAAATAAATGTATACTGGGTGTTTCTGATATAAGTGCGTTCCTTAGAAGAGGGCGTGAAAATAAATAATTTTCATTAAGCAATCTATGTTCTAAGGTGTCACATATTAAATAAAATTAATCTAGAATTATTACGTGAAACATAATGCCGACCGTTCATTGCCCCGCTTAATCAAATAACCGGTGCGTACATGTCTTTTTATATTTACTCTCTGTATTACCCTTTTTATTGAACACACTTATTTCCGAAAACGCCCAGTATACTCATATTGTTCGTTTAGAAAATCAAAAACTATTTAGAAGTGTTCACAATATGACTTTGATTTGAATGGTGATAATTAAATAGAACTTACCTGGAAGTCCCTTATTCCACCTTTCATTCCAGACAAGTAGAAAGTTATGTCACAATCTCCGGCATAACTAAAAGTAAAGATAAGCGTTAACAATAAATATTAATCTTATTAAGCCACTTACAATATATCCAGGTCCATAACAATTTCGTTTCTGTCCACATTCTTATCGTAAACCTTAACCCCTCCAATACGAAACGGCTAAGAAAAATACATATATTTATATTTTTCCTTTGACTGTCATTGAAAACTTTTTTACATACCACTGTACCAAGAATAATCCTCTCGAACTTAAAACCATGCAGTTTATATTTTTCCAAACTTTTCTTTAAAGCTGGTTGAATGGAGTCCCTTACGATTGACCGAGCATAGTGGTTCACGTTTGGCCAAACTTGTTTTATTATCTGTTGGAGAACGTCAATAAATTTAACAATTGTGAAGGTACTAACCATTTTCTACTTACTCTGTTAAGCCATTCTGCTCGTTCAATGTCAGGGAAAAACACCTGAAACAAACATTACGAGTATAATTTGTTTTGTTCGGGACTTTTTAACTTACAAATTTAGCAATAGATCAATATATTAATAAATGCTTGTCCAGTTACTTTATTTAATTATCTACTTGTTCGTTCACTCATTTACAGAGAGCAAACATACGTAATTAAGAAAATATAACGGTGTAGAGATAAATATAAGGCATTACATACGTCTAGGGATATGTTGTTTCAATGCTAAATGCTTTTTTATTTAGGATAATAAAGCCTTGAAAGACGAAACTCCAATAGTGACCTCGAAATTATAATTATAAAGTTCTGTCAACAAGATCCTGTACTTTAAGATAATTTTATTACTACATACTATCAAATATTATCAGAATGAAATCTGAATAATTGCTTTTTTGTGAAACTGTAGCTGCCTTATTTATGTCAAATTTGACATTCTGAGGTAAACGGACTTGACCATAGCCCAAGAGAGTAATTGCACTGCTTCCAGCTTACCATTTTTCATACACAGTGTGTACCAGTAATAATTATCAAAATTTTAACCATGCATTTATCTAATCAAAAGCTCTAATCAAACCTTTTGGCTAACATTTTGATAATTGTATAGAAATTTTGACCACCTGAACTCAAATCTTAAGTTATTTTGTGGCAATTCGTTTTTCTGAAGAATTCTAAAATAAGATAGAAATATATATCTAATATATATATACAGGCTGTCTCCTAAAAAACGCCGCAAGCCATAACTCCGTCATTTATAGTCTGATTTTAAAAAACAAAAAATTATATGAAGTGGCTCTAAATACACTATAGAGTGAGCCTATTGGGGCGTATTTATTATTATTATTATTATTATTATTATTTTTGTTTGAAAAGAGATAGTCAACTTTTTTTTCAAATGGCAATATATGTTTTTTTTTATTTATTGTTGTGCTGAATTCTATTCTCAATTCAACGATGTATATAAAGTCTACTTTTGTGAAATATCTATTATAGAAAAAGCATGAAAACATTAGTGAATGCCGCATTATTAGCGCCCGGTCGCTTAATTGACAACAAACATATTTTGACTAATCATGTATGGCTGGAAAACAAAAAATAATACAACAAAGCAAGTAAATGTCATTTTAGCGTTCGTGTACCAGTATTTTACGCATTATACTTTTTCTGTGTCATTTACAGCATGTTATTTATTGAAACACATAAGCAGGACCGCCTTTGCAGAGGACTATTTCTTCACAGAGAAGTTCCAGAACCACGTAGATTTGTAAGACCTAGAAAATTTGAGAAACTATGGTGCTTTTAAGAAACCAAAACGAGAAGAACTCCAATTTAATGAAAACATCGAGTTCAATGTTCTTCTTAACGTTGAAGAAAACCCAGAACTTCCATTCGGGAAATTTCTAATAATAATACAGCATCAAAGAGAACTGTACATGCAGTATTGAAAAAGCACAAATTCAAGCCATACATTCCGCAAAAAGTACAGGCAATAAAGGACGGCTACAATTTGTTTCTTTGATTGTTTTGTGTTTGTTGTTCTTTGTTTAATGTGTTTTGTGTTTAATTAATGTTATCTCATGTTGAACTTTGTATAATAGTTAATGTATTTAATTAAATTGTTTTTCTTTTAATTGATATTCATTGTAGTTTCTTTTCTGTTAACTACAAAATTTCCTTTTGAGTTTTATTTGCTTTGCTGTATTATTTTTTTGTTTTCCATGGCACAGATGATTAGTTAAAAAAAATTGTGATGAATCATTGGCTGGGCGCCGAATGCGGTATCGACTAATATTTTGTCGTCTTTTCTGTAATAAATGCTTCACAAAAGTAAAGTTCATATACATCGTTGGATTCAGAAAATAAATCTGCACAATAATAAATACCAAAAAAACTATATTGCCATTTGAAAAAAAAGTTGACTATCGCGTTTCAAAAAAAAAAATAGTAAATGAGCTCTAATAGGCTCGCTTTATAGTATATTTAGAGCCATTTCATTTAATTTTTTGTTTTTTAAAATCATACTATAAATAACAGAGTTATGGCTTGCGGCGTTTTTTAGGAGACGGCCTGTATAATAATAATAACCTAGCATTACCAAATCCAACCTAACCTAATCAAATGCATAAACCAATAATTTAATTTTTGCAAAAAAAGATGGGCTAGTTGTACCATTATGAAATAAATCAGCTCGGCAGTTGTCAAAATGATAATTTATTTATTTATGTAAGCGACATATTTCCTCAAATTATAAGTTTTGTAGGAAGTGTCACTATAAGACAACAGATAAGCCCTGTTAAATTTTGTGCCAAATTTATTTTTCTTTTATTATTTCAAAAGATATTTTAGAGGCTAGAATAAACTCAATTAATCTACTTCCAAGAAGGAATACATGCAGATATTTAGACATTGCCACGTCATCGGTTTAGACTGCTTAACGTTTCGAGAGACATCGCTCTCCTCTTCACAAGAAATTCTCAAATTAAATTTCAGAGTTTCATTGTAATCGTAAATAAACTTCTATTTAATTATATACCTGGTGTTCTGTTTAAAAATATAAAGGGCCTAAACAGAATTGCCAGGTCTTTTTAATCTTGAATCTCAAATTTGACATCAATCAGATAATCCGTATAAAAAAACTTAGTATATGATATAAACAAAACATCCTGTATGTTTGTTGTTTTTTACCCATGTTTTCTACATATCGGCAAGAAATATAAAAAACAAATTCTACTAAAACATGTAACACTGTTTGAACTTTAAATTATCAAATATTAAAATGCATAATACAAATAAAGAGGAATTTATTAGTCACAAAGATAAATTAATAACTTATCTTCATCGTTACTGCTACCCTAGATACAACATTTTATCAGAACTAAAAATAGAAATAACTTCCTTCTATGTAACTAAATTCATTTGCTTTACAAATTTCTTTTGTGGTTATTCAAAAATGTGTTTTTAATTATTTGAAAAACTAATCTGGAAATTGAATCGGTTCTTTAGACCACAATTTTTGTACAACTACAACACGCAAATAAGCGATATAACATTGATGTAGGAAGTATATAGAAATATGCTCGTCCACACTTCAAATAGCGCAAATAAAGAAAAACTGCTTATATATGTAATTTATTTGAGCACCTTCACTATTGTGGGTGATAGGATATACGAGTAATAAAAGGCCGATTATTGATTAAAATGCAATGAATTGGCGGATATTGGAAATACACTTGTCGATATCAAGTTAATCACTTACATTGTTGCCCTGTTCAACACAAATTGTTTTCATTTTATTTGTAGAGGTACTTTAATATGAGTGTGCTTTTACCATGCAGTTTTTGTTTTTTGGGTATTTTGATATACTGTAAATTTAAAAACAAAATATAAACATTTGTAGGATCAGTCAGAGGTTGTATTTAACAAACTTTTTTGCCTACGTTGAAATTTTATAATTTTTTTATTTACAAATACAAATATCCACAAAAGAAAAACTACTTAAGAAATGCCAGAAATAAATATTTTCAACAATATGATTTTACTGTAGGCATAATTGTTTGTGACTATTTCCTAATTATTTACGTATTACGTAAGTATCACTAATATTTTACAGTTTACACCAGAAAAGAAGTCAAAATTTTTTCATTCTTCAGTAGAATATATTTCTGGTCATTTAGTAAAGCGAAAAATTTTATATTGCGCTAATTTGAGAGTTGAACTACTGAATATAAATCTGAAGTAATTTTGTTCTGTCGAATCTAGTTTTTGAGGAAAAAATATTTAAAATTATAATCTGTATACTTCAGACAATCCTGGAATTATCACTGTTTACAACATTATACAGCTTAAAAAACACATGTGATCAGAAATCTAGTCATTTTAGTCATTCAATCCCTCATTTCCAATTTTTTGACGTCATACGTTATACTGGCTTGTGTCAATATAAATTTTCAATATCTTTCATAAGAAATTACACTTGGTCTTGCGTTCAGCATCTGTTACTTTTCCTTAAATGTTGTGTCGTTGAAATAATGTACTTATACTTTGCGTACGTAAAATATTGTAATTCTATAATTTTACCTAAGTATAGTTTTAGTTAGCGCAAATCTGTTATTATTCATTTTTATGACACTAATAAAATGTATGTTTCACACACAGGATATTTCTTAAAGTTAATATTTGTAAGTAAGGAACATGATTGTAAATCATAACTGTTTACTTGTACCTAAATATAGTATTCAGGGGTAACATTAGTGAATTTATCACAGTTTTTATAAAGTAATTAATGTCATTTTAATGAGCATTATTAAACTACTAGTGGTTAAATAAACATAATAATTTAAAGATAGCTTACTAGTTACATAAGAGGCAAAAGTTACTTAAAACTGGAACAGAAGCATTATGGTTTGGCATTCAATGATAGCACTGCATTGCACATAGAGTAATTGTGTTTCTGGGACAAAATTTAAAATAATGAAGAAAATAATATATAATTTAATCACTCAAAAATATTGTAGTCTATTTTATTATTAATACACAAAATAATAAGTCCAAACATAGAAAAATTATTTTTAGTGAAAATATAATCATGAGATTACACTCATAATCCATTTACCTCTAATATTGAATCTATAAACCAGGTATTTATTATGATATAAGTCAATATCGGATTGTCATAAATTAAAAAAATAGACTGTAATAAACTTGTAATCTTTTGCAAATAATGATGAAACTGAAATGGGAGGTACCTCGTTGGTACATTTTAAAACCAGATTAACTTACAAATGACCCAGGGTACCTAATGAAATACGTTTTAATAAATTGATTATTTCTGAAGACGAGGAACTACGATTTTCCTTATAAGTATTTACTTATATTTCCGAAGATTTTAATAAAAAATTATAGATGTCTTTCACATATGGGGTGTCCGGAAGCGAATGGACTATACTTCAATTATGACTCCTTTAAAATTATTTTAGATTTTAGATCAATTTTGCTTACCAAAAATATTTTAAACTCAGATAATTCTGTAACCATATTTAAGTGAAATTTGATAAAGAAAGGTTTTTCAGGTAACTGAAATAGATGTCGCTTAGAATAATTGAAACAGTCCTTTTTTAAAAAGATTTTTTAAAGTCTCCTCTCTTTATTTACTGTACCAAAGGTAGGTACGCTGGAATGCAACGTTCCAAAGAAATAATAATATTAATAAAAATAATATAATTTTATTTAGGTTTGTCAATGTTGTTGTTGCTGTCGTCAAGCTGTTTTTGTTTGTGGGAATAAGAAATATTTTTTTACGATTTAGACTAACTTTAAATTTCAGCATCTAATGAAATACATTCTTAGAATGTGGATATGTGCACATTTCCAGTAAATCTCAATAGGCTCAATAGGCTACATTTGTATAAAGTTAAGTTAGTCTAAAGGAAACTATTTAATATTGCTATATAGATTTAGTGACGGGGTGAAGCTTAATTAATATCCGTAACAGAAAACTGCTATCTATTTTTCTCTGTAACGATATATTTACAAGGATGCCTTTTTTAGAGTAAATATAGTCACGTTGCTTTAAATGTCTATACTGAATTTCATTAAAATGTGTAAAAAAGCAACAGTTACAATACAAATGGAATAAAAAAAATCTGTCTATTTTCGTCTATTCAAGTATGGTCCAATTACTTTCGGACACCATACATACGTCAAGAAGGTTTACTTTATGCACAATGTTCCAAATATAATTTTATAAAGAAAATACGACTTCTAACCAAATTATCATTTTTGCATTTCTATCTAGGAAAAATAGTACGGTCCAAGTCCAATTTTGTTGCGATCTCGAACAACCATCGATGTTTTTCCTGATTACAATTATATAATAATATACATTTTATATATCTCTGTTGAAAGTTTGCACGATATATTCCTGGCACATAGTCAAGATTGCCATGGAACCAGTGCGTGTGTTTTTCGCTGTTAAATTTACTAAACTTTGTAAATTCGCTATTAAGAAAAAGTATCTTATTGTTTTTGTTGTATATTACCTTCATCCTATTCTAGATAGACATATCGTCGGCCTCCAGAGAAGTATCGAATCTGACTAAATAAAAAAAATAATTATGCCACGTATACACACGTTTTTGTCAGGTAGTGCGCTAAAGTGTTAAAGTCGTATTCATTATACTTCCGAGGTATCAACAACTGAACAAAATGGAACGTATCGAACAGCTTATTAACAGTAGTATTCAATAGTCAATTTTCTTCTTTGTCTAGAGGCTGATGATATATTTCCAAAGTTTCCAGTGAGCTTTTTTTTTATAATGCCCTATTACCCAGCTAACTGACAGTACTAACTTCATTCAATGTTTTTTCCCTTAGCTTATATAAATTAATCAGCCCCACAAAAAAAAAACTTCTGTAGTAGACATGAGTTCAAAATGAATTTTTGTGCATCCTATTTTTACTCAAATGACTCAACATTCATAACGCATTTCTTTGGGTGGTAAATACCAATTTCTATGGTACTTTTCAATCCGTCATAATGGGTCGGCCATTCTGGCCTTCCGACCTTATATTTGTGTTTAGCGGCTTTGAAAACCATCGAGTAACAAATTTCAGACATAATCTTCAAATTTTGAGTGCTCTTCCGATTTTTACATCCAGATTCGTAATCAGCGACCACAAAAACCCGCGGTAACAAAATTCAGGTAAGAATTCATATTGAATAGATAATAGATTTAATTTGCATATATTTGTTTCTAATGCTCGCTCAAAATATTTTAAAAGGTTTTCTCAAAGTATTTACTACTATTTCATCCTATTTTGGGGATGTTTTAGCCTTTTACTAAAAAATTATGTGGTAAATCGGATTTTGGGACACGGATTCGGATTCAGTATCAAAAAATAGACAAAATCTATGTACTCATTCATGTCCCCAGGTATAGATTTTTTTTGGGAGGCTGTAGGTATTATTTGATCGTTATTCATTCACTGCATCTGTCAGAGTCCCCCACAGAAAAAATTACATGGAAATCAAATTAAGATTTCTTGAGAATCACAATGAGGTTATTATGAACACACTTTTTATAGTGAAGATTTTATTATAAATAAAATATTTAAAGATGTGTTTAATAAAGCATAAATACGCACTAGTTCAATGGTAGATAATCTTGACTTTATCCATTGTTGAGGAAGGTAGATAAGCCGGATAGAAAGCTATATGAATATCCCTAGAATGTAGTAGAGAATGACATGACGTAAACTTGAACGAATAATGCTCCGATTAGTAGTCTTTAAACATAAATTAAATTCTTAAACTAATTAGTATATTCCTGTCGAATTATTTTTCCTCGTTTTCTTACAGCACGCGTTGTATATACTATATACTTACCCAAGCAGGTAAATCATTGAGTCTAGCCAATACTACATCCTTCTCGCTAGACAAAGCTGCGGCTTTGGCAATGGCTCGCCTGGTATCGCTTGATTTTTTCCATTGATCCCTAAGTACGAATAATATAACGGGCCCTATGAACCATGCTACGGACCATTGCATGTAACCGGCAAAGTAGACGATACCAACTACAGAAGCCTGGAACAAAATACACCACTTAAAGTCCCAGTCGATGATGATTATTAAACGACGAAACGTCGTACTAAAAATATGACTCCATGCTGGGATAGAAAAGTGAAAATAGTTTTAATAAGGTGTTTTCTATTTCGTTCAATTAAACCCAGAAAATAATAAAATAAAAATTCTGAAATTTTATATTTTCCAGGAACTTATCCAAACTAACAAAAATAATTTTGATTTCGCTTCAGTTCACAGATTACGCAACTTTTCCACAATATAACTTTCTGAAAAAACATACAGTTATGTTAGTTATTTTTTACTCATTTTATGTAAATAATCATATAAAGATATAAATTTTAGTGCTTAAATTTCAAGTGCAAACATGTTTATTTTGCTTAAGTCACTCGTTATATTTGTACAACTGATTAAAATACATATGGATATAGGTATACCACAAGCTGATAAGCTATCATGTTGTAATCAATATTTATATGTATTAGCACACATTTTGCATACCGATACCGATATGGATAACAAACCTACCTTTCCGGCAAAAGTTGGTTGCTTATAAGAAAGTTATCTTTTAAATATTTTCTATAGCGAACAAATATTTAAAGAAAAATCAATTTTCCTCAGTTGAAGTGAACTAAAAGTATAAAAAATCGTTATATTATACAGGGTGTCCACAAATTTCACCGACAACGTTTGACTACATATTCACGACGATACGAAAAAAAAGTTAAATAAAAATTACAAGCCTTTAAAGTTGTCAAAAATAAAACTAATTTAATTAATAACTTCATAATCCTTTTACCGATCGCGATAAAATTTGGGACATTTATTTGGACTATATGACGTATTATTTCTTAAAGCTTTAGTCAAATCGATATACTGGGTTTTCTCCCGTTACCTCTCGCTTTTAGCGGTCAAAACTTTTACAGTGGTCGTATTTTTTTAAAACGGGCAGCAACATTGAAAAGGTCGTTTTATTAAAAAAAAAATTGGCTCTTGAGAAAATCGCCTACAGAAAACCATTCTAAAGAAAAATTGCAGTATTTGCAGGTCTGTATGTTTCAGTTTGCGTAACAGTGTCACGAATTTAAAACTTTGAGTTCAGTAGGCGACGAAAACACGATGTTGATTGCTGTGGCTATCAGGTAATGTCATTATTGTCGTGTTTCCTTAACATTCTCATCACTTCACACATGCAAATTATGAAGTGTCCGCAGTTATGAGAATCGTAAAGAATCGTCATAGGACTTTTCTCCAATTTTGTTAATATCTTCATTTTTGATATATGTGTTTCATGCTGGACACTTTTGTATATTTTAAGATGTGTTTTGATTAAAAAAATCGAAACACGAACAGAGTAAATGGGTTTGTAGTACTTTTCCCAATTTTTTGGACGTTCAATTTTTTTACACCAAACGCTCAGTTCTTTAACTTTTTTTCTTAAAATTTTCACTCGGGACTTGGTTTGTAAGATATTACAACTTCTTTGGATATGCGAAAGGAACATTTTTGCTTATCAAAGATTAAGGCTAGGCATTATAAAGGGCGAACTGTAAAATATCTATTTAAGAGTTTTGGTTAAACGTTTTCTTAATTTTTAGTCTAATTTAAAAAACTGTATTAATGTTAATTGATCACGATTTTGAGTTAACAATATTGCAACTCAGAAATATAATGTTAAAAATGAAAAGTTCAATGTCTTCTTGCGCTTTCATAATGCGATCAAATTGTTCAGTGGAGTTAAAAAACTTTGCCTTTTTTGTTTAAGAATTACAACGATTATATTTAATTTTACCGCTGACAGTCACAATTCTGTAGAAAATAAAATGGCTGTTTTTAACCAGATTATGCGGCTTGATGTCGTTTATCGAATTCTGCACTGCAACGAGTTTTGCTAAAAATGTCGCATTTTGAAGGCGCAACGTCGATATTATATCTATATAAATGGGTTCTATTAAAGAACGAGAACCAGAAATTTATTGTTTTAACCTTCTGCGATTAGATTCTATGATTTTCAAAATGACACCAGATACTCCGTGTCTTTTGTGACTTTTGCGAGTGCTTCCTTAGATTTGCTACTCAATAATTTTTTTAGACAACTTTGGGAAGAATTATGGCAAATAATTTGAGTAATGATGAATATGTTGACATGCCTGCATTTTTTTAATGTAGGAAAAACTATGCCGCAGAAAGAATAATGTAGGTACTACTAGAAGCATCCAAATAGCCCCCAGTTCCTCACAAACTCAGGAGTAGACAGAAGACCTCCAGAAACTGGGAGAAAAGAACTCGCAAAAGCCTTAATTGCAATCGTGCGAGATTTAATGCGAATGATAATGAATTTAATTTTTTTATTAACAATAAACGATTTGTTTTAAAGCAAAAACGTGAGAGAGGTAAAAGTTTTAAAATAGAGGCTACCTCATTCGTATTTTTAGATATTAAATTTTTATGAAACAAAAAAGTTGTAGCAAAAAATAACTAACAAACCCCTCCAAGGGGCAAAAATTGTTGGGAAGTTGCACATGCATTTTTAGTAGAAAATTTGTGTAAAGTTTGACTATTAGGTATACGCTTTTTGGTCAAATTACAGCCATTATTAACAACTTTTTTGAAATCTTAGAGAGACTATCTCCTAAGGGGTGAAATTTTGCTGAGGTCATTTTTATACAAAATGTAATTTTTTAACTGTATCACTTGTGCCACTTCTTTTGAAAACACCCTGTAGAAATTTGACATATCTACAATATGCTTTTCTATCGACAAATATTCCTTGACAAATGTAAATGTTTCAATTGTAATTTATACGTTTTATTTAAATCAGTATATTATTTGGGTAGGTACCAGAGCTGGGTAATTCCTGGTGAAAAAGTAATTAGCAATTACAATTCCCTTTTTTTCCCTGTAATTGTAATTGTATTTAAGTACTTTTTTTTATTAAAGTAATTTGGAATTGTAATTGCAGCAAAATTGTTATAGGAATTGTAATTTGTAATTATATTATTTCAACTATCGAATTACAAATTACTTCTATAAGTACAAATACTTTTTCCAATTACAATTACTTTTTCTATTAATTATAATTACTTTTAAGATCATGCGTATTGCGTAATTGCGTACAGACTTGCAGACTTCTATTATTTCAGTTGAGGAAAGACTTGTGCCGCGTGAACAATAATAAGTGATTTGAATTAACCTCAGAATTAACAGAGTACATTTTATTTTATTATAATTATTATTAATTTAGAAAATATACGAAGTAAAAATATGTTGTCTATAGCATCAAGTTTTATAAAAATATATATTATGTATCTATGTGTTACTGCTCTTATTTTGAGTTGAGAAAACTCCTGGTTCGGTTACTCAGCCTTTCGCTCGTACTTGTTTGATTCGTAATTTTTTTAATAATAATTATTGCTTTCCAGTCTACCCAAAACTACTGTATTCTATATTTTGCAAATGTACTAACAACCAAAAAAAAGAGCATCGGGTTGAATTAATTACCTGACCAATAATATAAAATTATAGTATGAACTGAACTAGTTTAAATTATTAGATTAGGAATAAAAATATAAAAATTCTATATTAGAAAATGAATAAGAATAATCTTTTCATTTTAGTATCAATTCTAATAAATAATAAAAGGCAATATTACACAACACTTTTAATTTAAATTTTTAACTTAACTTTTTCCTTTTTCTCTGTTTGGTCACTATAATTTACTTTATCATAAAAGTAATTAGAAAAGTAATTAGAAAAGTAATTGCTAAATCCATTTTCCATGTAACTGTAATTAAATTAATATAATTCCTTTTTTAAAGAATATACTTTGTAATTGTAATTAGTTCCTTTTTTTAAAAAGTAATTTGTAATTGTAACTATTTTTAAATTACAAGTAATTACCCAGCTCTGGTAGGTACAAACTGGGACTTCATTTTAATGTGGAGCCTTCTGAGAATTTAAATTGCTATTTTTATCAGTTTGAAATGACGACGTATTATACCACAGTGTTATACAGTATACTATCTAGATTTGTGCTCTACCTACAATTCTTATTTTTGCTGATATAAGAAGTGTTAAAATTTAGTTACGTGAATTTTCCAGAAATATTATATTTTTATATAAAAACAAACAAATGAGCATCGCAAATATGTCAAAACTACCCTTTTTTCAATGGAATAGCGTGTATAAATTAGATAAAAAAACTCTTTTCGACAGATCTTCTCGATATTACAGATAGATCCATCAAATATCACTGTATTTATAATGTGTTAAAAATATATCGGGCTTTCCATTATAAAAAAAAACAAAAGTTTGTTTATTACACTAAATTGTAAAAAGTAATTTTATTCCCTCATATCTTCCGTTTTTTTATTGTAAACATTAACATACCTTTTGATAAACCCTCGGATAAACCTATCAAAAAATACATTGGTAAGTCTTCTTCAAGTAAATGTTTATTTTATTAAGTAAGTATATAGGCATAGAAAAATATTCTTACTTGATTTTAATAGGTAATTGTTTTAAAGGTATAGACAGATTTACAGTTTTGGTGGATGCATCAGTGTAAAACAACTTTCATGAAAGAATTCCTAGAATGCAATATATTGATATTCATTGTTTATCCTTTTAATATTTTATAACGTAGCTATCTGATATTTAATTATTCATGAATCCGGTAATTTCACTTTCTTGGAATTATTTTTAGGATGATCTAATCTTCTAGATGAATTTAAATTAAAAATTTCCTAAAAACATATTTTTACCTTTTTAACAACATTGAGAATGATGCTGATAATACTAGGATCTCCAGAAGATTTCTTCACCAAATTGGTGTCTTCGGTAGCTTTACTGACACTCATTTTAATAACTTATTTGTTAAGTCTAAAAATACAGCTGCTTAAAAGTATTCGCAAAATATTTACATTTGCAGTACCCACATATGTAACGGTATTATCTCTCGAATGTCTTTTTATGACTGCACTTCTATAGTAATCCCGTACGAATTTAATTTATAAGGCAAATTTGTATTAATCACAATAAAAACAAACAGAATGATGTCATGACTATAATAATAACCTCAAACCGGCAAACTCGCTACGCTAACTGAATGCACTAGGAGTGAAGTAATCTTACTTTCCTAGTATCCACTCTTCTATTTCTTTCCAATCGCGTATCTGAATTCGGCCTGCGCGGATGTAATCATAGTTGCCTATCTAACTGTCCCGTCATGTTTCATAATTAATTTTTGAAACTATAGAAACAATCCGCATTGACAAAACTTTTCTTTCAGATCTGAAATAGCGGTTTCATGTTTTGATCTTTAATTTTTTTATAATTTTTTAGAGAATTATAAACATTCAAGATGAGTCTGCGATGTCCAGATTTGCCCTTTTTACCGGGCTACACATTCAATCCCAATGTAAGTTTTTATTTATTTAGCTTTTAAAAAGATTTAGTTAGATATGTACTAATATTTCGCAAACCCCTAATTTAAAAAGTATAATTAAGTAATTAAATATCCTATGTATATTCTCTGTATAGTCAGCATTTTTTATTTTATGAAAAAAGTAAATCAAATTTTATTTAGCTGGATAGAAATATATGACAATCGATATATCCTGGGGAAAATACCAAAAATAAATAAATTCTGTAAATATAGGAATAAAAGAATTTAGTTACATCCACAACGCCTTGTGACGTTTTGCTAATTTCTTTCAAATATTTTGATGACCCTGGAAAAAATTTTTAGTTGTAAGCGTTTTTCCAACTCGGCGTTTTTTTATACTTTTAACTGTTTTCGAAATAATAACAGCTGAAAATCACTTTCCTGAAATTCAGGGCTTTGAAAAAATCGCAGAATGGAAAAAAGTTTTACAGCTAAAAGTTCTTTCCAAACAAATACATGAAACAATTTGTAAAATAGCAGATTTTAGGTGTTGCTGACTGTTTCAAAAACCTATATCGAAAACTAATTTTATAGAAATAAGCGAAGAGTATTGGTTTTAAACAAGTATCTTCTGACCATCAAAAATAGTTATTTATTGTATAAGTGTTTTAAGTAGCATTTTATCCACGCAAATATGTTTAAACGCTCGAACTACGTTCTCGCGTTTAATATTCTTAAGTGGATAAAAGGCAATTAAAACACAGATGCAATAGAACGTTTTATCCATAATCACATCACAATCATATTTGTGGAGTCAGAATTATTGTAATTTAAAAAAAAATATTCGCACGACTTGATATTTCTTACTAGTACTCAATGAAACGTGGTAGGTTTTGTTGTACCTACAAGTTGGTATAGTACGTTGTTTATTATTAAATTATTATTTGATAAACAGTTCTATCTGAATTTGGTAAAAATGCAAGAAAGTAGGTAATTGTGTTCCTGTGGCTGTTTTTGAAGAAGCTCAAGAAGCAATTTTCCATTTATTGCAAGCGAAATCCAGGTAACATTACGAAAAAGTGTTCGCCGAATTTAATGAATGGAAGGAAAAACGGAGAGTAATGACAATAAATGAAGAAGTCATGCTATCGTATTCTTTAAATTTGAAGAAAAAATATGCAATTTCCTCTATGTGGTCGAGGTATTCGATGTTGAAGGCTACTATAAAGGTATACAAAAATGTAGATATCGAAAAATATAACAAGTTTACTGCTTATTTGAAGAGTGAATCGAGATGTTACAAAGCAAAAAACCTGCAGTATTGGAAAGAGCAAATATTGAAGAATTTTTTACTGGGGCTTCCGATAAAGAATATTTAATGATTAAGGTAATATCTTTTTACCTTTTACATATTGTTAGGTATATAGTAAACTCTGAATTATTTTAGGTTGCACTAATAATGGGAGTTTCTGGTGGCTGTCGATGCTGCGAATTGACAAAATTTGAAAATTAGTGACGTACAAGACGTTGGCATTTACCTACTTGTTTCAATATCTGACACCAAGACGGGTATTTCAAGAAAATTTACAATTATAGAAGATTTTGCGTAAATGCTGTTGAAATATGCAGGAAATATACAGGGTAGCCCATCGAAAACGTACCGCAAGGCATTACAGGGTAGTAATGAACTTTTCGGCAAAATCCAAAAACATGTAAAGTTTGCTTCTGAGGGGGACAACTTTTGGCACAAAAAGCATAGCAAAATCTTCAACCCCCTAAGTGGGGGTGCCATCCCCCAATTTTTTTTAATGGGAATGGGGGTCAAGTGGGGGGGTCATTAGAAACGGCTTTTAATTCTCTATACATCGATTCTTACTTTTTGAAAATCGATCCATTATTTTAGAAAATATGCAGCTTTGAAAATACGAACAATATTTTTGACGAGAAATGCGAAAATCGATTTAATTTTAATTTTTTTAATTTTTTTTCTGATTTGCAAATTCTTTAGCCTGATTTTGGTGAGCAAAAAATTGTCCGCTTTTTGTTTCGTATTTAGATAGGCCACAAGAAGTTGCTAGATAACTGTCTTGTGACTTGTAGTTGAAGAGTACCAATACTGCCGAGTCTTTTAAATTGATTAATTATGGTGTACTTAATTCCAGAAAGAGTAAAAATTATTGAGCTTTTTTTCAAAAACAATGAATGCGAAAATCGGGTCGCCGAACTGTTCAACCAACGGCATCCTGAGAAACATGCGTCTGGAAAAATTTTTCGCGAATTGGTGGCCAAATTTCGCGAAACTGGCTCCGTTCATAACAAAAAGAGGCAGGTTGACAATCCGGTACTAAATGAACCTACGGAAATAGCGGTATTGGGGCAAGTGGCAATGGATAGTACGCTGAGTACATTGCAATTGGCTACTACGACAGGAGTGAGTCGTACAAGTGTCCAACGAATATTAAAAAAATACAAATTCCATCCTTATAAGATTCGGCTAGTGCAAGAGCTAAATGAAGACGATTTTGATCGTCGTTTGCAATTTTGCGAAATAATTACTGAACGAGCGATAAACGATAATTTCCTCTTTAATGTGTGTTTTTCGGACGAGTGTACGTTCTTCTTGAATGGTTTAGTGAATCGCCATAATTGTCGTTACTGGGCTGATACCAATCCAAGGATTTTCCATGAAACACACTCCCAACACCCCCTGAAGTTGAATGTATGGGCAGGTATTTTTGGAAATTCCATTGTAGGTCATTTTTTCCTTCCTGGAAATTTGACAGGCGATATGTACTTGGATTTACTACAAAATGTCATCGACCCAGCTCTAACGAATATCATAGAGGACGTCCCTGCTTACAATGAACACGAACTGATTTTCCAGCAAGACGGAGCTCCTCCACATTACTCGCTCAATGTGCGCAATTACCTAAATGAGTCGTTTCCAGGACGCTGGATAGGACGAAAAGGTGCAATTGAGTGACCCCCTCGGTCACCCGACTTAAATCCTTTAGATTTCTTTCTCTGGGGGGCACATTAAAAGCAAAGTTTACAGCACTTCACCTGATACCTTAGAAGATCTGCGAGGACGAATCATTAATGTATGTCGCGGAGTAGTAACACCGCAAGTGCTCCAGAATGTTCGACAACGGTTTGAAGACAACCTGTATCATTGTATGCAAGTTGGCGGACAACATTTTCAGCATTTACTTGACTAATACCGTAAGTTTTGAAGTAAAATTAAATCGATTTTCGCATTTCTCGTCAAAAATATTGCATATTTTCTAAAATAATGAATCGATTTTCAAAAAGTAAGAATCGATGTATAGAGAATTAAGAGCCCTTTCTAATGACCCCCCACTTGACCCCCATTTCCATTTGAAAAAACTTAGGGGATAGCACCCCCACTTAGGGGGTTGAAGATTTTGGTATGCTTTTTGAGCCAAAAGTTGTCCCCCTCAGAAACAAATTTGTCCTGTTTTTGGATTTTGCCGAAAAGTTCTTTACTACCCTGTAATGCCTTGCGGTACGTTTTCGATGGGCTACCCTGTATTTCTCTACACCCAATACGCCTAACACAAGAGAGATCCTTTTTAAGATACATCAATCAAAAATGTTCTTCTCAGCCTGTTGGAATCAACACATTGGCGAAGGTATCCTAGATGCTTCATTCCTGAATATCACAAATCTACTGGCCATTGTATGAGATGCACTTCAACAACTTTATTGATCAATAAAGGTGCTGACCTCACAACCATCAAACGGCATGGTGGATGGAAGAGCTCGTCTGTAGCAGACAGTTATGTTGAGGAGTCTATAAGGAAAATCCAAGGAAAATATAGTTGTTCCTTACAAGAAAAGACAACTTGTGCAAATTCTTCACAAACTTCGGCAGATGTTATGCGTTCCGAAAATGATGGCAACAATGCTACAAAGGTTGTTATTAACGGAAAGGAAGTTAAATGTGATAAAACAAAGAACAAAATGTCCATTACTATAAATGTAAATGTTAATGTTAAGTAGGTAAATAAATTAAATTTGATTTATTATAAGTTTATTATTTTTTCATTATTCTACTATTGAAATAAAATTACTTTATTCCACTAATGGATAAAATATCCCTTTAGACGGTTCATATGTGTGGACAAAAGTCCGATTATAAGGTGACTGTGGACAAATAATGTTTTGTTTGGTAGCACGTGTCAAAATTTTGAAAAAGTGGATTTTTGGATTAAAATGTGTTCACCTCCATTGATTTATTTTAATAAAATTTTACGCTGAAAATGCACAGGACGATAATAATATACTTACGATACACGCCTTCGTAATTGCAAAACACAGTATGCACTGCAAGCTTTTACGATGAACGTCGCGCCGCTAATGTCTTTCTACCTCGGATGTCGAATGCGGTTAATTCCAAGAAAGTGACGCAGGAGTCTTCTTGGAGTTATATCTCAACAAATATCGTACGGACTGCATATGGTTTTAATTCTACAAAAATGCAACTAATTTCACTTTCAGTTTTAGTAAGTAAAGTAAATTAATTTATTTTTAGATCGGGAGAACTAAATTCAATATGGATCCTAAATTTGATTTTATCGGTAAAGGCAATCGGGCCCTAAAAGAAAAGGTCAAGCCTAATATGTTCGGCCCATTAACCGACAAATATCCATCAATTTACCCGAGAGGAGAATGTATTGAATTACCGGGATGGATTGCCTTCGATAAGCAGGTAAAAATAACTAAACCACATTTTATGTTGGATTACAAACATTTTACATGGTAGATTTTATGTTTTGATGCATACTTCCAAGAAACACTACAAGAAGTTAAGGGATCTCCATTTCAAATTCGAAAAGTTAAAATTTATCTGTTCCTCGAAGATGGAACCATTCAGGTTATAGAGCCAAAAGTCGAAAATAGTGGCATTTCGCAAGGTACAGTATCATCCTCCATAAACTATATGTTATATATTTGTATCATCTATTTTGAAACAGTATGAAGAGATAGTTAGTTGGAATTCTATCTCAACAAATATCATAATATCTATGATTATTAAGAAGCCACATGGTACGCCTATGGATTAGAAATTATTGATTTTATTACCTCATGCCATTTCAAAACGGACTACATTCCGCTAGAATAAATATAGATTGCTATTATCACTGTTTTAGGTACTCTTATTTCTCGCCAGAGGATACGCTTCCCGGCCCCAATGGATGATAACTTCTACGACATTATAGACTTCAACATTGGAAGGGAAGTCGAATTATACGGACGCGTCTTCAAAATCACCAACTGCGACAGATTTACTCGCACCTTTTTAAATCGATGTGGGATTTTCGTTCCTGACCCGTCAGTAGTTCCTACCGATCCCTACATGGAAATTAGAGCCCATGAAAGAGATGCTATGCAAGCCAAGAAGCCTAGCAGGACGATTGACACTCTTGGGAAGTTTCTAAAATATGATAAAAAGGTTTGGCCATAAAATAAGAAGTATATTAATTGGTGTATACGGGTATTCCAGTAAATAACAGCAAATTTAATATATACAATTCTCCATTTTCAATACACATACCATAGCACTCTTATAGAATCATAAAGGAATGTTTTTGACTGTACTTTCAATTAGGAATACACCATTACTACAATATTATCATGATATCGAAATTCTTGATCTTCCAAAATTCTTTAAGTGTCCGAAAGTATTCAGTTAAAAGAAGCAAGTTTAGAGGTTTGCAGAAAAGCTGAAAGATATAAAATTCTAACTGGCTAATAGAGGTAGATTATCTGATGCTTCTTCAATAGACAGTGTCTAGTTAAAGAGTTTGATGAGGAAAGTTTTTTAAATTTCCACTCCGTTCCGTATCAGAGCTGGAAAAATATGTACCATCCTCACCGAAAGAATTGATTGGTTCAAATGATTTGATGGCCCATTCAATAACTGGTACTGTGATACTTTTTCCTGTGTACCAACCAGTTATTTGTACTACCTGCTGAAGTTAGTAATAGTGCATTACTACTACCATCATTATTATTAAGAAAGTGATTTTTTAGAAACTCCAGGATTCCTCATATATAATACGTGCAGGTGCTTCCGATCGTTTTATCGATCAGAGCTCCTGTGTCGGCTTTCTAGTGAAAACCTTGTGGATTCGGATTTGCTAGGTTAATCAGAAAGACTCTCGCAGAACCTTCTCCAAGATTCCCTACTCCTCATCTAATTTCTTCATTATACTCCTCATTTTATCAAATTTCTTGATCCACTAAGGCTTGCCTGACCGATTTATTCCGTAGCTATCTATATTGCATCACGATTTCTTATTGTGGTAATAGAAGCCCGAATGTACGACTGGAGAGATTGTTTATAGCTACTCCAATCTGTTCATTTTGGATCCCTATATGGTACCATGGGCAAAGAAAAACTTTCTGTCTAAAATATGCTTATGATCTAAATAAGACGGTTTAGAACACACATTCTAGTTGACATTTCCATTTTATTGCGGTTTCTCCCAATTGTTTCTGTTTGCTTCGGATGTTTTATCACCTATTTTGTCATCACTTCATTCAGAACTTGAAGACTTTAACAGCCCTCTTTTTTGTCCTGGGTTTATTGGAATAGGATTATCCACAATCTCCATATTTTTTTCAGTTCGAGTTTATAGATTATGTTTTCTTCATTCCAATCCAACGAAAAGCTATAGAATATATATAGAGTTCTGCTTGCTATGGAAAATTGCCCGGTATCCAGCCCATCAACTGTGCCACTTTACATTTTAAGTTGGGGCATTTTATTAACTTTCCTTGTCTAAATTCACCTTGTCTAGTTTAAGCAAGGCCACCTTCAGCAGGTTGTGGCTCTTCACCCTTATGGTATCTTATATGTGAAAATCAGATCACCTCTAATTCTACATTCAGACAGATTCACGTACTGGATTCACTCATAGTAGGCTGAATTCCTGAAAGCACACATCTCATCTGGTGGATCTGTGTTAAACATTTTCTAAAAGGTTGATATCCTTAACCAAGCGAGATGACAGGATTACATTCTATTACACTATTTGGGATTTAAATAACATAGAGTATAGACTAGCACGAGAATTTTAGAAAGTTTTGATATAAAGGATCTCTGATTAGCTTTTTTGTGAGTTCTAAAATCTGATTGGACTAGAAGAGATCAGAAGTTACTGTTACATCGAAATCATTCTGTTCCTTTACTGCTTTAACTGGGCCCATTAATGGTGTCCATTTTTTGTAGCACTTTAATTGAATGGAATTAACTAAGTATTGCACCAACACTCCATTTCTGCAAGATTATTTTGAATGGAGCGTCAAGATTTGCTGAGTACAATTGAGACAGAAGGGGATCAACAGCAGATCTTTGCGGTACACCAAACCGTACCTGATGAAAGGAAGAATAATCTGATCTAACACGAAAAGATCAGGATCTGAATCCAAGAGTTAAATTCCCCTCAAATTCCCAAATAAACCAAATTTAGGAGAAGTCTGTAACTGGAAAGTCTGTCGTAGAATTTGAAGAAGGCTAAATAAAGAACGTCGATAAGATCAAAGACAAGGACCCACTATTTTAAAACTGATAAATTGATTGGTAGTAGTACCTAGATCTACTTGAAATAAAACTGTGTTGTGATGTTGGCAAGAAGGTATGAGTTAAAGTGAAGTTCATAATATGAGGAACTAAAATCCGTTTAAGAACTTTGAACTTTGAGTAATTGTCTGAATTTATTTTGGATATAGTAACTGATGTAGCTACCAACAATGTGAACGGAGCGATGACGTGATTAGAGAAAATTTAAATATAAAGTAAAGCTCAGCTAAAGAACAACTACAATGTTTCAATGCAGACGCCAAAAAACCGTCAGCTAAATCTATGCAAAGGTTATTTAGATGCTGCATCATTCTTATTAAAAGTTGATTAAAGAGAATGATCCTGCTTAAGAGTTGCAAACGCTGAAGCAGGATTCTTAAAACTTCTGCACATTCTACTTAGAGCCGCATAAGTGCCTTGTATCACTAAGAACCAGTGAAGTAGAGAAATTAGACGAAATAAATTTTCTAACATATTTGAAAACAACCTTTTGGCCTTTATCAACACGATTGAATTCCTAGTTTCTATTTGATAATCCAATTTGTTTGAATTGCATTGAAGAAATTTCTGTAAGTAGCGAAATTGATTTACTTTCTTTTTACTTTATTTGAACTTCTTTCAAAGACTGTTGTAAAGCTCATTGGTATCTAACACAAGTTTTTTGAACTTTCGTAGTTTTATATCTGGTGCATATACTGGAGTTCATCACAGACAAAAATGAGTACCAAAGCCAGTTTACGTCATCGAAATTGGGGACATTTTGCCAATTTGTTGCAAAACACAAATTTTTAAATTTTAAATAATTTATTTTGTAAGTTAAAATCTATAACTTGGCCCAATAAGTTATGGTTAGCTATAGAAGGTAGATAACACAGATATGCCACCATTGTAATAAACTATATCATGAGCATTGATATCAAAACAGTACGTAATGGAATATCTTCTCTGTGCATTTAAAATTTATTGTTACTTTTTGAAATACCCTTCTATGTATACCAATAGTATTTATATCTACTACTGATATCTACTTTTCCCCTAGATCACACTAAAATTTTCCGCTACCTTTGAATAGGTATAAATCCAAGACCTAAACGAGCTTGGTCTGTTGCTCTTTCAGGTACTTAACTTCAAAGGCTACTGGGATGACCAGAATACAGAATTCGGCTACATTCACCTCCTGGAGATACGATACTACCTAGCAGACGACACCATAGAAGTCAAGGAACTCCAATCGGAATCTGGAGGTGAACCGGGCTTCACATTCCTCCGTCGAGCGAAACTTCCTAAAGTGTACAAGGAACTCCCCACACCTGGGTTCGATACCAACTACACCGTCCTCAACGTCCTGGGCTCAGCGTTAACCAGCAGGAGGTACATTGTAGACCCCCTGAACTGTGGAGTTGCCAATGTTCAATACTACACCGACCGAGATCTGAGTATCGGTGCTGTGTTGAATTGTTATGGAAGGAAGATCGTACTTACTGATTGCGATCGTTACACGAAGGCTTACTACGCGGATAAGTATGGTACTAGTAGCTTCAAACCCCTACCCATGCTAGGTACGAAGAAGGAGGAGAGGATCATCCCGGCACCGAAGGACAGGGAACTGCCTCCTTGGAACGGCTTCGGAACACACGAGGATTCAGCCCAGAATTGTATAACAGTTGAGCCCAAGCCTCCCCTGAAGGATATTAAGAAGTTTCTGACATACGATAGGTATTTCTTCAATAATTTTGGTGTCATAGTTTTCTAACTATCCAGTCCTGATCCATTTCTCTTGTAAACTAAATTGCAGTGAAGGAAAATAAAAGCATGATACATCGCTAAGCTGACTGGTTTAATCGTAGATTACTAACAGAAAAAAATTCTATTTATTGAAAAGCGTTTTTAGTGAATCTAGATGGTCTCTTTGAAGTATATAATTATTATCATTACTCATTTTTTACTTTAACAGGTTTAAATACATCTGTTTAGAAATATTTTAATAATACTGGATGGTATTAATCATCAACATTTTAAACACAAATCTTGTTTAATTACCATCACTAATTGATTTATTTAAAAAATTATTCGTATAGTACAGAAATTTCAATCCAATATTATTTCACGAGAAATAACCATCATGTTTAATAACACATAATTAAACAAATAATAACTGTATTCATTTCAGATTTCTCGCTGAAAATTATGACTATCAAATTTGAATATTCGTGATTATCCGTATTTGAAGAGCATTAAATTAAATAAATTCAACAAGAAATTACCGTAAATATGTATATTGCACGAAGAAAATTTTCTTCATTCATTTTTCTTTTTTTTTACTACTACTACTTTTACTGAAAATGGTGACCAGTTCTAATAATTGTTCTCAAATTTCTCAATATGATTTCGTTTTTATTATTAAATGAAACAAATTTTAATTAAAGGTGATGATGATAATTAATAAATTAATTAATTATTCGCAAACTGTTAGATATAAAAAAATTGTGCAAACGAGAATAAACTTGAAATGGGCTCTTACCTTTAAGACAATAAGGGCTAAAGTATCATCATTTGCAAAAACATAAAACTATTAAGTCAAAAAATTATATCTTTACTTAAATACCAATAGACAAATTTCATTTAAATTGGAGGAAACGTGTTATTTCGAAAAAATATTTTTTTTCAATTTGAACGCCATCTAGCGGTTAACCGAAGTAATTTGGTATAGAGGTGTTACCTTAAAATACCACATTTTAGGGTCTTTTACACGTACCTGCTCTGTGTCTCTTTTAGATGTTTCAATTCAATTCATAATTCACTTAATTTTAATTCAATTTTTTCTGGTCTGAACCAACTGGTGTGGAAAAGATAACAAAGTCCAAACCATCAAAGGGAATTATATTTTGCAAATGATTTTCTTCAAAATACAATAAAAATTATAATTTTTCCTACATTTTTCAAAACAAAATCAGGTTATCTGGTTGATTGAAAAACTAATAGTAATTTAATAAAAATGATTAGAAAATAATTTTCGTTCAATATTTAAAATATTGGAAAAATATCGGTTTTAGTCTTGATTCATAATTTCAAAATTTTACAAATTACAAATATAATACAAATTTTTACAAATATTTACTAAACGTATTATTACTATTTATTCAAAGTAAATAATTCGGAAAGTAACAATTTTCTTAATCTTTTAGTTACTTTGATCTTGTGTAATTTGTATTTCGAAATTGTTTTTATCAATTTTTTTAATATTATAACTTAAAAATCATATACGGGTGTAAAAATTCAGATACAGAAGCAAAAACTAGATTATTTTTTGTTTCATATAATTATTATCGTAGTTAGTCCAAGTTGCTTAATTTGTAAGTTGCAATGAGTTTAATTTAAATTTGAGGAAAATATTTTTGTCTTAACTGTGAGTGATGAACCAATTATCTTCAAATTTGGCAAGGGATACAATACCCTAACCCTCTAGCAGCGCATAAAATTTCCACTCAATATACAACTACAATGATGCATTATTAACATAACAAGATCCCTTTTGAAAATAAAAAATTGTTTAGCATTAGGCGAAATTACATACCACGTGTCCTATTTTAAGCAATACACGTGAATATCTCGTCATCCGAATCCAAAAAATGACCTACAAAAAAATTGTTCAGTTCATTGGCAGAAAGCGGCTACTGCCCTTGAATTTGATCTTAACAGTGACTTTGAAGGTCAAATGAAGGTCAATTTCATAATTTTAAACGAGGTCGTCTATTTTTTACCCTGGGAATGAATTCTGAAGAAAATTTTACATCCGGATGTTATCTCAACTTTGACCTTGTGGTCAAGGTCAAGGTCACAACTTGTTCAACTGATTCGTCACCCCTGAAAGGTAAAAAATAGAGGGTGCCAATTAAAATTATAGAGCCGACCTTCAATTGACCTCAAATGTCACGATTGAAGTCAATTTCAAGGTCAGCAACCGCTTTCCTCCAATGAAATGAACAACTTTCATTTGGGTCACTTTTAAATCGGAGGGTATACGTGGTATAATAGTTGTATTAAATTATACAAGCAATTTACCAAAAAAAATGTTTTTAAGGAAACCTAAAGTTTTGCTGTAAATTACGTAGGCACACAAAACAAAAAATGTGGTTTGTTGTCTTGACCAGTCCTTGTGCTTATGTTTTCGGAACAAGAACTTAAAGTCAGTTGGGCGCCAGCACAAACCGTTTTCGAATGACCCCAAATCTTCAAACACTGAGTTATTTGCGAATATGATTGCTTAAGGATTATAACTTAGTAGGAGAAACTTCCATATACTGAATTCCATAACACTGCCGTCATAATTTCAGATTCACTGAACACGATTCTGAAATCAGTTTGACACTAGCACTTCTATAAGCGTTTCATGAACATACTACTGTTATGCAATTTAGACTAAGAGTGTTTTTTTTTATCAGTGATTATAGCGAACCCTTTTGTATTCAAAAGATGTACGTAGTGAGTTTCCTCTCTTTCTGTTTCCACCTTTAACCTTACATCCTCTTTTCAACATCCATCATAATCACATTCCCCTTACTCTGATACCTTCTTTCTATTTCCTGTAAATCTCGAATCTAAAAGATTATTAAATTTTATACTTAACAAACAAAAAAAGAAAATTAGGCTGATATAAAATGTTTACTTTCTTCCTATCCGTAACTTTAATCAATGGCATCTGGTTCTGATAACAACACGATAACTCGAACTACGTATTGAGTTGAAATATTATATGCTAAAAGATACTATACTTTTGTAACTCATGACAAATTTAAAGTTAATTTATTTATTAATAACCATTTTAAAATTGTGTTTCACAAAAGAATCGACACAGAACAGGGGAGCCCAAAATATGATGATTTAATGCAAGTTACCTTTATATTAAGCTGCACCCCTGAGAAGTTATAGACCTTGAAAGTGGGGTTTCAAATTAAAAAAAAAATCAATATCTCAGTTATACTTGAACTTTGAAAAACCAAATTTCCTACACGGTGTGAGTGTATCAAAAGCATTAATCAGCAGTAAGTAGAGTGTAATTGAAGCATTTTGAAGGGTTGATAAGGGATGATGCACCATTAAAATCTGATAGAATTTTTAACCTGATGGCGGACTTAAAAATGATTACTTTATTTTATGGGAAATTTAATACTGAACCGTTTCTTACTCTTTTCAGTTTTCAAAAAACTTTGTCGTTTTCAACAAAAACACGAATAATGCGTATTGTTATTTAAAATCATCGAAAATTCAAAAGTTCGCTATAAATTTAAACTTCAGCAGTTATTGGGTAAATTAGACTTCAATTTTCGACGAAGAATAAATTTAGGTATGCCTGAGAGAAAACGATGATCACTTTGAACAATTTCTATAACTTATCAGTGCAAATTGTATGTTATTTACGTTGATTAAGTTGTTTGGTTTTCTGCTAAATTATTCTTATTCCATCTTTTTTTTTCTGATCGTCAAGTTTGACGTTTAAATTCATAGCCAACTTTAGAATTTTCCATGATTTTAATTAACGCTGCTACAATAAGTATTATTAGTTCTTGTTGAAAATGAAAAAGTTTTTTGAAAACCAACAAGAGTAAGAAAAGTTTTAGAATTAAATTCCCCATAAAATAAAGTAATAATTTTTTAAGTCCGCCAACGGGTTAAAAAATTATGTCACATTTTAATGGTGCATCATCCCTTATTAACCTTTTAAATGGTTCAATTGAACTCTACTTAATATTGTAGAATAACAACCCCGGGTTCCATCGAAAAAAATGTAATAAACGTAGTTGTGGCCAGAAATATGTGATCGTCATAAGGAATACCTACGTTGTATACATCCATTTTTAATTGACCGGGAGGCGCTGGCTACTAACTTTAAAGAGGGGAAGTATGGTTTAATTTTATAAAACAAAAGCATAGTAAATACACCTAACTTTATTATTTACGTACAACAGTCTTCAAATTAAACATGTGACAAATAGAAAGAACAACAAAAACATTAACAACCATTTAACATAAAATGAGGGTGCCAGGCTCACGTAGAGCTCCTGTGGGGAAAGAGCATGGCAGAGAAACCCACGATCGTTGATCTAACTACCCAAATATAAATACAAAACAACCGCTAACAAAAGACATAAATTAAGATCCTTTGTTAATGATAAATAACACCCGACTTATTTCATTTCTCACTAAATGTCATCTCACTCGAATTTGACATACACACTTCCAAGTAAAACTGAAGAGGTTTGGTGTTAGTTAACCGGCAGGGCCGGAAGGTACTGGAGTCCGATACGGGAAGCAATCCAGCTATGAGTTGAGATTTCGGAAAATCTGTTTTAGCAATTCTTTTTTTTGTATTTAATTATTCTTTTTACAGATTCATTCCTCACGGGCGAAAATGTTAGTACATTCAACAGCGTATGACATAAAGTGAACACAAGAAATGCTTTATTATTTGTTTTTCGAACAACGTAATCATGATAAAACAAGTTAAATGTGAAACAAAGGAGTTGTTATTGCAATATCTGTGCAGTCACGACAATATATACATATTTTAACATGTAATAAATAATGAGCAATCTCTAATAATAATTGTAACAATTTTACGTTAGAAAAATATACGCCCCTGAGCATAAAGCAATGGAGACTAAACATACAAAGAATTATTATCATGAAACATCTATAACCTGTGATGGTTATAGATCATAAGATTACATAGAACAATTAACAACAAAGTACTTAGACAATAATTACCTGCTAATTATAATACGGGTTAAACACTTTGATTTTTCACTATTTTGCCTCACTGCCCGCCGATCGACTTACTACCTATCTCTACACTGTTCTCCCTTCAACTATTTAGGCTTCCTTCCAGAATTCCCCACCTAAGTGTTTGTTTTTGCGCTCCTTCTACCAACTGTCAGTATTAGGTTTTTCATTGTTATACAACACCCATGTAACAGGTGACGTCGAAGTTTATACGATAAGTATGGTTTTGCACACTATCGATTAATGATCTCCCTTTCAAGGCCTATAACTTCTCTGGGATACAAGTTAATATAAAAGTTTAGTTAAATCACCATATTTTGGGTTCCCCTACATATCCCTGCTCTGTGTAGGTTCTTATGGGAAGAACCCTGTATAACGAAAAAAGATACAGCAATCAGTAAAAGTAATCCTGGTGAAGTTTGAAAAAACTTGTGGTTTGTATGAGTTACTATCCCTGTCTAATTTTATTATCGCCAATTTTTAGGATCGGTTTGGATAGCCACATTTTGCGATTCGAGGCGCGCATGAAGTCCAAGATACCGGAAAACTGTAATAGAATTTTCATAATAAGCTTTTACCTAAATGACGATACCATGTCAGTCTTTGAAGTTGGCAGAAGAAATTCAGGTAATTGATTAAAATTCACTATAAAGACAGTGTAGAATGATGTTTTAAGGTTTCCAATCTTCATCGTTCTTTGCAAGAAATCAGGTTTTGTTGCCTGGTCAAAACCTGTATACGAGCAAACCACCACTGTATTATACTCCGCAGCATATGTTCATTGGAGCCACGTTAATCATAAATAATTTCGAATTCATCCTGATTGACGCAGACGAGTATGCCTCGAGGTTTATGGAATTAAATGCTGGGCAGGTACAAACAGTAACTACCATGTAAAATTGTAATAACAACTAATATTTGATTAACAATTATCAGGGAAAGGGTATTGTCCATAATATCCATGATATGAAAAAAAGGAAAAGTAAATATGATATACAGGGCGTTGCATATTATTTTCAATTTTTCCAAAACAATAGAAATGAATATAAAGAAAAGGGATATATGCAACGAATTCTAACCACTAGAAGGAGCTTTGTGTATTCTTATACATGTGTTTTAACTCTAGCAAACATCTAAACAGAGAACTACCTAATAAATAAAGATAGATAGTGTCAAATGTAAACAATGAGACACAACGGCAGTGGCGTACTGTCAAAAAAGGCAAAATATTAAAATTTACAGAATACCAATACACATTTGAAAGGATTACTCATTTTATAAATAATTTTTACATATTGGCGATAGTTATATAATGAGACGGTAAAAATTAAAGTAAAATTGATAAACCGGTTTTACCATACTCAAATTGTTTTGACATCAGTACTGATTGATTAAATGCTTTTATCCAACACTTGTATATAATGATACTATAATTTCTTTGGTTTTAAAGGAATAATGTGGCCTATAAGTCACTAGTGAGTTATAAGTCATAAGTCCCTAGTAAGTTATGACTTATAATCTACTAATGATTTATAGAGTCATAAAAAGACAAATGTTTGGTTTATTTTTCTAGTTTTTATTAAAAAACCAATTTGAAACAGTAATAAGTCAACAAATAACCTAAAATGCTACAAACTTACAATCTACCTATCTATTAATATTAACATTAACATTTATGGTAAAGCCGTAATTTGATATTTGAAAGAGCACCATCAAAAGTAACAAACTATTTTGATACCTGATTCACTTAAAAAGTCTAAACATTTAACTGTTTGTTTCTCTTACTTTCATTTTAATAGCAGCCAATGCTTCATTTGTAAATCCAGGTGTTCCATCTATAGATCTGTACAAGCTGTGTCTGTACCACTTAGAAATTGTTTTTGTATGCGGCAAAGCCATCTTCTTGCATAATTATAAGCATCTGTTGAATAAAAGCTTAACGTTAAGGCAAACGAGCTAAACTCAGGTGAATACTTTTTTCGAGATTGTCCTTTTCTTGATCTTTGACAGACTTCACCTAACATTCCAGGTGCTGATTCCTAAAAATACATATTGTTTATAGACACAGAAAGAATAAGTATTTTTCAACTTACATGAATGATACGATACATTGAGTCATATTTCTTTTTCAAAAATTCAGAAGAGAATTAAGGCTACAAATTCTGGCTTTTTAGACGACCTTTGCTTGCTGCAGATTTGCTGAACTTTATTGTTTGCATTTTTATTATTTTCTTACAAATAATCGTATTTTTTCTTGCTCTTTTTGGACTATTCATGTTAGAAGTATGATATTCTCCAAAATATTGTGGATAAGGCCTTTTCCTAAAAATGATAAATTATGTATTCCAGATGTATTTTATATAAACTCTTACGGTAGTGTTTATATAAAATAAAATGGTAATATATAAATGGGTAACAAGGTAGGATTTTCTTGATATTTTTTAAAATGTACTGAATAAAAAAAATGTTAGATAGGTAAGCAGATAGCGTATTAGTTGTAGATTCCATACAAAGGACATATAATTTGTTAATTATATTTTTATAACTTACTTCACGTTTATAAATTTATTACGATTGGGTGAATCCATTCCTATTTCTGATGCAGTTAAAATTGATCAATGTTTTAGCGAGGTGTCACCAAATTTCAAATATATTTCAGAAAGATCTGTAGCCTCATTTGTAGTAGATAACAAGCCTGATTGAGCACTCAGTGTCGATGACGATGAACATGTGGATATATTTTCTGGTTTTTGTTGCGGCAAGTACAATGACTGTTCCGTAGGAACATTATTTATATGAATATTTTCCTTACTAGAACTGTCTGATCTATAAAAATTAAATAAAAAGGTAAACGGGTACTGGGTAACTTTTACTTGTATATTTTAATCAATAAAAAAGTTATTTTACCTGCTATAAGTAGAAGCTATTACTGGAATAGCTGTCTCTCGCAAATACTTTATACCTGATGGCATTGTCAGAAAATCATTAATCGCAAAATGATAAAAACAAACAAAAATGTTGTCGGTAATATTGACATTATCTAGGGAGAGCTTCCACAAGTTTCTTCGTTCCAGATTCTTAGGAAATCTAAAAAATACAGGTATTACTCATAATATACTTATAATATTACGGAACAGGAAAAAATAAGTTGAACAATTAAAAAATATATCATTTTAATAATTTAGATAATGATTTAGTCACTGTAATTAAGTACTAAATGTAAAACACCCTTATGTAATTCCTCAAACGTCGCCCATGTTGCTTGTTTACTTACTTGTGGAAAGACCGCTGCTCGCCCTTTTTAAATAACACTTTACAAATAACACACTTTCTAACCATGTCTAAATAAATGTCCATATATAAAAACTACACAACAATAAGACGAAAATGACACACTAAACACAAATAAACTCAAATACGTTAATAGCGGCTACACACTTATCCTTTGACAGCTGTCATCGACAATCATCGAAATGCGGACGTAGGCGTGAATATAAATTCGACCAATAGAAATTTGTGTCTCCTGAAGATTTGATTTATTTATGTACATTCGCAAACAAATACATCCAAAGCTCCTTCTAGTGGTTACAATTCGTTGGATATATGTTCATACATTATTTCAGATCTAGACACAACTTTAGAAATCTCGAGAAAAAGAAAACAAATATTGCACGTAATTTACATGAGTGACATTTTACCCATCTTATCCTTCTTCTTTTGGCCTTCTATCTAGAAAAAAAAAATTAGTACCTATAACTGAAGTTTTAGAATATTTTCTTGCAATCTCAAAGAAATCTATGTACGTACGTATGTTTTATATGGAATACCCCGTATATCTGTAATTTTTTAATTTTCAGCGTATCCAAGGAATATTTCAATATTGAAATACCTAAAACTGGTATTAATTCTGATAAACTACAACATTTATTTATAATTTCCAGTATCCCAAGGCCAACATAAAACTAATTATGGAAAAGGTAAAAGAAAAGCTCAAGCCAATATACAAAGATTTCGTTGCGGAAAACATTCCGACAGAAACACCCGTTATATCTTACGAAAAATTAAGGTAAACTTTTACTGTTAGTCTGTGAATTTATTCTCATTACAGAAAAGTGTGAACAATTTATCATTTACTGTATTTATTTTTTCCATATACGATTACAGGAGCAAGCTTTGCCAAATTATGGGAAGCGATTTCACAGAGCACGAAATGATTACAATAGCCAGAGCTTTTTCGGCGACTTGTTATAAAGAACGGTACGACAGATCAAAGATAAGGTAAGACCTCGTTCAATCTTAACCTAGTTATTTGTCATTCAGAAGGGATCCAAAATGGCGTTTTGATTATCGATTTAAAGAATGTCCTCCAAAATAAATGCATTTATTCAGATAGACAATTGTGTATAAGACATTCATAACACATATCTTGTATTGAGTTATATTTTCCCTCAATGTTTTTGAAGTTTTTGATATACTTTTCAATTTATAAATTTTAGAGCGTTAGCTTTGACAGAACTAAAGAGGTACTTGTGGGACGATCTAGACCGATTAAGAGAATATTTCTTGCAAAGGGATGCAGACAGGACGGGGAAGCTCAGCAAACAGGAATGTTATACGATTCTAAGAGGCTGTCGACTGCCTTTTGATAAACAGTTATTGGAAAGAATATTTGAAGTGTAAGTACTATATGAGAGTAAGATAGGTACAATTCGTATAATACTTGTTGAGATAGAATTCCTAGAAAAGAATCTCGGAACTGCTGTAACAATTTACCGTGACAGGGGCGTACCTTGAAATTTCATTTGGAAAAATTGTCTTAAAATAATTATACACGTTAAAAACTCTTACTAGACTAGAAATTAAATTCCTTTATTTTATTTTCACGCCCTTGTAACTGCAAAACACAGTATGCACTGCAAGCTGCTACGGTGAATGGCACGCCGCCAATGTCTTTCTACCTCGGGTGTCGAATGCGGTTAATTACAAGAAAGTGACGCAGGGAACTTCTTGGAATTATATCTTAAGAAATATCGCACGGACTGTATTTAATACTTGTGGTTTATTCTTCTATCAAAGAGAAAGAGAAAAAAGTACAGAAAACATAAACTACATATTTTTACAGGATACAAAAAGACGAACAGTGCAATTTGTATTATGAGGATATTCTAAATTTCTTAGACAGGAATTATTGCCCAATGCCGGATGTCCCACCAATTAATATAAAGGTAAACATTACATTAGAACTTTCCTGAAAAAAGAACTCGAAATAGATAAGCATTTCGTTGACAGCTGCAACTGTCATAAAGTGTGAATACGTCTCCATACTTATTAGCTTGGAATAGGAAATGTGGGAAACTTGCAATAAGTTAATCAGTAATTTACAAACTGTATGTTTAAAAAAATGTGTAAAAGAGGAACTCGTATCAACATATATTCGAAAAGCTTTGTTTCCAAGATACAAATTTTTGTAAAATTCTGTTTGTGGTACAGGACCTTACCTATTTATACAGAATATGAATGTGATGATGATAAATGATAATTCAGTGATTTTTGAGAAATACCTACTTCTACGATACTAATACCAAAAAAATCAGCATTTTCTGAAAAAGCAAGGTAAATTACATAGAAAATGTACTTTTGTCTCCCTTCCATAAGGCGCACTCTATTTAAGAAAATTGCAAAATATGATTATAACGGCCTTTCTGATGTCAACACATATTATCGGTAGATCACTTTTGAATGTTGTACAGGTTGTCTCAAATTCGATAGTATGGGCCTACTGTGAAGATACAAAAAATTTAAATAAAATTTGGGACACGTGGTGTTAAATGAGATGAGGTAAGCTCCGTGTTCAATCGAAAATATTATCTTTAGGATTTGATAGAAATGACTAATGACTTCATCAATTATATTTTTTTCAGAAACATACTCAAATTTTTTTCCTGTTAAAAAGTTCTCTTTTTTCTTATAAACTTTTATTAGAGATGTATTACTTCCCGCTTAAAAGTTATAAATAAGCAATATTGTCCTGAAGAGTCTCCAAAGAAATACCACCTAAAAATCACATAAGCGGAGGAAGGATCAAGTAGTTGTTGGAAAATAATTGAATGATCGTTGTTTAAAGTGCATAAATATGATGAATAAATAAGAGGATTAAACTCGATACTTCTTTAATACAGTTAAAACAAAAGGTGATGATAACGATAACTAAACATAAAAAATGAGGCAAACGCTTTCATACTACATACATATTACAATCTATTCTTTATATATCCTCTCATTTCAATACACATATCTTCGCCTGACTTCTTTGTTGACTGCGTTTATTTACATCTCGCCGTTTAACTCATTAGAAGCATTTGTGATATTTTTTTCTTTCAAATGATGAATATCTCGCGAACGTGTTTTGTAAACTTTATTTTTTAAAACCCCTCATAAAAAAAATCGAAGGGTGTTAGATCTGGTAACTTTCCTGACTTTGTGGGGTGGAGCCCTGTCGTGCTGAAACCATAGGTTTCTCCTTACCTGCAAATACACATTCTCCAGAAGTGCAGGAAGTACTTCTTACTTCTTGTAGGAAATTTAGATAACTCACGCTGTTCAATGTATGTTCCTAAAAATAAGGCCCAATTAAATGCCTACCGATGATGCCACAAAATACATTTACTCCAAAATGGCCTTGGTTTTGGAGTGAATTTACAATGTGGGGATGTTCAATGGACTAGTAGTGTTCGTTGCGCCTGTTTGGCAAGCCATTACTGACAAACCGACTTTCGTATGTCCAAAGAATGTACCGATCAACAGTTTCTATTAGAGTTATAAAATTAAGTCTGTTTTCAATGTGACGCTCAGGCAAATACTCCAAATTGTGAATTTTGTAGTCATGATACCCATTGGTCTTTAAAATTCGTTGAACGGCTGATTTCGTGGATTTTGTTCGAAATACTGTAACAGTTTAGCTGTATTAACATTGTTTCTTACCCTTCGATCAATTATTTGATTTTTCCGAACAGAAAATGCATCTTCATTTTGTCGCAAAGTCGCTTCCAATCTTGTAAAGGTGCTATGATCAGATCTTCTTGAATTTTTTTGTGACTCGCTAAAATTGGCAACATATCAACTTTTTCTGAATGAGAAAACATTTTGTAAGCACAAAAGTTATACGTTTGAAGTTTATGCACTTTAAACAACGAACATTCAATTATTTTCCAACGACTACTTGATCTTTCCACCGCTAATGTGATTTTTAGGTGGTATTTCTTTTGAGACTCTTTATAGGACGATATTGCTTATAACTTTTAAACGGGAAGTAATACTGAAAAATTTCTCTAATAAAAGTTTATTAAAAAAAAAAAGCTTTTTAACAGGAAAAAAAATTGGGTATTTTTCTGGAAAAAATATTTGATTAGTCGTTTCTGTAAAAAATAATACTTCGGATTGAAAATGGAGCTCACCTCATCCCATTTAACACCACATGTCCCAAATTTTATTTAATTTTTTTGCATCCCCATAGTAGGTCCATACTATCGAGTTTTGAGACATTGAGATGAAAAAAAGTTTCCACAATTTCGTTTCATACGGAGAGGAAGGCAAATGAAATTGGGAGTTTTATTATTTTTATTTTATGGAAGCTCTACATTATCTGGCCGTAGACCATACCAATGTATTCTATAGTACCTTAATCTTGTGACTGTAGCGCATTCGCGATTATGGGAGTTATAGTGCATTGGGGTCATGAATTCGAATGATTTTCCAGTCACTAACTACTACTCAAGTAAGTTTGAAATCTCGAAAATCGCTTTTTAGAGAAATGTCTTTATGTAGTTAAAATACGAACTGATCCGGCGACTCTGACTTTAGATTCGGATTCAGTGGTCTGATCTAAAACAGCTCAATTTTTTTGTGGCGCTATGTTATCATCAGTAAGAACTTTACGTTTTGCGAGAATGTACAACATTTACTCTGAGAGACGATATCAGCTTCGCGATCTTATCTATCTCTTCTTACATTTATGACTTTAACCTAAGTAATAACTAATGTATATTTTTTTATTATTTCTAGTACGACTTGTGGTGGGGTTCCGAAAAAACGCCAAAGGCAGGGTCTTTGATAGACTGGTGTCAGTTTAATAAATATTTGGATCTTGAAGATACATTTAAAGAAGTCATTGAAGAAAACACATTAAAGGCGCTTGAACAAAATTCATAATCAACATATTTTGCAATGTATATATTTAAAAAAAATGAAATAAATAAATATGTTTATGACTTCGACGAACATTTGTCTTCGTCCTCAACCTTACAGGCCTTCTCAGGTTCAGCTGGTGCTGCTCCGTCCATGTCCGGTTTGTTTTTCTTTTTGAATCCACCAACCAAAAGCCTCAGATTGGCGATAGCTACCCCTGGAGCTAACCTCTGAAATAGATAATAGGAGTCATATAATAAAACATGTCGTGGATACACAAATGGTTGCATTTACTTTTGGACAGCAACTGGTGCAGTTGTTAATTTGGTGGCATCTGTATATATTATAATAATTGGTTAGTTGTTTTATTCTATCTGCCGTAGCGTGATCTCTGGAGTCCATGATCCATCTGTAGGCATGCAGCAAGGCTGCGGGACCCAAGAAGTCATTAGGCTTTTTGGTGTGACCGTGCCACCAGTACTCAGGACAGGAAGTGGCACAACAGGCACATAAAATGCATTCTATATAACCATCCTAAAGAGAAAAATTCATAAAATATTTGTATATATGTTCACGGTATACGGCTAGTAGATTATAATTGCATTGGAAAGGAAAGAAAGTGTTAAGCTAGACCACCACTAGAGTTCGAGGACACGCATTCGTGTAACAGAACCGGACTTAGAGCTTAGTAATGTACGATATTTGTTGAGATAGAATTCCAAGAAGACTCCTGCGTCATTTTCTGATACTGAAATAACTGTTCAACACCTACTACCGGATGTCTCAAAATTCGTAAGATTTAAAGTTTGCGCCATTTATGCGGTAAAGTGCCACCAACACGTTATAGCTTATAGCTCAGGGTTATTAAAAATGGAGCGCTATGAAAGAACAACGCGTTTTCATTGTTGAGCAATATTTTAAATAATGAAGGTTCAGCAGCTGCAGTTCGCGATTTTCGTACAAAATATGATCGGAATAGTGATTTAGCTCCATCAACTGTGAAGGGATAAATTGAAAAATTATGGAAACTTGATCAATTAGTGATATAAAACACTCTGGCCGTTCTTCAACAAGTCGTTCAACACAAAACATCGAAGCAGTTCCTGAAAGTGTTGTTGAGAGTCCAGAAACATCTATTCGGCACCGTGGTCACGAATTGTACATTTCAAGAAGTTCTCTACAGCGTATTATCACGAAAGATCTGCATCTTTCTGCTTACCAAGTTCAATTGACTCAAAAACTGAAACCTACTGACCATGCAGAGCGAAGAGAGTTCGTTGAATGGATTGTGGTACAAGTGAATGCTGATTTTTCAAAGAAAATCACTTCAGCGATGATCCACGAGTGGCTGCTGAGAAACAAATGCATCCACAATGTGTCACTGTTTGGTGCGGATTCTGGGATGAAAGCATCATCGGATCATTTTTCTTCGTAAATGCGCTTGGTTAGACAATAATAGTTAATGGTGCTCGCTATTGCGATATGATAATCCAGTTTTTTGTGCCTAAATTGTAAGATATGAATGTAGATGACGTATAGTTTCAACAAGACATTGTCACATGCCATACAGCTCAGATCACGATTTAACCCCGTTGGACTTTTTTATTTCAGCCGCATTTATACAAAACGGTCATAGAAAATTTTAACAAAAGAGTGCATATGTGACAGCAAAGCCGTGGAGGCCATTTACCCGATATGCCATTCCATACATAGCCTTATAGGTACTGTATATTTTATGAATCAATAATAAATTTACAATTTTGAATTAAAAACCTGTGTTCTCCATCAAAATTACTTCTTGCGTGAATTTTGGGACACCCTTTATTAGCTTTGTTCCTAGATCAATCAAAAACAGTTCTCAACGCATGGACACTTCGATATAATGCTTATACTCGTACAGGGTGTTCCGAAATTCATGCAACAAAATTTGGCCATAGATTCTTAAGACAAATTTAGGGGACCCGTATTGTTTCTTTTTGCCAACTGGCCCCCTCTTTCGGAGTTACAGCCACCTGAAATCTGCCCCTAAGAAGTCTTTTTTATATCTTAAAACCATGTTGTACGAGAATCATTAAATTTGGTACATAGGGGTTTTATGACCTGTGGAATTTCACAGTGCTACGCTTTTTGGCGAGAAACCCCCTTAAGACACTTTTTCGTGGGCCCCCTTGTCTTTGGAACCAGAAAAATTTGGTCGCAAATTTAATTTTTATTTTAAATTATTAGTTACCTAGAAAGGAATTGAATTTAGAAACTTTTTTGTTTCTTGATATTTGTTTCGTAAAACGCAATGTTTTTCAGGAAAATTGCGAATCACGATATATATTCGATCACATTTTGACATTTTTCTCAAAAACATTGCGTTTTACGAAAAAAGTATAAAGAGACAAAAAGTTTCTAAATTTAATGGCCTTCTAGTGCACTAACAATTTTTAAGTAATTTAAATATGAGATCAAATTTTTTTGGCTCCAAAGACAAGGGGAGCCACGAAAATTTGTCTTAAGGAGGTTCTCCGCCAAAAAACGTAGCACCATCAGATTCCACATGTTATAAAACCCCTGTGTACCAAATTTAGTGATTCTCGTACAGCAGGGTTCTGAAATATAAAAAAAGATTATTCTTAGGGGCGGACTTCAGGGGACTGTAACTCCGAAAGAGGGGGCCACTTGGCAAAAATAAAAAATACGGGTCCCCTAAATTTATCTTAAGAATCTGTGTCCAAATTTTGTTGCATGAATTTCGGGACACCCTGTATAAGGTTCAAAATTTACTGTTTCGAAGCAAATGCGATTACTTCTGACTAGGTTTGTCAGAGAGAGCCACAATTCAATGGCGTGCCAAGCGGGTCAACCAAGACATGCGTGAGCCGCTGCTTCAGAATGCTTTTCACGTTCACGTCAAGTTAGTATACTGTTGTCTTTATTTTCGTGCGGATGTTGCGTAATTAATTCCTATCCGTTGGTGTTTATGGTGGTGTATTGTAGACAATTTAATTTTTCATAAATAATGCGTACTCATTTAGGACAGCCATACTTCTAATTGTTGGAAACTAATTCTAACGCACTAGGAACAAAGCTTAACATATTTGATGGTACACAACAGTATCAGCTAAACAGTGTGTTCAGCTTTTCATGCTAACGCTCCGTAAATACATCTAAGATTACGGAATCAGATTAAACTATTTTTTATGGGTTGGGCCCTGAAAGGTCATCATTTGACAACTATTGACTTCCTGTTGCCACGAACGTTTAGTCTACTGTAATTTTTATATGAGTGGGTGCATTTTTTCATAAAAAAATTGTTCTTTTTTAATACTCCTACAATTAATAGTTGTGTATCAAATATAAAAATATATCTATTGATAATTTTTCTTCGCGCAGATAAATTTTTTAAAAAATAGAAAATAAAACCTTGTGATGCGTATCTAGGACGCAATTAAATCAAACGTGAAATGCCTTAGAACGTCCCTCAACAAAATTGTTGTGTGCTAAATTTGAAGAAAAATATCTATTGGCTATTTTTCTAGGCACCACCGCCGGTAGACGTTAAATGCTAAATAAAACTTTGTGATATGTATCTATGATGCTATGAAATCATTAGAATTCTATGCCCCCCAAGCAAAATAGTTGAGTACCAAATTTTAAGCAAAATTATCTATTGGTTATAACATAAAAGTTACGTCATTAATAGAAACTTTATATTGTTACTGTTATCGGATTATTCGTCGTTAGTATTAAATTTCAATTTACGAATATTACCAATGATTCTCTGTCCTTTATGCTTTGGAGATACTGCGTCGTTCCCGGTTGTTCTTTAGATTTTCGTATCAGATAAGGTTTAATTCTACTGTGTTGCTCGAGAAATTTGTTAAAATCCACCACTAAATCTTTGATGACGTACATATGCGGTAGAGGGTATATTTTAGTCGTTCCTTTGGGCTTAATTTTACTGCAACATAAAAGAAATAATATAAAAAATCCTCATAAAAAATAAAAAATTATAAGAGGCTGAAATCTATAGCATCACGTTGTCCAACATTAAAGAACTTCGTGCCTGAAGTAAAAATTAGAAACAGAATTTTCTTTTATTTTTTGCAACTATATAAAAGTGCTTTATAAATTGTACCATGGACAAGTAGGTAATGATTCCAAAATTGTTTTTAAAACTAATATTTTGAATTAAGTGTTACGACCGTACCAATGCCAAAAACCAACGTACCCGTGCCAAAATTCAAAGAAATTTCTTGCAAGTTCTTGCTTGCAGTTCAAAAATGCATATAAAGGTTTAGAAGTCTTTTTTGGATGGTACAGTACAGAAATACACAGTTTTAAAAACTTACTAAAAAATTAAGTAAAATTGTTGTTAATTGTACTGATAATCCAATATTTAACACTTGTATGTTCGTATAAATAATGTATAAATGACATTATACATACATCAATACTGAAAAATTAAATACTCACTAAAGACAAGCAAGTCTATTTATTCCATCAATGTTCATTCCGCAAGATCCACATATGCCTTCCCTACAAGACCTTCTGTATGTTAAGGATGAATCTTGTTCCGATTTAATTTTATTCAGAGCATCCAATATCATGGGTCTACAACTATTTTAAAACATTATTATATCACTTTAACACTCATAACTTTTTCCACTTACTCATTTAAATCAATTGTGTACGTTTGCATAGTTGGCTTCTTGCCCTTATCTTCTGGATTATATCTGTATATTTTAAATTTTTTTAATTTAGGTTTTTTGGGCGCTGCTGGTGCCGACGCCGCCGCTTTTTTATTCTCACATTCAAGTTTTTTCTTTGAAGCATCTCCATAGAATCTTTTTGACTAAAAATTAAATTGTTAATAGTACCTAGCATATCGTTTAATTGTAATATATTTTTACCAATATATTCCTCCAGAACGAAATCCTTGAACTAATTAAATTCATACTTTGTTAAAAATGACAAATTTGTGGAATATTTTGGAACATTAAACGTCATTTTGTCATTTCTGTCTACCACAAGTGTGCTGTAAAACATAATAACAGTACTTAGTACTACAAAAACTTACATAACCTGCATTCAAAGACTCAATACCTATGTTGTATAACGAAGTGGCAGGGATAGTAAGCTACTAAACCCCTTTTCAAAAAATTATATTACATTAATGTCTACAGTGATGCAATGGATTGTATAAAACTGTTATTATGGCTTAATTATCCATTGCAACTCGTACCAATTACACGAATTACTATAGGGACTACGGACTAGAGACTAGAGCATAAATATGTGTTAATATTTCCACAAATAACACCTATTCATTCTACGGACATGCTGTGGTTGGTTTCTTTGGGTATTCTATACAGGGTGTTCAGTTACAGAGACCGACAAAAAAATTTAAAATTTTAAGGTATATCTGACAAATCCGGTAAGCTATTTTTTTATAATTTGACATGGAGTACTCTTCATGTATTAACGCGGACCACTACCAGATATAATTTAATGAATGTACAAATAACCAGTGGCGCGCAAACTGCATCCTTGGAGACCCTTTATAAGCAGTAAATGTTACGTCACTGTATAAAGCAGAAATTATTACAACAATTTTGAAACTTTCAAGGATTTTTAAGTTCAACAGGTTTTCTTGTTGCATATCGCTAAAATAATGTACAGTTCCTGATAAAAAATTGATTTCAATTTTCTACTACATCAATCAGTTGCGTACAGTCGAGTATTTGGGCAATTCTATAGTCTAATTAAACTTCACACTTTTTCTGAATTTGTTTCTAAATATTTTTTTATGATTTAAACCGACTTATGAAACAGTCGATGTCTCATGAGATATTCCATGAACTAACATAAGTATTTAGACACCTATACAGGGTGTCCGGAAACTAAACCGACAAATGAAGATAGCAAATTCTAGGGATGATTTCATATTGATAAATCGTTTTATCCAAAAATGCTTCCTACGGGAGGTAGGGCTCTTTGAAAATGGACCTTTGACATTTTTTTAATTATTGTTCAGATCGCTTTTTATCTAGAAGTATCAATCTTAGATTATGGTGTTAACTCTTATACATTAGTAAGAAAAAAGTAAACATTTGAAAAAATAATTGTTTTATACATTATATGGTAATTACTTATGTGTATTACTTATTACTTAATTAATTATGTGGTAATTACGTACAATATTAAAAGAAATTGTTTTCTGTAGAATCATTAGAATCATATTTGGAGCAGTTGAATATCAATGTCATTATTCTTTGACTGAATATCAGACTGCTGAGTCAAAAGTTGTATTGCTTCTGGCGAAAATGTCTTAATCTTTTTATTGGTAGCTTCTCTAAATTAGATATACCATATAAATCAGAGATGCCATCATGAGATATAAAAAAATATATTGCATTGTTTTAACTCGATTGCGTTTTCGTCCGAAATCAGCTCTAATTTGTGTATATATTTATTTCACGATTCTTATGTTTTTTCGGACATTTGGCCATTGGTAATAACGCAGATGCTATTGTTGTGAGTTTTCGTAAGTTAATTGCTCATTTGATAACATGACCCCACATTGAGCGCCATGTTGCAGGTTTTAGTTAATCTGACTAATTTATGGAGGAATTAACCTATCTTCATACCCCCTCAGCATGTTTATAGGGTCATAAAACCTTATAATGGGTTTGGAAGGGTCATTTTGACCTGGGTCCGTTTTCACATTTGATGCTATGAAGTTGGATACCTGATCGCTGATGAGGGGGTTTCCAATTATCTCATTTACTTGCCTCTTCACGTAAGACCTGGAGATCGTGAACACAGGGAGCTAAGATTTACGTTCCTTTCTCTATAGTGAGTTCAATCTGCCTCGGATGCTCTAATTATTTATTGTTATGAGCTAAGACTGACTATAGACACTTCCTTTGTTGTAAACAGGTGAGTTTTTTTATTTAAAATGTTTTGTGTGTAACTAGTTTTCGTCTGAACTCTGTATATGGTTACACAATGTTTGTTTAGCACTGTCGGGTCTGATACCCTAGTGTTTGAATATCGCTGCCTAAGGACTAAAGTTCGATAGTGTACAGCCACCTTACAGTGCCTGTCCGTTAAGTTTAAACATCTTTTTGTGTGAGAGTGAGAGCTAAAGTTTTGCGAATGGAAGCCTAAGAGCTCATTTTGTAGGCCATGTGCTCGATTTGATAATGAATTTTTTAGAGAATTTATAACTATGTTTTTTAAAGATGTGAAGATGCAAAATGAGAAAATTCAATCGAGTACATGCTCTGGTCAGGTTACCGTACCTGGTTAATAACTGCAGAAAACCAGACGTTTGGACACCAATTGAGTGGAAACTTCTGGTTAGCCTGCTCAGTTCAGTGCGAACAGCCGAGCTGAGCGGACGTGCTTGTTTGTGAGGTGAAGTGATTGCAACGAGCAAAATCTACCTGCCTTTATTAAGGCTACCTGGAAAGAATCCCTTTCTTTCCTTTTAATCACCGACCTAATCCCCGGCTAAGCATAGAGGCCGTCGGCATCTTTGTTCAGGTACCTGTCCCGGGGTTATGCCCAGGTAAGTTTTAACTTATTTATCAGTTATTTGCATTACTTTAAAATACATTTCTTTAAAATTGCGACCCCCGACAAACAATATACCAGACAGACAAATACACCAAAAGACACGTACGCCCCCGTAAGGGGGCATCCCCACACGACTAACACTTACACACCCACCCACCCACACACACACGAAGAAGCAATCCTACAAG